CCCTCAGCCAGGGCATTGAAAATGGGTCGTGGATGGGTATTCCAGCATGACAATGACCCAAAACACACGGCCAAGGCAACAAAGGAGTGGCTCAAGAAGAAGCACATTAAGGTCCTGGAGTGGCCTAGCCAGTCTCCAGACCTTAATCCCATAGAAAATCTGTGGAGGGAGCTGAAGGTTCGAGTTGCCAAACGTCAGCCTCGAAACCTTAATGACTTGGAGAAGATCTGCAAAGAGGAGTGGGACAAAATCCCTCCTGAGATGTGTGCAAACCTGGTGGCCAACTACAAGAAACATCTGACCTCTGTGATTGCCAACAAGGGTTTTGCCACCAAGTACTAAGTCATGTTTTGCAGAGGGGTCAAATACTTATTTCCCTCATAAAAATGCAAATCAATTTATAACATTTTTGACATGCGTTTTTCTGGATTTTTTGGTTGTTATTCTGTCTCTCACTGTTCAAATAAACCTACCATTAAAATTATAGACTGATCATTTCTTTGTCAGTGGGCAAACGTACAAAATCAGCAGGGGATCAAATACTTTTTTCCCTCACTGTAGGTAATCTGTGTGAAGCTACTGAATTCTGTCATCAGAACAAGATGCAAAATGATGAAATAAAATAAAATAAAATAGTATCTGTCACATTTGCCGAATAAAACGGCTGTAGACTTTACCGTGAAGTGCTTACTTACGAACCCTTTCCCAACAATGCAGAGTTAAAAAGTAAGAAAAATGTGCTCAATAAAAATAGGAAATATGAACACAATAATATAACAATACCGAATCAATGTGCAGGGGTACAAGGTAGTTGAGGTAATATGTACATGTAGGTAGGGGTAAAAGTAAATAGGCAATCAAGATAGATAATAAACAGAGTAGCAGCAGCGTATGTGAAGAGTGTGAAAAGGGGGAAAGGGGATATCTGGTCAGTTGCCCTACATTTACATTTTAGTCATTTAGCAGACACTCTTATCCAGAGCGACTTACAGTTAGTGAGTGCATACATTTTCCATACTGGCCCCCCGTGGGAAACGAACCCACAACCCTGGTGTTGCAAGCGCCATGCTCTACCAACTGAGCTACAGGGGACCCCTACTGAACGCATTCAACCGAAACGTGTCTTCCATATTTAACCTAACCCCTCTGAATCAGAGAGGTTGTGTGAGTGTGTGTGGCGTCAATATGCATGTGTGTGTTTATGTTTGTGTTGGAGTGTCAGTGTAGTATGTGTGAGTGTGTGGGTTTGCATAGAGCCAGTGCAAGTGAGAAAAAAAAGGGGGTAATTGCAATAGTCCGGGTCACTATTTGATTAACTGTTCATAGAAATCTGATCTATGTGGTTTCATTGCATACTTTATCATGTCTTATCGACTTGTTTTCTGGACCATATGTTATAGTGACCTGATATCCACACTTCCTTTTCAGCCACTTAGGGGATCAGTTGTCAAGCTCCTTTTTGGCACTACTGTTCCTCCTTGGCAGAATAGTCTAGATGCTTTGTCAGTTTAATCTCAATGACACAGACACATACAGTTGAAGCCTGAAGTTTACATACACCTTAGCCAAATACATTTAAACTCAGTTTTTTTTTTTTTTTTTTTACAATTCCTGACATTTAATCCTCGTAAAAATTCCCTGTCTTAGGTCAGTTAGCTTTTATTTCTTTCATCACATTCCCAGTCGGTCAGAAGTTTACATACACTCAATTAGTATTTGGTAGCATTGCCTTTAAATTGTTTAACTTGGGTCAAATGTTTCCGGTAGCCTTCCACAAGCTTCCTAAAATAAGTTGGGTGAATTTTGGCCCATTCCTCCTGACAGAGCTGGTGTAACTGAGTCAGGTTTGTAGGCCTCCTTGCTCGCACATGCTTTTTCAGTTTTGCCCACAAATGTTCTATAGGATTGAGGACAGGGCTTTGTGATGGCCACTCCAATACCTTGACTTTGTTGTCCTTAAGCCATTTTGCCACAACTTTGGAAGTATGCTTGGGGTCATTGTCCATTTGGAAGACCCATTTGCGACCAAGCTTTAACTTCCTGACTGATGTCTTGAGATGTTGCTTCAATATATCCACATAATTTTCCTTCCTCAAGATGCCATCTATTTTGTGAAGTGCACCAGTCCCTCCTGCAGCAAAGCACCCCCACAGCCTGATGCTGCCACCCACGTGCTTCACGGTTGGGATGGTGTTCTTCGGCTTGCAAGTTACCCCTTTTTCCTCCAAACATAACGATGGTCATTATGGCCAAACAGTTCTATTTTTGTTTCATCAGACCAGAGGACATTTCTCCAAAAAGTACAATCTTTGTCCCCATGTGTAGTTGCAAACCGTAGTCTGGCTTTTTTATGGCGGTTTTGGAGCAGTGGCTTCTTCCTTGCTGAGCGGCCTTTCAGGTTATGTCGATATAGGACTTGTTTTACTGTGGATATAGATACTTTTGTACCAGTTTCCTCCAGCATCTTCACAGGGTCCTTTGCTGTTGTTCTGGGATTGAGTTGCACTTTTCGCACCAAAGTACGTTCATCTCTAGGAGACAGAACACGTCTCCTTCCTGAGCGGTATGACGGCTGCGTGGTCCCATGGTGTTTATACTTGCGTACTATTGTTTGTACAGATGAACGTGGTACCTTCAGGCGTTTGGAAATTGCTCCCAAGGATGAACCAGACTTGTTGAGGTGTACAATTTTTTTCGGAGGTCTTGGCTGATTTCTTTTGATTTTCCCATGATGTCAAGCAAAGAGGCACTGAGTTTGAAGGTAGGCCTTGAAACACATCCACAGGTACACCTCCAATTTACTCAAATGATGTCAATTAGCCTATCAGAAGCTTCTAAAGCCATGACATCATTTTCCGGAATTTTCCAAGCTGTTTAAAGGAACAGTCAACTTAGTGTATGTAAACTTCTGACCCACTGGAATTGTGATACAGTGAATTATAAGTGAAATAATCTGTCTGTAAACAATTGTTGGAAAAATTACTTGTGTCATGCACAAAGTAGATGTCCTAACCGACTTGCCAAAACTATAGTTTGTTAACAAGAATTGTGTGGAGTGGTTGAAAAACGAGTTTTAATGACTCCAACCTAAGTGTATGTAAACTTCCGACTTCAACTGTATGGCATTACACAGTGTTTTCCCTAATGCATCTAATTCAAATAAATGCCACAAGTATCATATCAATGCTGCCAGCATTGTGTCTGACAGTGCCATAGCAGCCTATTCACTGCAAATCCAGGTGGTAAGGAGGTCCTAGTCCAAGAGTAACAGGAATTTCTGCCATGGCCAAGAGGGACCATATGTCTCTGCTGTCTTGAGTCTGTCCCGCCTCCATTCCAGTCTGCCAGGCCTCTGCAACATATGGGGCTTAATGCCATTAAGCATGAGGTTTATGACCTCAAAGGCGTTTTCGTCTTCGTTTGTACAGGTGAACCTAGCTATGAGTCAGTAGTTGCCCGACTGACAGACACAACAATGTCAACAGGCAGGTTCTCAGGGTGGTGGTATTCACCAAAGACGTATACCTACTTCAGACAGGTAAGTGGGACTGATTAATTGTTTTAATTAATGCATTAACCAAGGCAATGGTCTGCAGGCTAACAAACCAGCAGTAACCAGTGCTGCTACCACCACTGCCATATACTATCAAAGAATGGACACACACGCAAGGTGTTTTGCCCTGCTTAATGCCAAATGAACATTGACAGATTAATTTCAACTGGCAACACAGCTAACGTTACAGTACAAGATGTTCACTAGCTGGAGTTAAATATTACAGTAGCCTACATCTGATCAGTTAATAATACCAGCAGCTAGCTAGCTAACGTTACAGCATGGCCACTTGGCTCCAAATCTCGCAGGAGATTAGGCAGATAATCCCAATAATATGGAGTAAAATCCATTGAAAATAGTCATCAAATAATCTGGCTCGATACAGCGAGATCATAACCTACTAGCTAGCTAGTATTGTAAACGTATGCCGCTACTACAGCTAGCTAGTGAGCTAGCTATTTAAATCCGATTATTACAACATGACACGCAAAAGTACATGACCATCATCTTTGACGACATCGAGTTCAACGTTGTTTCCGTTTACTGTTACCAGAGAAACACGCTGCCCAATCAAAAGTAGTTTAGTGTGGACCTTCGACTCAGTAACCAATCTAATTCCGCCTTGTTGTAAAGTAGACCAGTTTGAAATACAAACCAAGGCAAGCGATTTGAAACTGTCAAGATCAACAAGTTGATAACACAAAACAAACGCAAGACGAAGCCAGTTCGAGATACTCTAAAGCACTAAGGTAACACTTTTGCAAATGTGGACATGATATAAGACAAATTCGTTCCAAAGCTGCATCGTGTGTGGACACGCTAATTTGCTAATGTTAGCTAGCTATGTTTACTACGCTAACGTTAGCTAGCTAAATTAGCGAACTGTTACTGGCTAGCTAAATTAACGCCAGCTAGCTAGCCTAAAAAACTGTTGATCAAATTAAACATGGTCTGAGCTATCAGGGATCCTTGGGACGTCCCTACCGTAAACCTTACCTAACCTTAACCATTTAAAATGTCGACTTCAATTGGGTAACGTCCCAAGAATAGCACGGACCGTAGTGCTAGGGTAAAAACCCAAACGTGACCCAGGACCGAGTTTGGGAAACCCTGCCTTACCCAACCCATATCCGTACTGTAACCATTTACATTTCAACGGGTAGGGACTTCCTTACAAGAATTCCGAATAGCACGGACCCTGACAATCACCAAACGAGATTTTGTAGGCTGTCCTCGCGAGACTACCCTCACCTTAGCTACCTTTATGTTGTTCCTGCCCCTTCTAGGCTGAATCTTTGAATGTAGTACAATAGTTATCTAGTTGTTTTACATGTCAATGAGCTAGGTAGTATTTGTCATCATGCTATCTGACTTCATCAGAACAGGACCATTCCAAGTGCTGTTCCTGTTAAAACAACCAGTTGCATTTTAATTAATCTTTCCTCAGATGTCCTCAGATGAAGGGGATCCGAGCAGTCCAGTTCTGCCAGGGGACTCAGATCAGGGCAGCTCGGTCTCCTCTGAGCTGCAGGTAACAAAGCACTTCCTTTTACAGATTTATGGAGAGGTGTTCATAAAGGGAAATACAGGACTTCATGTTTAAAAACTCATCAGTCGACTGTTTTGATGAGGTTGCAATGGAAACATGCAGTATATACACGGTTGTCACTAGTTACCACAGCCACAAAGTCAATATCGTAAAAATGCATGAAAACTAAAATTAGCTTTTTGGTCTTAATTGAAGGTTATGGTTAGGCAATAAAGTAAGCAGTGTGGTTAAGGTAGGTTCAAAATCAGATTTTAAGAAGATAAATTGTTGAAATAGGTGGCCCCGTGTAGCTCAGTTGGTAGGGCATGGCATTTGCAACGCCAGGGTTGTGGGTTCGTTTCCCACGGGGGGCCAGTATGAAAAAATTTATGCACTCACTAAACTGTAAGTCGCTCTGGATAAGAGCGTCTGCTAAATTACTAGAATGTAAATGTAAAATGTTTAGCGATAATTATGACTTTGTGGCTGTGGTAACTAGTGACAACCTATGCAAGGAGCACTTTATTCACAATTCAATGTCTCTTTGCATATTATGGACAGGATGAATATGAAGAACTTCTCCGCTACGCAGTGGTCACTCCTAAGTATGACCCGCAGCCCGCCGCTCAACTGCAGCTTCTGAGCGCCTCACAACTGTCTGCGGATGGACAGAGTTCCCGTGGAAATGATGACGCAAGGTTCCATCCCTCAGCAGGTACAGTGGGCCGCTGCTCACCCACACACTCGTTACACTAAGCCGCTCTGACAGACACACAGCTTGAGGCACTCCACATTGCTCCCTTCAAATGATCAACTGTCATAAAGGATTTGGGTTCTGTCGTGCTTTACGTCTTTCTGTTAAGAAATGCTCCTCTCTCTGTCGCAGTCTTTTAACCCGAGCACACATAGCCTCGATTGCACCAAGCCCAACAAGCTGTTGAATGTTCCATGTGTATTTCACAAGTACCCAAACACTTGACATGGAGAGATGAACTGCTTGATGATAGCCAAGACCTGTCCCAAAACACAGACTGAGAGGCATTGACACTACTACGGCCCTATGTAGCTCAGTTGGTAGAGCATGGCGTTTGCAACGCCAGGGTTGTGGGTTCAATCCCCACGGGGGGGCAGTATGACAAAAGTATGAAAATGTATGCACTCACTAATTGTAAGTCGCTCTGGATAAGAGCGTCTGCTAAATGACTAAAATGTAAAATGTACTAGGTACTCTATTTAAGATCAGAAGAACCATTCGTTCTCTTCCGCAAGCAAGCGTACACCCAGCTTACAAACAGTCTATCTGTCTTTTCTCCAGACCACGGCATTCTCAGTTGTAGAGCTTAAACTGTCATGGAGTAGTGCACTGGGATGGAAAAGCAGGCAGGATGTTGTGTGCCTGATTGGTAATGACATGCTGGCATCCTGCCCAAACTGCTCTTTAGAGTGCAGACTTTTTTTCTTCTCTCTGCAGGATTTAATTAAGATATTGACATAAATGCATTCCTGGATGAAGAGACAGAGTTTTCTTATTTAGCATTCTTACCATCACACACTCTCTCTATCTCTCTCTCTCTGTTTCTCTCTCACTCTTTCTATCTCTGGCTCTCTCTGCCTCTCAGGCTCCGTTTCTGAAGCTGAAGATGGGAGACGCTCTAGCAGGGGAGTGAGGTCAGCACGGGCCTCCCCTTTTATAGTGGAGCCCAGGGCACACTCACACACGTTTGAGGGTAAATACACACAGCCAACACAGAGGGCCATATGCTTTGTAACTATACTTAGTCCAATAAAAAGCATTATTATAAAGACCATGAGACTGAACAGGCATGGGATATATAAAATGATAGTATACTATTTTGATGCTCCCAGAGCATCAAACATTATTTTGACAACTGTGGTTCTTTATCAGGTTTGTGTGCAGAAAATAAACCAGGTAATGAAGAGATGGCTGGCAGGTCATCTGTTGTCTCAGACGCTCACTCAGACAGACACTCGGACAGACTGCAGACGCCGTCTGAGAGCTCCAGACACAGCAGCCCAGACCCCCTGGTCACCATGGTGACAGAGATGTTTATCTCTGAGGAGAACATGAACAAGATGGAGAACATCCTGGACACCTGGAGTGACAAGCTCAAAGTTAGCCTGCCCTGCCTCTTTGTCTGTCTATTTAATGTCTGGAGATGTATTTTAGCTTGGCGAGAATAGATCCTTATGAGGCTGTGTTCTAGGATTATATTTTGTTGGCCTGATAGATGCGGTAAAGAGGTCAATGGTACTCGACCAAAACAATGGAAACACATGGGGGAAAGATCCCGAATCTCCTAATTTCCCTCCAGCAAAATTAGCCTACATTTAGGCTAGTGTTTATATGTGTATTTCACACTATGTTGAGGTATAAATTGGAGTATAATACTTGTATTGATGTCAACCCCAATAACATGTTCATGTCATCGTCACCAATCAACTGCATTACAGTTAAAAAACACAGACTACCATCACCGATTTCTCTATGCTAGCTATGCTGCCCACTTGTACAAACTGGAGGTAGAATTTAGCAGTCACTTCTAAACCTGAAAAGGGTTATGCAGCGAAAACAGCCAAATATATCAAAATTTGACTTTAGTAACCATATTGTGGGCCTGTAACAATACATCAATCATGACGAATATCCACTGTTAGATCAGATTTGTTGAATGTGCGCCAATCCGCCATCCTTCTATCCCCCACGGTCTGCGTTCCATTGACCTCGTTACCGCATCTATAGTGCGTATCAGATGTCATGTCCCTATCAGTGATGTGTTTCCTAAATGAACAGGAATTCCTCATCTGATTCTTGATTTGTCATTTGTGATTCAGTATCTGTATTGTGTCATTGAAGTGGACTGGTATGTTTCGTGATACTCTTTGTTAAACCATTCCATCCCTGTCTCCTCCCCAGGCCAACGTGCTGATGGAGCTGAGGAAGTGGAAGCTGGCCTTCATGGAGCAGCACAAGCTGGAGGTGAGGAAGGAGAGGGAGAAGCATGCTGCCTGTATAGCAGGCCTCACTGCAGAAATGGACAGCCTGAAGGAACTGCTCCACACCTACGAGACCTCCAACCACAGGAAGGACGAGGTACGCAGTCTACACAGACACGCATCACACACATATCATACCACACTCACTTCTGCACCACACACACACTACAGGTAGGGTCTTACCTATGTAAAGACAGTCATACAATTGTCTTCAACAGTGTTGGTGTGTTATGATGAATTGAGTGTGTGAGGCATCGTGTGTGTGTGTGACTTCTATTGTTTTGCTTGTAGGTGATAGTGAACCTGAGCCAGGCGGTGGACAGACAGAGGGAGAGGCTGGAGCTGATGAGGACCTTCACCCACTGGAGACTGCAGCACAGCGAAGCCAGGGAGGAGGTGAGAGACAGGGGGAGAGGGTTCTCCCTCATAGGATACTAGGGGGTAGATGAGATGGGGAGCAGTGGGTACGGGACACACGTATACGGCACACTGCATCTTAATGTCTATTTTCACCCCTTTACTTTAACCACGGAATTAGTTACACATATCTTATCTGTGAAATGAATGTCATAGCATCCTTGGTGAACTGTACCTTTAAGCGTTGACAGTACTCTAGCAGGGTTATGCAAATCCTGAATCTCTGCATGGTTAACTGACACATGCATTACCATGTCATATCACATTGAACATGCATACATTACGTTTTCACACGTAGATTTTCCACTTATGATTCTTTATTCCGTGTAGTATTATTGGTCCGGTGCCTGATATTCATGGGTTAAATAAGTGATATTTGCATCCATGTGACAGTATTTAATACATCGTTTTTCACTAAATATCTAAAGTGTAGAAAATCCCAAGTTCTTTCCTGTTAAAATGTGTAGGTTTGATTCCTGTGTGTAGCAGAGTCATTCTAAGCATTCCTCCTCCTGTCCCTTGTCTGTCCTGCTGTCCCATGTGTCCCGTCCCCCCCCCCTCTCTCCAGGCCCACAGTGCCCAGCTGGCAGAGCAGCACTACCGTCTGCAGCTGAAGAGGAAGGTGTGGGCAGGCTGGCACGCCCTGGTCCAGGGGAGCTGGAAGGACAAGGTGGAGAAGGCGTGCCGCTCCCGGGCAGAGGAGGTCTGTGTGCGCCTGTCAGCTGACTATGAGGACAAGATGGCAGAGGTAAGGAGGAAGGAAGAGCTACACACACAGGTTACTACATAGAGTAGGCCTATACAGTTCCAACCATACAATTACATATGATCTCTGGTTCCAGCACTCTGAAAAGAAGAAGACAGTTTCACATGAGCACAGAACAGTAGCTAGCTACACTTACTGGACAACCGAGAAACGGAATAAACATTGTCTTACATAAATAGTGTCATTCACTATACTGCATAGTTCTGCAGACCTGACACCTTTCAGCATTTTAAATGGCAAATATACCTTTTTGAAGTTTTTTCTGGAAGTCGGGCTGTGTGAAGAGATTTTAATAATGATGAATAATTGCAGCACTAAAGCAGTGAGTGAGCCTGATTGATGGAGGCTGCAGTTAAAGCCCAGTGAAAGAGAGGAGCTAGAGCAGCGAGTGGGCCTAGCACGCAGAGAGAGAGGGGGGAGGTAGGGATGGAGGGAGAGGGAGGAATATCGACAGTTCCATAGATGTGTAGAGCAGTGGAGGCTGCTGAGGGGAGAACAGCTCATAATAAGGACTGGCACGGAGCAAATGGAATGGTATCAAACACATGGAAACCATGGGTTTTGATGTATTTGATACCATTCCATCAATTCCGCTCCAGCCATTACCACGAGCCCGTTCTCCACAGTTAAGGTGCCACCAACCTCCTGTGGTGTAGAGACAGTGTAGGAAAGGCTCATAGGCCTAGCAAAAAGAGAGAGGGGATAAAGAGAGGGATACTGGAGTGGGAGAGAGGAATGGCATAGAGTTATTGGCAGAACTGTAGACGTGCAGAGAAAGAGTAGAGCTAGAACAGAACACAGCCTATCTCAGCACAGAGAGAGATAGATGGTTATTACAGTGAGAGAGAGGAATTGCAGCTTAGAGGAGCAGAGAGAGTAGGTGGTCTGTTTAGAGTTAGAGATGTGAAACAAGCTTCCATTCAACCTCATTCCTCAGTTACAATCTAGCCAGTCCTCTTAATTATGTTTTCCCCAATGTGACCTTTGCATTTTAATTAAAGTACGGTTAACAGTGATGATAAATTAATGAATCCCTCTCTCTCCTTCTCTCCCCCCCTCCTCTCTCCTTCCCTCTCTCTCCTTCCTTTCCCTCGCCCTCTGTGTAGCACGTGGCAGCGGTGGATGCTGCCCAGGCTGAGATCCAGAGGCTGCACTCAGAGAAGGAGCGTTATGAGGAGTCCATGAAGAAGGCCTTTATGAGGGGCGTGTGTGCCCTCAACATGGAGGCCCTCAGCATGTTCCACACTGGAGAGGGACGCACGGAGCACGACCTGCACGGTTAGTAACACGCACACACGGCTCTGTCAACAAAAACTATGTTCCTGACACTTTAATTCATAGAACAGATTGTTAAAATAAGTTAATTATACTAGGGATGGGCAAGAGTAATCCAGTACCCGAACGGACGTCAAAACTCAATCTTTAACCAGAGATTATGATTTTTTTTTTTCAAAACTATGAAATAACACATATGGAATCATGTAGTAACCAAAAAAGTGTTAAACAAATCAAAATGTATTTTAGATTCTTCAAAGTAGCCACCCTTTGCCTTGATGACAGCTTTGCACACTCTTGGCATTCTCTCAACCAGCTTCATGAGGTAGTCACCGGGAATGCATTTCAATTAACAGGTGTGCCTTGTTAAAAGTTAATTTGTGGAATTTATTTCCTTCTTAATGCATTATACCACCCCGACAGTCCATCATTACTTTAAGACATGAAGGTCAGTAAATATGGAACATTTCAAGAACTTTTAAAGTTTCTTCAAGTGCAGTCGCAAAAACCATCAAGCGCTATGATGAAACTGGCTCTCATGAGGACCGTGACAGGAATGGAAGACCCAGAGTTACCTCTGCTGCAGAGCATTTAGCAATTAGGATTTATCTGTAATGGTTATGATCTAACTAGGCATTGTTGCCCACTGTTGGCATATAGATAAATGCACACATTTTCTTCCAGTGCGGGCCTTGTGTTATAAAAATATATTTTTTCCCCATTCGAGTACTCGAACAGTCCATAAATGTCTAATGCCCACCCCTATATTATATCACCTCCCCCAGTTGTATCTGATCAAGCCACACATTCAGTTTATTAGCCTATTGGTTAGGCTCTGTTACCCTAAAACACAGACACTAGTTGTGCAGTCTGCTGTTATTGACACTTTGGCTCCTTGCGTGATGATGGTAAATCTTAGAAAATGCTGACTGAGTGGTGCTCTGTGGAGGTTGTAACCTTGGTGTGGCGGTCGTCGTCCACAAATGCATGTATGAGATTTTAGGGATTCCGCTTGAACTAAAAGAGTGGTTCTAGTTTCTGTTTCAACACATACATTTATCTGTGTATTAATTGAGTTTTGTCATTTTTGGGGGGGTAATCTAATTCACATTTTCTCATCGGAATAATCTGGAATGTCATACGGTAATTTGTCTCTTATTTTACAACTGACAGGGCCACTGTCTGCAAATGACAGAATGTGATTTATGTTGGTCAGATGTGATTCTACTGGGTTTATTTGATTAGCAGCTTTCTGGTGTCCAGTCATGAAGCTGGTCTGGCTTCAGAACATAAGCCTGTGTACAGATTATTATATTACTGTTTTTATTGGTCTTTCCTCTGTAGATGCTCCACCCCCTCGGGATGATCCTGGCACCGGCTCATTGGCCCGTCTCCAGCCAAGGCCTGCCTCCTCCACTCGGTTCAGCCCGGTCCACTTTGACCCCCCTGTTCCACCGTCCCAGAGTGATGCAGAGGAGACAGTGAGACGCTGACACACACACACCCTGGTTACAGTCTATATATGCAATGGTTTTCACTACTACTATGGATCAGGTTCCACCATCATTAAACATCATATTGTCACATCAGTTGCTGCCATTGTATTTATTCTTTCTCAAGACTAAACATTTTCTCACTAACAGTATTTCATAATTACCTCTACACAATGTTCAGTCACAGCCTGTCTGGAGTTACTGGTTTATGACTGCTGACTCCTCAAACACACACGAGGCCACTGTGTGATACAATGGATAGACCTGTTATATTTACAGGGCTTCAGTTTGTCTAATTCCTTCATCTCCTTTCCTGTGTATGGGCTTCTGCCCGCACTCTTAATATCTGCCCACTCACTCACTCTCTCCGTCAGGTGGGTTCCAGTGCTCCAGTCTCCAGGGCTGGGGTGTTCCCCTCCACCACGGTGGTCCACAGCACCCTACCACCAGGGGGCACTGCAAGCTCCCACAGACAGGTTAGTACTAGCGTTGATGATGGTCTATTGCACTGGGAGCTTATCATGGCTATGTCCTGATTCTCTACCCCGCTCCTAAAGTGTGCACTTGCACACTTTCTGTCATGGATGTACAATCATTAGATTGGTGTAATCATTGGTTAGAGGGAGTTTCAGCCATTGTTAAATCCATGATGGGAAGTGTTTGAGAAAAGGGTGTCAACTACTGTCTGGTTACTGTTACCTTTTCTCACCCTTTATCAAACAATGTGAAAGGTCACGTGTATTTATTGACTGTTCCTTAATGATCATCATTTGTATCAGGTCAGTACACGGGTGATCACATCGGGTCAACAGAAAGCCTCCAAAACCGTGACCGCTCGCATCACGGCACGTGCCGACCTCCGCGCTCCCAGCTCCGTCCGTGCTCCCAGCAACCTCCAGGTCATGGGTGTGGCTCCTCCCATGAGCTCTGTCATCGTGGAGCGCCATCACCCCGTCACACAGGTACACCATCATCACCAAACATGTCTATTTTACGATTAACCAAAATAACCAAACAACAAGTTGATTTATGATCTGTAGAAACACCTTCGCTGAGCAGGCCTCAACCTGTCTCACTTATCACTCTCTTTCTCTCTCCTAGCTCACGGTGGGTCAGGCCACAGCAGCTAAGTTCCCCCGCTCCTCCTCCTCTCAACAGGGCCAGGGCCCCTCCAGCAGCAAGAGTTCCTCCAGAACACACTCCGCCTACCACATACACTCTATCAAAGTGGTTGAGTAAACACACACACGCAAAACCATATCACGTATGGTTCACATAGGACAATTCCACTACCTTATATGCAAATACAAGTAGTCTTCCCATACATAACTTAGTCAAGCTGATACACATGCACAATTGAATATTCCCAAATATTCTACATATACGCTACACCTCACTCACACACACACACTGTGAGAGATCTATGAAGGACCTGAACCATTTCTGTGAGAACTAAGTTTAGGATTACAGAAAATTATTTTTTAAATGCAATCAATAAACCTGATATAACACTCTGGAATGGAAGGTAGAATGGCGACTGATGGAACCGTCTTGTCTTTTCAGAGCATTTGGATAATTACTTTTTCACTAGTTTTACTTCTCAAATTGTGAATGACTGAACTCTTTTTGTATTTGCTTCAATTTTTTTATTTGTTGTTTTTAAATTATGGAAAGTCAAGTCTTTGACTGTTGTGTGAAATCGCATATTTTAAATAATATTGCATTGATGATGTTGTGTTGAGAACAACACTTGTGGTCAAGTTTCCAGGACTGTATCAAGACCATATGTTAAGGTTTTGGCCAAAATCTGCACTATAAACCTTTACGGTAAATTGATGGAACATGAATAAAACATGAATTGCAAATGTTCTCAGAATAATAAACCATTCACTAAATAGATATAAATGGAAATGTGTACTGTACTACTACAGATCCATTGAAAAATAACCACACAAATGCTCTCCTTTGGAAAAATATAGAATCTCGTTGACTGAACGTCTGTCCGTACATGTAGACACTTTCAACACCCTTTATGAAAGGATGCATTTCTTAATGTCTCCTTCCTCTGTGTCCATTCGTATTTTATCTGCAAAACAACCAAACAGCCATCTATAATTCTCTGTTATGGCTTCAACATTAATGTAATATTTTTCTATGGGGTAATGGTCATGGACACCCCATACCTGCTATAGTCTTTTTGCCTATGGCAAGCAGGCCCTGGTAGAGCTCTTTAGCTGGATTCCTCTGGGCCAGCTCTGACCCATGGAGCCAGATCAACAGCATCCTGTTCCCATGGTCCTGGTAGCTCCGCTTCCCTACACACAAACAGTGAACAGACTAAATGAGAATGTGTCCACTTACCTGGTAAAATAAGGGAAACATTAATCAAATAAAGTTAGTGTAGTTAAAGCTTTCCTTGTTAAGTGGATTGTTTTTGGGACACAATGCCAAGTAACTACAGAACAAATACATCAGAATCCCTCTTACCATATATTTAAATGTTGTATTTGTAATCAGTTAATGAGTTCTCATATTTTCTGATATTCCTGTGAACAATTAACCCCTGGGCAACACTGAGCCAGCGGTGTTGTGTCACCTGTCCACTGCACCTCGATGGCAGCCACCTGCTGCTCAGTGAAGTTCCAGTGCAGCGCCAGCCTCTTCCAGTCACCCGGCTCCAGCAGGTGGTAGGCCAGGTGCCAGGCCTTACCGCGGACCTGTTTGCTCTCCGCGCGATGGTCTATTTTAAACGTCAGCGGACACTGGCTGTGAAGGTTCTCATTAAGCTCAGTGTTGGCCTGGAAGGGTAATCACATTAAGTCACCTCCTGAGAAAGGACACAAGCTTCACACACTGAGCACAGTGTCCAGAGACAAGCACACGCAGGCCCATGCTTATTGAATGCCAGAGCCACTTGTTTTGACTGTCAGGTAAGGTTGGGGATGGAAGAAACATAATCAAATTGACACTGAAATTGGTTGTCAAGCATTTCAGCACAAATCCTTTTTCCACAGCCAGCATTAATGGTATTACAGGGATTCATCTGGAGTTGTGATAGGAAATTAATAATCTGTGATGAATGTAATCATTGATTTCCAGCTCCACTACAGTGCATGGATTGGACAGTGCATGGACAGTGCATCCACTACCGCAACGTATTAGTCTCATTGATTGATTGAATGTACCGCATTTGATCATTTAAAAACACACATACAGCCATATCACTTATAGGGAGGACTCACATATAACAGTACACGGTCTATATTCTTTCACAATTATATAAGATAAACACACAATGAAGTGATTTATTTCCATTATGGTCCTTTATTACCCTCCTCCATGTGAAATATCTCTCTGCCTTGATGATCATGTCCACGATGATGACCTCGTCTGCTCGGGCTGCCACACCCAGTGCCGTCTTACCCTGCTGCTCAAAACAAGGCAGAAAATACTGAGTGGGAAGTTGCAGTGAAGAGGAGAGGGGTCAAATTAGCCAATTCAGGTTTAGATCATAGTTGTGGTTGTCCATGTTTCACCTTGTCAAGGAGGGTCAGGTCCATCCCAGCTTTCAGAAGCATGTCAACAATGTCCACTCTGGCCAGCTCTGCTGCTACATGCAGGACAGTCTGGGACCTCTAAGGAGGACAGACAGGAGCTCAAGGTACAAGTTGCCCTTAACCACAGATCTAGAGTCAGATTACCAAACTCAAACCCATAACCATTACAATGTCTCTAAATCATTAGTTGCATCCCAAATGCACCCTATTCAGCAGAGGATAGGGTGCCATTTGGGATGCACTGATGATTTCAAAATAGCATTAGTTATGATTACAACATTGATGTGGACTGAGTGCACATGCGTTGTACATACGTGATCAGTGATGTTGATGTTGCAGCCAGCCTCCAGCAGTGTGTGGATGACAGGGATGTGACAGTTCTTCACTGCCAGGTAGAGAGGAGCCTGGAGGTGCTGCCAACAGAGACACAACCAACATGGACCATTAGATAGAAACTCTCTGATGTCAGGTCACTTACTACTGAGTAATTACTAGGATAACATGTTGGCTGTATTCATGGTTGACCAAGACTTAGTACGAGTTCTCTATGCTCACTCTCACCTGGTTTTGTAAGTCCATCTGGGCCGAGTTCTCTATGAGGAGTTTCACCAATGACGTGTGGCCCTTCTCTGAGACAGGGTGTAGAGCAGAGCCTTGGCTCTAAGAGAGGAGTGGAGAGGTTCCCATTGAATGGTGGGTGTGTGTGTGTGTGTGGTGGTGGTGTGGTGGGGGGTCCCCTCCAAACTGGGTCTGGAGGGATCCTTCCTTTAATGATTTAGTAACTATGCCTAGTGGTGTCCATTTTAATGACTGGTTGGAGTGTGAGGTTGGTGTGGTTTGCTGGCGTACCATGGTGACAATGTTTAGGTCACAGCCTGCCTCCAACAGAGCCTGGACACAGTCCTCATGGGCAGCGTCAGCAGCCAGGTACAGAGCTGTCTCCCCAACCTGCCCCAGATACATCACTCATTGATCAGCTATTGACCTAAAGCAGCTACAGTATGGTGGAGTCATTGAGCAAACACAGTCACACATGCTGGCAATCAAACAGCTTCAGACAGTGTTTCCAGTGGGACTCTACCATATTGACTTCATCACGGGTATCAAAGCTCTTCAACAGTAGCTGAACGGTGTCCAAATGGCCATTGCTGGCAGCCAAGTGCAGAGGTGTGTCCCCATTCTAGCATTTAGAGAAAGAGGAAAAGCAGGAGGTTGGGAGGAAAGGAGAGAAACACAGTAAACGGGAAGGGGAGATAGAGAAACAGTGGAACAGTCATACAGCCTCCTACACACACACCTGGTCTTCCTCCATGGTGGCCATATTGTATGCCTCCTCCATCAACATCTGCAGCATCTCTACAGAGCCATGCTCTGCTGCCAACGCAAACGCCCTGTGTCCAGACTGAGAAAGAGAGAAGGCGGAGGAAGAGAAGAGGAGAGGATGAAAAAAGGTCAGCTTACTGAACAAAGGCAGCCCAACCAACATTTGAAATGGATGTAATGGTTACTGATACTGTATGTCTATGTAGTTACCAGGTCCTCTTTGTCCAGCTCTTTCATCATCAAGTCGTAGATAATGAACGTCACTATGTCGGTGTGGTTGTTGATAGCAGCACAGTGCAGGATGTTCATTCCCACCTGAGAACAGATAATACAACTCACCATCTCCATACATGACACCTCAAGACAATTTGACATATTGGATTCTCCATTGGCTATGTAGAAATTGGCTCGATGGTTGTTTATTGTAATTGACATCCCAGATGTCTGAGATGTCAGAGAACAACTTAGGTCTGACCAGCGGGACAAGGAAAGGGATTTCTGAGACACATTCAAGGCCTTCTGGATTCAAAGAGAATGTTTTTAACAGAGGCTCCCTACCACATTCTGAACACCTGGGTCAGCACCACCCTGCACAAGCAACTTCAGGATGGGTACACTCCCAAACCAGGCAGCCAGGTGGATGGCTGTCACTCCATGCTATGTGAGTATGTATGGAAGAAATAGGGGGAGAGAGAAAGATATATAGAGAGAGTGGAGCTGTTTCATTTTCACAAACCATGGCCAATCTCTTCACATGTCTGATTGTTTGTTGAAGAGGACAAGCTTAAAATTTCACCATCAGTAACAATGAAAAAGTGTTGTCTTCCTACCTTGTCCGCTTGATTGAGATTTGCTCTGCGCTGTAGAATGACTTGGACGGCCTCTATGTTTTTTCCAGCTACTGCATAGTGCAGGGCAGTACGATCATGCTGAGATCAATGCATGGGACAAGTTATTCAAACAAGTGACACAGAACAGAATATATGGTTATATTAACTGCAGTGTGGCTAGCTGCATGTAGCCTAGCGGTTAGAGTGTTGGGCCAGTAACAACAATTTTGCTAGTTCGAATCCCTGAGCCGACTAGGTCAAAAGTCTGTTGATCTGCCCTTGAGCAAGGGACTTAATCCTAATTGCTCCATGGTCACTAATGGCTGATCCCTGGCTGTGACCCCACTCTCAGGGGGATATGCAAAAAACACATTTCCATTTCATACTACACACATGGGTGAAACAGGACAAATATAAGCACCCCCTATTTGACCTTTGGTGTTCCATGGATATGAGGACTGACTCACCAAGTTCTTTGCGTCGACATTGACCGCCCTCCCCAGAAGCTTCATGGTCTGTACATCATTTATTTTTGCTGCGTCAATGTACTCCTTCTCTAGCGCCAACACTACAAACACACAACAGACACACAAGGTGCTTCACAATAAGACATCAATATGCATGTTTTTCTTCAGAGAAAATGTTTTTCTTCAGAGCGTGTGAAATTGGAGTTACTTTGAATAATATGAGGGTGGAATGAGTTGTGTGTGTGTGTGTGTGTGTCTGTGTGTGTGCCCTATACAAACACAGCTCTTTGCTGTGTTTGTAGAGCATTTATCTGTCATGGGTAATGATTTGACTGGATGTGAACACCCAGTGTGCAAAGAGCATATAGGGTATGCCTAACACACCTTAGAAAGGTTTTCCAACATGGATTCAACCATAGGAATGATCAGGGGTTTGGTCATGAGCAATCATCATTTCTACAGTATATTATCAAAACAGATTCCATGCTTGGTCATTATAATCAAGAGGATAAGGATATTCATTGCTTGCTTTGGTCTATATAAGAATTTGCTAGCATTGAATATTCACAAAATGTTTCTTAACATGTGATACCATAATTACAAGAACACACTTTACAATCCTGTCAAACAGGGCAATTGCCAGGCTCTGTTGCCTCAGGCTATAATTCTTACTTTTGATTTTGACCTTAACCTACCACCTTAGTTGTCAGTGTTTACTCAAATGATCTAAACAGGCTTTCAGTCACTCATCCATTTACATGTACGTGCCCACACACACGCATGCGTAAGCACACACACAAACCTGGTACTCACACATCTCTTTGTTATCGTAGCTGTTGTCTGTCTCCTCCGTCTCCTTGTTCTGTATAAAGTCTGTGAATCCCTTCACTGCTTTTTTCGTGTTTTCTCGTGTTTTAGGGTTCAGGTTTAGCTCCTTCAGCTGCGCCCCCATCCTCTCCTTCAGAAACTTTATCTCCTTCAAGGACCTTCTCTCCATAGTGAATATCTGGTGACTTCTTCCTGGGTCCCAGTCTGTCTCTGCTTTATACAACCTCTGCTTCTCTGCTTTATACTTGCCTTGCCAAACAACCATGTAGAATTACTGAATAAATGCAGACAGTCTGGTCAGGAACTGGACCTTTTCACTGGAGCAGTCGATACTGAGGAACCTAAAGAGAACTCAGCACTGTCAAATACACAACAGTCTAGTAACCCTTTCTCTGTGCATATCATACACTGAAGCTCTTCCTGCATAAGGAATACAAATTGGTGTGGGAATGGAGCAATGTATGTACATTCCCCGGGCAGGAGGGCTGACGTCTGTTTACTCTAGAAGCTCACACCCTTCACAGACACTCACAGTGAGTGCATGATAAATATTATGTAATGCTCTACCTGCACCTGCAGTCTAAGATTGGAATAAACTGTATGAGTGCAGATTAATTAATCCCATCTTGTCATTCATTTATTTGATTAGTGACTAAGGGCCTATATGTTTGTAAAGTAGACGATCATTATATAATTATGAATCTAAGCTCCAATCTAAACTACAACAGTAGTCTAGGCCATATATGTGTTTAAATGGATTTGTACTAGCTAGGGTTGGGCGATGTCAGATGTAGACTAACTCAGGGTTTCCCAAACTCGGTCCTGCCCCCCCCACCCCCAGGGGTATTCAACTCTTACACTACGAGGTCCAGACGGAGCCTGCTGGGTTTCTGTTCTACCTGATAATTAATTGCACACACCTGGTGTCCCAGGTCTAAATCAGTCCCTGATTAGAGGGGAACAATGAAAAAATGCAGTGGAACTGGCTTCGAGGTCCAGAGTTAAGTTTGACGGCGCTAGAGTTTCAGCATGCCACGGAACAGGTGTGTGTGTGTGTGTGTGTGTGTGTGTGTGTCTCGCGCACATGATGGACAGTCAACTGATAAGGAACAGGCTTTCTTACCATAGTGAGTTAGGTTATAAATCATGATAGGCCTAGTAGGAGGATATATTATTGGTCATTTGGTTAATTACCTCGCATGGATGGATTTTTCTGCCCACATGGATAATTTATTTCTTAATTAATAAGCTTAAACTTGTCATTATATTTTTCTATAGGCCATTGATATTGTTTGTTCGCTCTCTTTATTAGTCCCCTGGCTACCTTACATTTTTAGGCCATTTAAACAGGTTTTTGAGATGGAACTCATTGTTTGATCGGTAGAGAATGCATGCATAAAATGATGAAAGCGTACTATACCCCAAACTCATAGTCATATAGAATGGAGAGACAAGGGAATATAGCCTACGTTTTTTTTAAACAGCTAGACACAATATAGTTAAGGAGTGTCCGTTATAAAAAATGAATAGGTTTAGACTATAAGGCCCATGCATCTGACAGCGAGAGAGACAGAGAGAATATTTTCTGACTGTACATTTTGCGCTGAAATAGGCTATAGCAAATAGGAATAGGCAGATTACTCAGAATATCTCGTGTGCTGCCCTGACGCGCAGCGTCAGTCAAGTTCAAATAGGCTAAACCATCGTCTGTCACATCATGATGTTGTCACCATTGACGATGGCCGCCAATCATCATCGATAGACGATTCTATCGTAATATCCTAATTTGTACTGTACACATTAAATACTCATCACAATGACACAAGGAGAATAATGTATTGCTTACTCGTTCATTGAGCCACATTTACAGTGGTGGCAACTTTTATTTTCCATAAGAAAAATAGCCTATGAAATACATATTTGAATACAATATTTAAAAAACTACTAAATAGCCTATACTTCAGTTAACTTATGCAAAAATAATGCAATCTCATACTGGTATTCTATTCACAACCCTCTTCTTCACATCCATACTGCACAGTATGTGTTTAAAAGACTGAGGATCAACTCTATTAATGCTTATTATTCTTTTCATTTAAAATGGTGCAAAACACAAGATGCAAAAACACAGAGTTCCCTCATTTAGCAGAAGGTAGTAGTCTCTCTAGACACCAGGGTTGCCTCCCACAATGTTTCAAATCACAGGAGGACGGCTCATAATAATGGCTGGAATGGTGTAAATGGGAATGGTATCAAACACATGGAAACCATGTTTGATGTGTTTGACACCATTCCATTTATTCTGTTCCAGTGATTACTATGAGCCCCTCCACCCCAATTAAGGTGCCACCTGCTGCCTGTGGTTTCAATGTTCCGGTTTAACACCTCTGTAAGTAATAGAAGGTCAGTTTGGCATAGAGGAACTATGTCACTGCCTAGGTCACTACCTTATCCGTTTGAATAAAAACAAAAATAGTAGCTAGCAAGATGGTGATCACAGAGGTTATTTTTAATGAGTGCATTTTGCAAGTGGTTAGTTTGCATCAACTACCTTCACTAAAACCACTGCAAAGGTTTTGCCTGCAAACTTATGACCATTATGACTTTAAAGACGGCACAAAAGACATAAAAACTCATATTATTGAAAGAAGAAAGTGCATCTTCAATGCTTGTGGTAAGCAATCCAAATTTCCAGCAATCCCAGAAGTACTAGGTAGGTAGGGATGGTTGCTAGTGAGGTCACCAGCATTCCATTCACCTGAGATCCAGGTAACAGTCAGTCATTATCACTGTCTGAGCATAAGACGTCATACACGGGATCCTCTGGGAGTTGTGTGTGTTGTCACCTGAGGTGCGTCACCTGAAGAACTTGTCAATGGTGTTCCTAGCTGGGCCAAGGGCTTTGGCCTTCTTAGAGGGGGGTGGGGGAGACAAGCCTCTCCTGGAAGTGTAGCAGAACAAAACACAGCACATTTTACTGCAGGATTCTCACTGTCTGCACCAGTATCTGCAACCATCTTATTTTGACGTACCACACAACGTTTAACTCATTTGTGAATGTGCTGACTTTCAAACTAATCTCTCGCTCTCTTATATGTGTAAGGAGATGTAGTCTCACCTTTTGCTCTTGCCTTTCTGTGGCGCTCTCTGCAGGGGCTGCTCTCTCTCTGTGGAGGGAAACAGGAAAAACTCCATCAGATTATCCTACCTGCCGCTAAAAACAGAATGACGACTGTCTAGGTCCGGCATGTCATTTGTGTTAATTTCAAAGCTATAAAGACTAATTTCCCAGGCAGGATAGTTAAGGAGAAACTGGGAGAGACCGTCTTTCCATTGTCAGGATTGAATGGGTGAAGAAGTGATTTACCAGTGGCAGAGAGCATGGCAGGACAGCCCCCACAGGGTGAAATGAGTTGTCTTCTTTCTCTCAAAGGGAATCAATACACAGACAGCACTGACCTCACACTGACCAAACAAATCCTTCAAGTTTTAACTATAAGACTTCAGGACAGTGTTTTTTCAAGTCCAAACAGTGTAATTCATTTTCGGGATGGAAAATGGCTTTCAGTGTAAACTTAAATGAATATAACCAGACAGGAAGTATGTAGAAAAGATAACTGGCCTACAGTCAGGTCCATAATTATTGGCACCCTTGATAAAGATGAGTAAAAAAGACTGCACCCGTTTTCAATACTCTTTCACCCTCCCCTTGTGAGGATAATGACATAGAGCCTTTTTCTAAAATGTTTTATGAGATTGGAGAACACATTGGGAGGGATCTTAGACCATTTCCCATACAGAATCTTTCCAGATCTTTGATATCCTTTATCTGCACTTATGGACGGCCCTTTTCAATTAAAACCACAGGTTTTCAATGGGGTTCAATTCCGGAGACTGAGAAGATCATTGCAAAATGTTGCTTTTGTGGTCAATTAACCATTTCTTTGTGGATTTTGATGTGTGCTTGGAGTTATTGTCTTGCTGGAAGATCCATTTGCGGAAAATGTCAGCCTCCTGGCAGAGGCAACCAAAATGTGTAGAATCTCTATGCACCCCGACACACCCACCACCGGTCTCTTTTTGATCTAGAAAAAAACCCTGAGTTTTACTCTTTCTTTGGAGAAAATATACTCCACCTCAATTTACAATCTCCTGGATTACATATTGAGTAGGAATAGAGGCAGAAACAGGACCCATGCAAGCACTGGGGATGAGACTGGTATTGGCAGCACATAAGAAAAACAGGGTGGAAAAGTCCCTGGTCTATTTTAATGACAATGGCAGTAATGCATGATCATACAGTAAATAAAACATATCTGAAACACTGACCTTTGTGGGCAGCAGGTGGTGCATTGTGGGGGGTGCGGTCCATAGACGCCAGTCCCCCAAGCTCATGCAGGACTTCCTGGTTCAGACAGAGGTCAACGTGTCGGTTAAAAAGGATGAGGTCATTGGTGTCCTGGGTCTCCAGACAAACTGGACAGGTGAGGGTGGGGCCTCTGTGGTCATGTGACTCAGGCTTGGGCGTAGTCATTGGCCGAGGGCCACCGGGGGACAACAGACAAACCCGAACATGAGGGTCACTTTGAGACGAACCATTCAGGGTGTTAGGGTCTGTACCTCTACATATAGATACACCTCCATTTGGACAAGTGTTAAGGCAGACAGGGTTCAGGCCCACAGTGTTTAGTGAAATATTAGCTGTACTAGTCTCATATAGAAGTAGTCCTGTAGTGTCCTCTATATGATCACCTGCACTAGAGTCCAATCGAAGGCCCACTGAGTCCAACATGCACCTACGGAGTAGCTCCCTACCTTTCTCCATCACCCCCTCCTCCCGCTTCCTCTCCCCTACAGTTATCTCTCTCTCCACCTCCTCCTCACAGACACTGGGGCCTCTCTCTATTTCTGTGTCTGTGTGGTTGTTTTGCCCCATAGTAACCCCACCGAGACACTGGTCAACATGTCTGTTGAAGACTGTCAGGTCTGTGGTGTTTACAGCCCTGAAGCACACAGGGCAGGTCAGACTGTCTGTCCCTGACTCTGGCTCTGTTGAACAGCATGATGAAGTAGATGCATGGGCCTCTGTGGTGCTGGCTGTAGGTGCATGTGTCATTTTGTCAGAAGCTGTCAATGCACTCATAGAGATGTGTGTCTCTGCTGATGTATTTGTATTCTTCTGAGTATGTGTCTGTGTGTCTTTGGTGTTGGTGGCCGATGAGGCTGGGCCCCGTCTGGTCTCTAAGCCATTCCAATCTCCATTCTCTGGTGGGTCCTCTCTCTCAACTTGCAGCCGCTGCCTCTGGGTGTGAGCTCTCTGCAAGAAGGACTGCTGGAAGGTCTCCCCAGTCCTCCCAACCTCCACCCCTCCCCGGCTGGGTACCCAGGAGTGACCCTCCTGCCCCTGCCTCTGCTGTACCAGGGAAGGGCAGGCAGAGGGCTTGGTCTGGCCTGGAGGCTTAGGTTGATGCTCTATCACAGGCTTGTGGGAGGAGATCTGGAAGGGGCTACTTGAGTCAGCCCCATTTTTTTGGAGAAATCCCACAATGCTCTTCTGCCGGGGTTTCTTGTCATCAGCGCTGGCGAAGCTGGAAACTCGAACGCCTGCAGACACGCAAGCGTTGATTTAAAACTGCAGTCAATTGTTTTAATCAAGCTTCAAGTTCAAATATATTAATTATTAACAGAATCAGTAGAATGTACTTCATATATTATTCTTATATACAACATACACTGCTCAAAAAAATAAAGGGAACACTAAAATAACACATCCTAGATCTGAATGAATGAAATAATCTTATTAAATACTTTTTTCTTTACATAGTTGAATGTGTTGACAACAAAATCACACAAAAATTATCAATGGAAATCAAATGTATCAACCCATGGAGGTCTGGATTTGGAGTCACCCTCAAACATTAAAGTGGAAAACCACACTACAGGCTGATCCAACTTTGATGTAATGTCCTTAAAACAAGTCAAAATGAGGCTCAGTAGTGTGTGTGGCCTCAACGGGCCTGTATGACCTCCCTACAACGCCTGGGCATGCTCCTGATGAGGTGGCGGATGGTCTCCTGAGGGATCTCCTCCCAGACCTGGACTAAAGCATCCGCCACCTCCTGGACAGTCTGTGGTGCAACGTGGCGTTGGTGGATGGAGTGAGACATGATGTCCCAGATGTGCTCAATTGGATTCAGGTCTGGGGAACGGACGGGCCAGTCCATAGCATCAATGCCTTCCTCTTGCAGGAACTGCTGACACACTCCAGCCACATGAGGTCTAGCATTGTCTTGCATTAGGAGGAACCCAGGGCCAACTGCACCAGCATATGGTCTCACAAGGGGTCTGAGGATCTCATCTCGGTACCTAATGGCAGTCAGGCTACCTCTGGCGAGCACATGGAGGGCTGTGCGGCCCCCCAAATGAACCTGCTTTCATCTGTGAAGAGCACAGGGCGCCAGTGGCGAATTTGCCAATCTTGGTGTTCTCTGGCAAATGCCAAAACGTCCTGCACGGTGTTGGGCTGTAAGCACAACCCCCACCTGTGGACGTCGGGCCCTCATACCACTCTCATGGAGTCTGTTTCTGACCGTTTGAGCAGACACATGCACATTTGTGGCCTGCTGGAGGTCATTTTGCAGGGCTCTGGCAGTGCTCCTCCTGCTCCTCCTTGCACAAAGGCGGAGGTAGCAGTCCTGCTGCTGGGTTGTTGCCCTCCTACGGCCTCCTCCACGTCTCCTGATGTACTGGCCTGTCTCCTGGTAGCGCCTCCATGCTCTGGACACTACGCTGACAGACACAGCAAACCTTCTTGCCACAGCTCGCAGTGCCATCCTGGGTGAGCTGCACTACCTGAGCCACTTGTGTGGGTTGTAGACTCCGTCTCATGCTACCACTAGAGTGAAAGCACTGCCAGCATTCAAAAGTGACCAAAACATCAGCCAGGAAGCATAGGAACTGAGAAGTGGTCTGTGGTCACCACCTGCAAAACCAGTCCTTTATTGGGAGTGTCTTGCTATTTGCTTATAATTTCCACCTGTTGTCTATTCCATTTGCACAACAGCATGTGAAATTTATTGTCAATCAGTGTTGCTTCCTAAGTGGACAGTTTGATTTCACAGAAGTGTGATTGACTTGGAGTTACATTGTGTTGTTTAAGTGTTCCCTTAATTTTTTTGAGCAGTGTATATGAAAGGTGATATTATTAATGTATTTTTTTGCCAATGGGACACCACATTTAAACCAGTGAGAGAAGGTAAGGTAAGATTACCCATGAGTCTCAGTCTCAGTGGCTGGGGGCTGACGTTGTCGATCTCAGTCTTCAGCAAGTTCTTAGCGACAGCAAAGAGCTCTTCCATCGTAGCAACAGCACACGGCAACGTCCACGCTCTGGTTTTCACCTCAAAGTTGACATTTTTCAGCTTCAACGTCACCGTCTTGCCCTGGAAGAACACAGAGCAAATGACAAGTACAGAATAAATCTGGTTGGACCTGGGGAAGGAGTCAAAGGACAGAACAGACATTGATTTGACTGATAGATGACACTAAGTGAAGAAGGGTCAAAGGCATTTTCCTAGGAGAGTGATGATCATTCCCAAGCAGCCTATTCCACAGGCAGGCTGAGGCTCACACTGGTCCCTGGTAGTCTCCATAATGGCTCTCCATTTCCTCCAGGTATCAAAAGTATATTAGGGCACAGTCAGGGGGTGATGGCCCTGCCAAGCCAGCTCTCTCTATCGATTGGGACGGGAACAGATGCTCTGGTAATTGTGTGAGATGCTGGTTAGAGACAGATTGAGTATGGGAGCCAACACTAGCGCTGCAATGTTTTAAGACCCCAAAATACCCTCTCTATAGAAATATACTTTCTGTTCAATAACCCTTTTCTGCTCTCTCTTCCCCAGAGGAAAGAGTAATCTGAGGCAATCTCACTGCACAGAGCAAGAGGCAGGCAGTCAGGCAATGGCTGTTCACAATGGTGCTGAATACTAACACCAGCCACAACAAACAGTTCCATGCGTTATGTACTGTCGAACAGCTCTGCATTTCACACAATAGCCACAAAAATACAAATCCTAGAGAATCGTTGTCTGATTTTTTTTTTCATTTAGCAGACGCTCTTATCCAGAGCGACTTACAGGAGCCATTAGGGTTAAGTGCCTTGCTCAAGGGCACATCGACAGATTTTTCACCTAGTCGGCTCGGGGATTAGAACCAGCGACCTTTCAGTTACTGGCACAACGCTCTTAACCACTAAGCTACCTGCCAATAGCTTATCAGACAGTGATTTTGTGTTTAAGAATATACTCTAAGGAAGAGAAATGTGCTATACAACTGGAATCTATGCTAGTAATGACCTATACTATTACTAATAGTGTACTGTAATCAACTGTGCTGTAGAGTACCTTAAGAGCCTCCTTCTGCAGGTCCTGAGCCAGGTCTTGGCACAGCTCCCTGCACAGAGAGAACTGCTCCTCTAATGCACTCATCTCTCCAAACGTCCTAACAGAGAATGAGGGAGATTGAGATGTTGGATATGGGGAGTATGTACCATTATTTATCTATGTATTTCACATATATGTTGTCAGAAAAGAAAAACAACCACCTCTCTGTACTCATGCTTTTTCTCTCTCCGTCCCTGTAAGTAAATACAAAAACAGAGACTCAGTCAGATGACTTGAACTAATTTTAAGGATTAATCTTCTGTATAGTTACGCCTCTCCTCTCTGCCCACCCCCCTCTGCTTGCCCGGCCAGAACCTCTCGATGTGTGTGGAGCCCAGGCCCAGGGAGATGTGGAGGAAGTGATGCCAAGACGTCTCAGAGAACAGCAGGGTCAGCATCGCCATCTCCTGGCCAAGATGGGAACAGCTGGTGATACCAAGAACTCCCAGCATCTTCTCTGTCACCTTCCCAATGCCTGAGACCTGGCACACCAAAAGACCATCATCTTTATTTGTAGGTCATCAGCCAGCAACCTGGTCCATAAACAATCTCCTAGAGTATGCATCCCTTAAGATAGGCTGTCTAGGTTTATGGGTAGGCGTACAGCAGCCTACCTTCCGGACTGGCAGGTCTTGTATGAAGTCTATGACAGCCTGTCGGTTAGAGGGGAGTCTGTACTGGCCGTTGGGTTTGTTCTTATCACTACACACCTTGGCCAGCATCATGTTTGGGGCAATGCCTAGAAGAAAAAAAATATATATATATAAAAAAAGAAACCCATGGCAAATGTGTTACATGCTTGATGTGACTACACACAGAATATGATTATAAAGTTAGGCTCCCTGAGGTATTTTAACACAACTAACTATGTAACTCTCAGTTGTGTCCAAAAAGGCACCCTATTCGCCTATGGGCCCTGGTAAAAAAGAATGCATAGAGAATAAGGTGCCATTTGGGACTCAGACAATGTGTCCTCCAAGGAACATGAACACACAGCGTCTCTCTCACCTGCGCTGGCAGTTAGTGAGGTCTTCTGCTCGATGCGGAAGCGCATCTCTCTCACCGCCTCCTCGGCACAGGTCCCAAACACCACCACGTCTCCCCCAGCAGCATCCTGCAGACAGGGGGAGGAGCTGGGGCTGTCCTCAAACAGGACAGGAGACCTACCCTCTACCCCTACTGTCTCAGGTAGGCCATCACCATGCTCTTCAACTAGAGAGAGAGAGAGAGAGAGAGAGAGAGAGATGGAGGGAGACAGAAATAGAAGTGGAGAGAAGGTGTGAGATAATGAGAGATGATTCACAGCTGATTGTCCATGTCTCTTATCTTCTGCTCCCCTTGTCACTCGTTATGCTTGACAGGTGGCAAAAGTGAACTAGATAAGAGAAAGAGACAGGGAATACACAGACATAGTTCTAAACCCTTCTAATTCACTTTCTCTGTCAGGCAGAAAATAGAGGAAGAATTACATGAGGCTTTTGCTATTAAGCTCTTAGTAACCCTCTCTCCTTTTGTTACATCTTCCATATAACATTTATCTGCCTTTATATTACATTCAAACTACTTACAGTCTACTCTCAAAGTTGTCTTACAAATGACAACTTTATCACAGTCCGTAAACTACAACTGCAATATTGGTTTAAAAAAAAAGCTATCCAACAGTGTAACAAACGACCATAACTCTCAGTTATTACACAATAATCCACTGTATTTAGACACTGACTCCTGACCTAGCACTGGCATGGATCTAGCTACCTCTAGCTGCCCCAGTGTTGTTGGTGTGGAGACGGAGACGGTGGGTACGGAGGGCCTCTGGCCAGCCCCTCCTCTGCTCAAGGTGCTCACTGATGTCCAGGAATGCTTCGTCGAGACTCATGGGCAGGAAGTGAGGGTCATAGTCTGCAAAGACCTCCCGGACCTAGCAGAGATTTTGGATGATTTGTCTCTTTGGGGAGTATTTATACATATAGTGTGTGTGTGTGTGTGTGTGTGTGTGTGTGTGTGTCAGATCCTTACTTCAGCGCTCACTGCTCTGTATTTGTCAAAGTTGGTTGGAACAATAACCAGGTTTGGGCAGAGCTTCTTTGCGATGAAGCCAGGCATGGCGGCACGGACCCCAAACTTCCTGGCATGGTAGTTGGATGTTGACTGAAGAGAGTGGACAAAACACATACAATTTGTAGAGATACATAACCTGGGGTTCAATATGGGATATGTGTTGTAGTGCAATAAAAGGACATCTTTCAGATCCAGTTAGAAGAACATAAACCAGTTCATATGTGAAGGAGAAAGATCCCCAGATATGAACCTCCCTCTGGGTAGCAATGATGAGAAATTCAACAGACTTGCCTTTCTTATTTTGACATCACATGATAACTGGAGACAATTGGTATCACGAATGAATGACAATCAAACAAAACAACCACTACACTTATCTACATTATTTGTCTAGTCTCTAGCAGGTCTTGTTGGTCATAGTCTTGCGTGGCCAGCCTTCTAAATCCTGTCTCGTTCACGAGAAGCCTTGGCTTCTGAGACTGTTGGTCACTATATACTTTGCTAGCAAATGAACAGTCCTGTTCATGGCTTATAGAATCTCACCAACATGCTCATGGAGCCCACAGCCATGGGTTTGTCCATCAGGTCAGGACAGTCTCTCGTCTCCACCGCAGCGTAGAAGGCATCCATATCCACGTGCACAATGACACGGCTCAGGTCACGACCCCTCTCCAGGTCAGAGGTCATCTTCTCCACCTACAACAAGACGTTAAGAGGTGACAGCTTCAATCAAATAATAACTAAATATACAGTACCAGTCAAAGGTTTGGACACACCTACTCATTCCAGGGTTTTTCTTGATTTTTTACTATTTTCTACATTGTAGAATAATAGTGAAGACATCAAAACTATGAAATAACACATATGGAATCATGTAGTAACCAAAAAAGTGTTAAACAAATCAAAATATATTTTATATTTGAGATTCTTCAAATAGCCACCCTTTGGCTTGATGACAGCTTTGCACACTATTGGCATTCTCTCAACCAGCTTCACCTGGAATGCTTTTCCAACAGTCTTGAAGGAGTTCCCACATATGCTTAGCACTTGTTGGCTGCTTTTCCTTCACTCTGTGGTCCAACTCATCCCAAACCATCTCAATTGGGTTGAGGTCGGGTGATTGTGGAGGCCAGGTCATCTGATGCAGCACTCCATCACCCTTACACAACCTGGAGGTGTGTTTTGGGTCATTGTCCTGTTGAAAAACAAATGATAGTCCCACTAAGCGCAAACCAGATGGGATGGCATATCGCTGCAGAATGCTGTGATAGCCATGCTGGTTAATTGAATTCTAAATTCTAACCTCCCGAGTGGCACAGGGGAGGGAATGGCCGGCAGGGATGTAGCTCAGCTGGTAGAGCATGGTGTTTGCAATGCCAGGGTTGTGGGTTCGATTCCCATGGGGGGCCAGTATGAAAAAATAAAAATAAATAATGTATGCACTCACTAACTGTAAGTCGCTCTGGATAAGAGCGTCTGCTAAATGACTAAAATGTAAATATGTAAATAAATCACCGACAGTGTCACCAGCAAAGCACCCCCATAACATCACACCTCCTCCTCCATGCTTCATGGTGGGAACCACACATTCGGAGATCATCCATTCACCTACGTCTCACAAAGACACGGCGGTTGGAACCAGAAATCTCCCATTTGGACTCATCAGACCAAAGGACAGATTTCCACCGGTCTAATGTCCATTGATCGTGTTTCTTGGCCCAAGCAAGTCTCTTCTTCTTATTGGTGTCCTTTAGTAGTGGTTTCTTTGCAGCAATCCGACCATGAAGGCCTGATTCACGCAGTCTCCTCTGAACAGTTGACGTTGACGCATTTATTTGGGCTGTAATCTGAAGTGGAGTTAACTCTAATGAACTTATCCTCTGCAAATCAAATCAAATGTTATTGGTCACATATACATGTTTAGCAGATGTTATTGCTGGTGTAGCGAAATGCTTGTGTTTCTAGCTCCAACAGCGCAGTATATCTAACAAATCATAACAATACTCATAATACACACAATCTAAAAGTAAAAGAATGGAATTAAGAAATATATAAATATTAGGACGAGCAATGTCAAAGTGGCATAGACTAAAATAAAGTAGAATAGAATACAGTATATACATATGAGATGAGTAAAGCAAAAATATGTAAACATTATTAAAGTGACTAATAGCAGAGGTAACTCTGGGTCTTCCTTTCCTGTGGCGGTCCTGATGAGAGCCAGTTTCATCATAGCGCTTGATGGTTTTTGCGACTGCACTTTAAGAAATGTTCCGGATTCACTGACCTTCATGTCTTAAAGTAATGATGGACTGTCATTTCTCTTTGCTTATTTGAGCTGTTCTTGCCATAATATGGACTTGGTCTTTTACCAAATAGGGCTATCTTCTGTATACCACCCTTACCTTGTCACAATACAACTGATTGGCTCAAATGCATTAAGAAGGAAATAAATTCCACAAATTAACTTTTAACAAGGCACCCCTGTTAATTTAAATGCATTCCAGGTGACTACCTCATGAAGCTGGTTGAGAGAATGCCAAGAGTGTGCAAAGTTGTCATCAAGCCAAAGGGTGGCTACTTTGATGAATCTCAAATATAACATATATTTAGATTTGTTTAACACTTTTTTGGTTACTACATGATTCCATGTGTTATTTCATAGTGTTGATGTCTTCACTATTATTCTACAATGTAGAAAATCGCAAAAATAAAGAAAAACCCTGGAATGAGTAGGTGTGTCCAAACTTTTGACTGGTACTGTATACTGTATAAGTTATACTGTATCTGTGTGTCAGAGAGTATAGCCCTGTACCTGTGCTTGAGCTTTGCTCAGCTGTTGCTCAGTGATGTGTGCTTTCTGCAGCCTCATCCTCTCAATGCGCTGGTTCACCTGCTGTTCCTTCTTCAGCTCGTTCTCATAGAACCTGGAGCCCTGCAGGAGAGAGGGAAACAGAGAGGCGGATGACCTCCAGTATCAGGTCATGGAACACTGAGAAGAGAACCCACTAGACCTCAACACAAGTGGGTTTGTCAGTTCCTGTGCAATTAGAGTAAGGTAACTAGCTAGGGTATTGACTCAGAGTCTAGGATGTTAGTTTAGGTGTTTGAATAAACAGACAGAAGTTCTCAACCTGTACCTTGGAGGACTCCATGATGATCTTGTTTATCTTGTCCCTGTCAAGGCCCTTCATTCCAGCCTTGTTGTCATTGAGGGCCATTCTGGAGAGGAAGCCCTCCCCACTGGAAGAGGAGGTCCCCCCTGTCGCCATCCTTCACCTCAAGTGAGACCCTGCATTGAATACATAAACCAAGCAAAATTTGCTACGAATAATTATGGTAAGTGAACTAGCTTGCTAGCTAGCAAAATATGTATTCATCCATACAAGTTGGTTCCACAATGTAAAGTAAGCTTAACAGCTAGTAACACTAGTTTCCAACTGTCTATGCCAAGAATAAATAATATTTTGTTTGTTTACGGTAAAAGTATCTTCTTTGCCTATGCCTCTTCAGTCTTGAGTTCTGAATTTGCTTCCGCATTCTACGTCAATTTGGAGGAGGTGCAGTTTCCTTGTTTACAGATGTAGACCACGCACGGCGCAGATAAACAAAACCTTGATGAAACAAATGCAGCTACAAACGTTTAACAGGTGAGCCAATGTTGTTGATTTATTAATATGTTCTTGACAAACAAGTGAGCCAATGTTTTATGATTCATGAATATGATCTACGTAACGTGATATTAATCCAGGTCCCGTGTAGCTCAGTTGGTAGAGCATGGCGGTTGTGGGTTCGATTCCCACGGGGGTCCAGTATGAAAATATATGCACTCACTAACTGTAAGTCGCTCTGGATAAGAGCGTCTGCTAAATGACAAAAATGTAGATGTAATTAATTTATTAAAACAATTAAATATCACAAACCGTATCAAGGGATTTTGATATAGACATCAGGTATTTTGCGCAGTTTCTGCATAGCTGCGATGTCCTATCCAGAGATAATGAAGGAATTTTCTTCCTTTCTCTACCATCTCTGACCTAACAACCACAGGCCAAGGTTTGTGTCGTCCCCATAGAGATGTATAGAGGACTCTTGTGCCCAAAACCTTATTTAGCATGAGCAGCGTCATTGAGGACTTTCACAATTTTTAAGTAGTCAACTGGGTGGGACTTCCTACGGGTTAAGGAAGGATCACATCATTCCATCCAGGTCATCAGGAGGGATCAGTCAATTAATTATACTCTTGAGCAAACATTCCATAACTGCAGGTGGCAGTAAATCACCAACCATGGCTTTATACATTTTCAAACAACACATTCCAGGTGGCAGTAAGCACCCTTTTAGTTTGTTAACCAACTCATAGCAGTAGTAAGAAGAATATCGAAGATCTTGATCACTTTTTTAGCCTCTCTGGACTAAAACCTAATTATGACAAGTGTACCATATTACGTATTGGATCGTTAAAAGACACAGTATTTACACTACCTTGTAGTTTACCAATAAAATGGGAGGATGGTGAAGTAGACATACTTGGTATTCACATCTCAAAAAATATAAATTAATTTACCACAATCAATTTCAATAGAAAGTTTGCAAAAATAGATACGATTCTGCAACCATGGAGAGCTAAATACTTGTCTATTTATGGAAAAATCCCATTGAATAACTCTTTGGTCCTATCACAGTTTACTTACTTACTAATGGCGCTGCCTACTCCAGACGACTCGTTTTTTAAATCATATGAGCAAAAAATATTTCATTTTATTTGGAATGCTAAGCCAGACAAAATTAAACGTGCCTATTTATATAATGAATATGAGTTTGGGGGGCTAAACATATTAAATATTAAAGCTTTAAACCTCTCACTAAAAGCTTCACTCATACATAAGTTATACTTAAACCCAAAATGGTTCTACAGTAGATTATTAAGAAAGGCTCATCCTTTGTTCAAAAATTGCCTTTTTGCCTTTATACAGATTACAACTTCTCATTTCCAACTAATTGAAAATGAAATGTTGTTTAAAGTATCGCCCTTTCTTAAACAAGCCATACAAAGCTGGTTACAATTTCAGTTTTATCCTCCAGAAAAGAGAGAACAAATATTACAACAAATGTTATGGTTAAACTCAAATATACTGATGAATAAAAAACCATTCTTTATGGATACAAATAAAAAAGGTATTATATTTATTAATGATATTATGAATATAAACGGTGGAGTTATGTCACATATGCAGCTATCAAAAATATATGGGAATGTCTGCTCAATCCAAACTTATAACCAACTGATTGCAGCATTACCACAAAAATGGAGGAGGCTTGTGGAAAAGGGAGAAGGTAGGGAACTTGTTTGTCTGCCATATATTAAAGATACAAATTGGCTGAAAGGAATTGGCATAAATAGATAAATATACCAGTTTCATTTGAGGACAAAAATGTTGACAGCTGCGCCATACAGGTTGCAAAATAAATGGGAAGAGATTTTCGATATACCGATTTCATTGCACGTGGTTTATGAACTGGTACAAAAAACACTTGATTCAATACTTTGAGTTTTTCAATTTAAATTGTTATACAATATTCTTGCCACCAACAGAATGCTATAAATATGGGGTATATAACAATCTCAGCTCTGTAGATCTTTCTGCGAAGAGACAGAATCCCTAGATCATTTATTCTGGTATTGCCCCTACAGTGATGGAAAAAAGTATTTGATCCCCTGCTGTTTATGTACGTTTGCCCACTGACAAAGACATGATCAGTCTATCATTTTAATGTTAGGTTTATTTGAACAGTGAGAGACAGAATAACAACAAAAAAATCCAGAAAAACCCATGTCAAAAATAAAATACATTGATTTGCATTTTAATGAGGGAAATAAGTATTTGACCACTCTGCAAAACATGACTTAGTACTTGGTGGCAAAACTCTTGTTGGCAATCACAGAGGTCAGACGTTTCTTGTAGTTGGCCACCAGGTTTGTACACATCTCAAGAGGGATTTTGTTCCACTCCTCTTTGCAGATCTTCTCCAAGTCATTAAGGTTTCGAGGCTGATGTTTGGCAACTCGAACCTTCAGCTCCCTCCACAGATTTTCTATGGGATTAAGGTCTGGAGACTGGCTAGGCCACTCCAGGACCTTAATGTGCTTCTTCTTGAGCCACTCCTTTGTTGCCTTGGCCGTGTGTTTTGGGTCATGTCATGCTGGAATACCCATCCACGACCCATTTTCAATGCCCTGGCTGAGGGAAGGAGGTTCTCACCCAATATTTGACGGTACATGGCCCCGTCCATCGTCCCTTTGATGCGGTGAAGTTGTCCTGTCCCCTTAGCAGAAAAGCACCCCCAAAGCATAATGTTTCCACCTCCATGTTTGACGGTGGGGATGGTGTTCTTGGGGTCATAGGCAGCATTCCTCCTCCTCCAAACACGGCGAGTTGAGTTGATGCCAAATAGCTCCATTTTGGTCTCATCTGACCACAACACTTTCACCCAGTTCTCCTCTGAATCATTCAGATGTTCATTGGCAAACTTCAGACGGGCCTGTATATGTGCTTTCTTGAGCAGGGGGACCTTGCAGGCGCTGCAGGATTTCAGTCCTTCACGGCATAGTGTGTTACCAATTGTTTTCTTGGTGACTATGGTCCCAGCTGCCTTGAGATCATTGACAAGATCCTCCCGTGTAGTTCTGGGCTGATTCCTCACCGTTCTCATGATCATTGCAACTCCACGAGGTGAGATCTTGCATGGAGCCCCAGGCCGAGGGAGATTGACAGTTTTTTTGTGTTTCTTCCAACTGTTGTCACCTTCTCACCAAGCTGCTTGGCGATTGTCTTGTAGCCCATTCCAGCCTTGTGTAGGTCTACAATCTTGTCCCTGACATCCTTGGAGAGCTCTTTGGTCTTGGCCATGGTGGAGAGTTTGGAATCTGATTGATTGATTGCTTCTGTGGACAGGTGTCTTTTATACAGGTAACAAGCTGAGATTAGGAGCACTCCCTTTAAGAGTGTGCTCCTAATCTCAGCTCGTTACCTGTATAAAAGACACCTGGGAGCCAGAAATCTTTCTGATTGAGAGGGGGGTCAAATACTTATTTCCCTCATTAAAATGCAAAACAATTTATAACATTTTTGACATGCGTTTTTCTGGATTTTTTTGTTGTTATTCTGTTTCTCACTGTTCAAATAAACCTACCATTAAAATTATAGACTGATCATTTCTTTGTCAGTGGACAAACGTACAAAATCAGCAGGGGATCAAAAACTTTTTTCCCTCACTGTAGCTTGTTTCTGGTCACAGGTTCAGGAATAATTATCCTTACAAATAGCAGTATTGGGCGATTTGGAAAGCTATAGTCAGTCAATAAATAATGTAATAATACTCGTAGGAATGGTTTTCAACTTTAGCTCACAATTTGTGGATACTATACGATTAGAAAGGTTCAACATTTATGTAAAACATCACAGCACAATTGAAAAATATATGGCACATGGAAACCAAATGAGGATGGTCTATGGTGATAGGTGGGATGGGCTGAGAGTGGCTGAGGGGTGGGATTAAAGTATGTATGTCAAATGTGTTTGCAAAATGTCTATGTAAAATGTCTATGTAAAATGTCTATGTAAAATGTCTATGTAAAATGTATGTATATGTAGCAGAAAAGCTGTAAAAAACAAACAAGATATGTGTCCTCCGAAGAGGGGGGGTGGTGGATAATAATAATAAAAATAAAGAAAAAAAATGGACTACTTAAAAATGGAGATGGCCACAATGGCGCTGCCTGTGCGCTCACAGAAGCCAAAAAAAACCTGTTGTATTTTATTATTGTTTGCACTGTCTCTATGCACACTCACAGGGCCCTACACACTACGCAGACTGATACTCCAACACACTAACAAACACTCACTCCATAATTTGCTCACACACAAATAATATGCACATACATTACTACTGACTCTACTCACACCCACTCACATACAATCTTCACATACGCTGCTGCTACTCTGTTTATCATACACTATATATACAAAAGTATCTGGACACCCCGTCAAATTAGTGGATTCGGCTATTTCAGCCACACCCGTTGCTGACAGGTGTATAAAATCGAGCACACAGCCATGCAATCTCCATAGACAAACATTGGCAGTAGAATGGCCTTACTGAAGAGGTCAGTGACTTTCAACGTGGCACCGTCATAGGATGCCACCACAAGAGGTTGGTGGCAGCTTAATTGGGGAGGACGGGCACGTGGAATGGTATCAAATACATCAAACACATGGAAACCATTCCATTCCAGCCATTATTATAAGCCGTCCTCCCCTCAGCAGCCTCCACTGGATGCCACCTTTCCAACAAGTCAGTTTGTCAAATTTCTTCTCTGCTAGAGCTGCCCCGGTCAACTGTAAGTGCTGTTATTGTGAAGTGGAAACGTCAAGGAGCAACAACGGCTCAGCCGAGAAGTTGTAGGCCACACAAGCTCACAGAACGGGACCGCGGAGTGCTGAAGTGCATAGCGCGTAAAACTCATCTGTCCTCGGTTGCAACACTCACTACCGAGTTCCAAACTGCCACTGGAAGCAACGTCAGCACAAGAACTGTTAGTCGGGAGCTTCATGAAATGGGTTTCCATGGCCGAGCAGCCGCACACATGCCTAAAATCACCATGCGCAATGCCAAGCGTCGGCTGGAGTGACTCTGGAGTGATAAATCACCCTTCACCATCTGGCAGTCCGACGGACTAATCTGGTTTTGGCGGATGCCAGGAGAACGCTACCTGCCCCAATGCATAGTGCCAACTGTAACGTTTGGTGGAGGAGGAATAATGGACTGGGGCTGTTTTTCATGGTTCAGGCTAGGCCTCTAAGATCCAGTGAAGAGAAATCTTAATGCTACAGCATACAATAACATTCTAGACGATTCTGTGCTTCCAACTTTGTGGCAACAGTTTTGGGAATGCCCTTTCCTGTTTCAGCATGACAATGCCCCCATGCACAAAGCGAGGTCCATACAGAAATGGTTTGTCGAGATCGGTGTGGAAGAACTTGACTGGCCTGCACAGAGCCTTGACCTCAACCCCATCGAACACCTTTGGGATGAATTGGAATGTTCGACAAGCAGGTGTCCACATACTTTTGGTCATGTAGTGTATATCCTGATGCCTAGTCACCTTTCCCCTATACTTATGTACCTCTATCGATCCAGTATCCCTACACATTGTAAATAGGGTACTGGAACTGACCCTGAATATGGTATGCTTACTTACTTTATCGTGTTCTTCTTTTTTACTTTATATCTTGTGTGTTTTTGTTCTACCTTGTTATTTTTAGTATTACATTGTTATTGATTACTGCATTGTTGGGGTTAGAGCTTGCTAGAAAGGCATTTCACTGTACTTGTGCATCTGACATTAAATCTTGAAACTGAAACTAATGGGACAAATACTACAAAGGCGAAATGTATACATCTCTATGGTCGCAAGCTGCAAGGTCCGCCAGAGGGCGCTAGGGGGGTAGCTAGCTAGCTATCGTAGTTTCTGAGCCATTTGAAAGGATTATGTGTATTTGATCGTAGAGGATATGGCGCATTTGAACAGGACTGTTTTGTCTGCTGCATTTTACTGGATTGCTAGCCAGCTAACTAGCTTTAGCTAATTGCATTGCAGAGCCTATTTCTACCTAACGTTTGTCGTGTTGCTTATCGAAACACACATCCCGCAAGAGATTGTGGATTTAGATTGCATGCCAGAGTCTTAACTAGCTACGGCAGCTAAGCAAGCCACTCCTGATTGTTTCATGTTTTGCCACAACGTTTGCAGTCGTATCGATTTGGCAATACTCGCTTCGCCACGTCTTTATCAATTTGTGTATTTTAATTTTCTCGTGAGAAACGCTAGCCTCTACCTAGCTAACGTTACCCAACAACTTGGTTGCTAAATGTCGGAGAAGAGTTCGAACTCGTCGGGCTCCGATGAAGATGTTGATCCCGAATCTGGGCATCTTGTTGAACTCGGTGGCGTCCTAAGCAAGGTAAGTCCTAAAAAACAAACAACATTGGATCTTTATTAAAATGGCTAATGAGGGCTTGATCCTCTCAAAAACACTGCTAGGATACAACTAGAATAACTACACTGAACGAAAATGTAAACGCAACCTGTAAAGTGTTGGTCCAATGTTTCATGAGTTGAATTAAAAGATCCCAGAAATGTTCCATGCGTACAAAAAGCTTATTTCTCTCAAATGTTGTGCACAAATTTGTTTACATCCCTGTTAGTGAGCATTTCCTCTTTGCCAAGATAATCCATCCACCTGACAGGTGTGGCATATCAAGAAACTGATTAAACAACATGATCATTACACAGGTGCACCTTGTGTTGGGGACAAACGGTCACTCTAAAATGTGCAGTTTTGTGACACAAGACAATGCCACAAATGTAACAAGTTGAGGGAGGGTGCAATTGGCATGCTGACTGTAGGAATGTCCACCAACTGTTGCCAGAGAATATAATGTTAATTTCTCTAAGCCGCCTTCAACTTATTTTTAGAGAATTTGTAGTACGTCCAACAGGCCTCACAACCGCAGACCACGTGTATTGCGTTGTGTGAGCGAGCGGTTTTCTGACGTCAACGTTGTGAACAGTGTCCCATGGTTTGCGGTGGGTTTATGGTATGGGCAGTCATAAGCTAAGGATACCGAATACAACTGCGTTTTATCGATGGCAATTTGAATGCACAGAGATACCGTGATGCGATCCTTAGGGCCATTGTCGTGCCATTCATCCGCCGCCATCAGCTCATGTTTCAGCACGATAATGCACAGTGTTGCAAGGATTTGTACACAATTCCTGGAAGCTGAAAATGTCCCAGTTCCTGGATACTCACCAGACATGTCACCCATTGAGCATGTTTGGATGCTCTGTATCGACGTGTACGACAGCGCGTTCCAGTTCCCGCCAATATCCAGCAACTTAACATTGCCATTGAAGAGGAGTGGGACAACATTCCACAGGCCACAATCAACAGTCTGATCAAATCTATGTGCAGATTTGTTGCGCTGCATGAGGCAAATGTTGGTCACACCAGATACTGACTGTTTTTTTTTATCTATGCCCCTACCCTTTTTTAAGGTATCTGTGACCAACAGATGCATATCTATATTCCCAGTCATGTGAAATCTATAGATTTTTATAATGAATTTATTTCAATTGACTGATTTCCTTATATGAACTGTAACTCAGTAAAATCTTTGAAATTGTTGCGTTTCTATTTTTTGTTCAGTGTAGATAGCTAGCTGCTAGTTTTTGATTCAAAGCACTCAAGCTGGTGTATGAGTTGTGATTTACATTTCAGTCATTTAGCAGACGCTCTTATCCAGAGCGACTTACAGTTAGTGAATAAATATATATATATATTTTTTATACTGGCCCCCCGTGGGAATCAAACCCACAACCCTGGCGTTGCAAACGCCATGCTCTATCAACTGAGCTACATCCCTGCCGGCCATGCCCTCCCCTACCCTGGACGACGCTGGGCCAATTGTGCGCCGCCCATGAGTCTCCCGGTCGCGGCCGGCTGCGACAGAGCCTGGATTCGAACCAGGATCTCTAGTGGCACAGTTAGCACTGCGATGCAGTGCCTTAGACCACTGCGCCACTCAGGAGACTGATTGATAGTCAATTGTTTTACACTTCCCTATGGTGGGCACTTCCCTATTGTGGACAATGGTTGGATTAGGTTGAAAATGTTTGATCAATCTCAATTAGGCCTACTATCAGACAATAGGTACCACAAACAAACTGCCCCAGCTACTAATAACAAGGTGGGCCCAGTTGCTTTGTATGGCATCTTTGTGGGCCACCAACACCCACTTCTCTTTCAATTAATTATTAAACTAATCATCATCATCTTTAGTGATTGTTTGAAACTTAAGTGTGAAACTAAATACATTACCTTCCTACTGTAAATGCACTGCTAGGAGAATTGTAGCCTTGACTATCTGCCTTTATGTTTGTTGACAGTGGACAAACTACATTCATGGATGGCAGAACCGGTGGGTAGTGTTGAAGAACAACACTCTGAGCTACTATAAGTCAGAGGATGAACGGGAGTACGGCTGCAGGGGCTCTCTGTGTCTCAGCAAGGCTTTCATCACAGTAAGTTAGAGTAAAGGTTCATTTATTCTCAGAAAGCAGCGTTATGGCACATTATTATGGCACCTGTCACAACAAAATGGACTTCAAGACTTCCATCATACCAGCAGGGAAAGTAAAGGTTATCTCAAAAGACTATCTCAGTCCCGTTCTACTGGTTTTAAAGATTAGGTGAAAATGTCCTAGTGAAATGCTTGCCTAAAATGCAGACAATGTTAGGATGTTCTCTATCATTACTTTGAGCAATAACGTGTCATTCCTTGGGTCCACATTTTTCTGACCCAGAGAGCTAAACATTAACCAGTAATGAGGCTGTTAGTGCACAGTAGGGGATAGAGAGCAGTATTTTATCAGACAAGGGCATACTGACACTACAAGGAGAACCATTTGTAAACACACATACATAGTCCTTTATTAGGCAACTGAAATCCTGATTTCGTCTTGAAATGTAATCTTTGGCCACATACTGTTAGCCTTTGTATGCCATGCTTCTGTTTCTTCTATAGAAATGTTTGTGGTCATACGCACATCCTTAAAAACATAGGTGCTGGGCTAATAAAGAATACTAGTATAGAACAAGAAGGCCGGCACACTGTTAAAGCTCCCAATTCACCGCTTTATTGAAAACATATAGATCCGAAACGGATCTTCGTCAGGTCAAACAAACAAACTGAGTGTTCACATCCCAAAATATACACATTTCACCTCACATGACGCATAGATACACAAATTGCAAAAACAATTTGTGTATCTAATAATTTGATATCAATGAGATACACAAATTGCCAAAACAATTTGTGTATCTAATAATTTGATATCAATGAGATGGGCACATGTAGTAGTTCCAGAAAATAATATATATGTACAAAATGACCAAGTAGGAGACCTGGAAGGCAAGACAAATCAAAGTGACATGTTCATGTAAGAAATGGTCTGATATCAAACTCTTGGTTCAGACCTCTAGGAGACATGGTACACAAACGGTGAATCCAATACAATTCTCTTCTCAATAATAGATTATCACTATCCCCCCCCCCCCCCCCTCCTCCTAGGAGTGTTAACATGTTCGTTACCAATGTATCTCAGAGAGCTAATGTTGTGACGAGCCTCCATGAAATGCGCAGCCACAGGGGGATCTCTGGTCAAGGGTCCTGATATTACTTCAGTGTTCTGCTATCGTTGTTTTCAGAGCTCGTTTCATTTTTCCTACATAGCATAGACCACAAATACACTTGATCAGGTATATCACGTTTTTTGTGGAACATGTAATGATGCCCTTAATCTTAATGGCCTTGCCCGTAATAGGGTGATTGAACATTGTTCATTTGTTCGTAAAGTTACACTGGGTACATCCGCCACATCTATAGTTACCCTCCAGCACATTGTCTAGAAAGGTACTACGTGGCACTGGTGGAAGATCAGACCTCACCACCATTTGACTGATGTTGGGGGCGCGTCTGAAGACTACCCGCGGGGGTTCTTTAAACAGATTTTCCAGTTGTGGATCAGTGCTCAAGATGTGCCAGTGTTTTTTAATGATGTGGTCAACCTGTTTACCAATGAGGAGTAATGAAGGAAGCATTGAACGCGTTGGTCAGGAGGGCGGGGAGGTTTGGGCGTGTGGCTGTCATCCTGGCTCATATTTTTATAACGTTCCCTTGCGTCATGCAGCCATTCCTCTGGGTAACCCCGGTGTCTGAATCGCTCATCCAGATTGTCGGCTTGTTTCTCATAGTCCCTCTGTGTACTACAAATCCTGCGTATGCGACTGTATTGGCTGATGGGGAGGCTCTTTTTTTAGAGGTGTAGGGTGGAAGCTGTCTCTGTGAAACAGGGAATTCCTGTCCGTTGGCTTCCTGCATAGGTCCATGTTTAAGCCCTTCTTAATCAAAATGTCAAGAAAACTTGTTTCATGCGCATCAAAGGTGAGGGTGAATTTCAAATGTTCACTGCTTGTATTGATGGAGTGGAATCGATGAAGTTACTCTGCTGTGCCCTGAAATGGAAGGAATACGTCATCAATTAAGCATTTCCAGAGCTTGATATGGCGCAAGAATGGATTGTTAGGGCTGAAAATCACATTATTCTCAAACAACCCCACATACAGATTGCTGTAATTCGGTGCCATTTTACTACCCATAGCAGTTCCCTTCTGTTGAATGAACATGTCATTTTTAAACATGAAAAAGTTCTTAGTGAGAACAATCTCAGCAAGTTCAACAACACAGTTAGTGGTAGGGAGTGGGTCTTTGACTAAGATAGTGTGCCATGGCTTCTAGGCCTCCCTGGTGGGGGATATTAGTATACAGGGATTCAACATCAAAGCAAGCCATAAGCATCTCCCCATTGATATTGTGCATTGTCTTGAGGGTGTTAATCATGTCCATAGAATCTACAAAAGCAGAAATATTTTCAGTCATTGAGCCAATGGAGGCCACATTAGGTCTCCCTGGTGACTTATCCAATCGTTTGTGGATTTTTGGTAAGGCATGAATAACGATCCTGATTGGATTGTCTACTTTCATGAACTCTTATTTTTGCATAATGTCTCCACTTTCCACAAGACACTTCAGCTTGCAGTGAATCTCATCTTTGAACAGTGGTGTGGGGTCACGTGACAATTTCTGATAGAAAGTGGTGGTGTTCAATTGACCCCGGATCTCATTCACATAGTCATCACGGTTTAACAACACCACAGCTCCACCCTTGTCAGCATTACGCACTATCAAAGTAAAAATAATTTTTTTAATCATCCAATACTTGTCTCTGTTCTTTAGGGAGATTTTTGTAGAATCTGTATTCTAATTTCTTATTCAGAATCTGAGACATCTTTTCCCACCAATCTGCAGTATGTTTCTAGGGAGGGATTTCTGTATCTGGATGGACAAAAGGTGGATTTGGCTCGAAAAGGGGTATTCGTTCTGTGGGAAATGTAATTCTCTATTGTGTCACCCATAGCCTGAACACTCATATCAACCATGCTGGACACATCCTCATTTGGACTCTTTATCATTTATGGGACAGGTTCTGTTTCTTGCCATTTGACACTTTATTTCCCTCAGGCAGGCCTCCTGTTGGTCAGATAAGCTGAAATCCAACACCCTGGTTAAACATTTTATTTTCTCTCAGAAAATACCATGGTTCAATACAAAGGCCAAACAAATGGTATTACTGCTATTTGTGCAATAGGATTAAAGGATCAAGTCGGATTAACACTACAATATGGGTTGTTGCAATTTCCCTTAAAGGGATACTTCTGGATTTTGGTAATGAGGCCCTGTATCTACTTCCCCAGAGTGAGATGAATTCTGCATGCAGTTTGAAGGAAGTTGCAAAGGTGTCTTTGTGCTCTTGAGAGAGCATTAGTTCCTTTTTTCTAGGTAAATGAAACTCTGAGGACTACAAGGTTTTAATACTAGCAGCACACCCACCCAGTCGGTGGCATTCAGTCTGTAATAATGACTCCTACTGCTTTCACATAGGATTTACAGTATTTTGGGGCAATGTTTATATGACCCCTTACAAACAAGCCAATTTTTACCACATTATTGCCTGCATATGCCTTTTATACCTCCCGTGCACATAGCTGCATGCTGTTGACTAGTAGTGGTGGTGGTGGTGTGCTGATGTGGGTGGGCCTCTATTTCAATAAAGCCATTGAACATACACCATCAAAAAGAAATCCATTATTAATTCGTTTAGGCAGGTCCTAAGAAACTTAAGACTAATAAAATGTATTTTCAAAACAATAGAATGGCATATTTTGTGTATAATTATGTTACCTCCAAATGAATGAAATGAATAGTTCATTATTTTGTCAATTAAACAGAGAAGATATCACAGTTAAAACACATATTTTGTAGTAACAATATAATGGAATATAACAGAATAAAATACAAATAATATTTATTCCACACAGCTTGTCACGGGAACGTGTGGAACCGCTGTCATAAAAAAGTGATATTTTGATCCATATATTGATCCATCCAATTGTGCTTAAGAAAACATGCATGCTTAGTGGTGGGCTATGTGAAGAGATGGGAGAAGTGACATGCCTCGCAAAGTTTACAACTGCCAGGAGGATAGTTAACTGGCACTGCCTAGCAACCATCAAGAGTTTGAGTGTAGTGCGTGCCAAAAGCCGCCTCAGCATTACGGCTACGTTTCATACTAAACCATAGGCAGAAGCTTACGAGATGATTACTAAGTCGTTAGGCGTAAATAAAAGTTTCGACTTTGATACCGGCAATCCCTTTCAGATATAAGGAAAAGCCTGAAAAAAGTTGCCGGTATGGTAAAGTTGGCGGAAAAACGTCTTCGTATGAAAGGAATATCAGAGAGACGCAATCCCCTTCTGCCCTCTTTCCAAATATCCCAAAGCCTGAGCTCTCTGTTGACAGACTCCTCTATCAGTGGTATGTGAGGTCTGAGGAATGCGGAAACTATCCATTGGTTAATATCTTGCTCAATAGAAACCAACATCACAGTTAGGTCATACACCATAGACTCGGTACAGTATGCTGACCTCACACACATGGAAATGCAACAGTCAGATGATTGTGCCTCAGGCTATGGCTCAACCTCATGCTGTGACATGGCACTGCAGGCTACTGTTTAAACATTGCTCTCCCAAATATCTTCTGCAGTTGTTCAGTATCTTGTGCTTCTAGCAAAGCTCTTTTCATGCAGTACATGTATTTTGATTTGTATTCTCTGTTACTTTTATATTCGAGTACAATGTAAAATATTTTCACATTAAAGAGTTGATAATGATGTTAATGATGAACAAAATACAAAAAATGTATGCACGCATGACTGTAAGTCGCTTTGGATAAAAGCGTCTGCTAAATGGCATATTATTATATTATTATAATATTATATTATGAACTACTATTGATAATGTCAACAATACTAACAATGTTTTCAAAACAACCAAAGAACCAACAAGCGAAGCAACTGCAGTATTGGCAGCTATAGTGTTCTAAATCAGATCTCCACACACACAAACCCAGAGCGATGGATGGCAATACACTGTGCTCCTTGGGAAGGAACAGTTTTAAAGGAGAGACAATAAAGCCAGGCTTTATGGGCCATGTCTGATACAGCCTGCTGCCAGTGGACTTAATGCTTCCTATGAGTCACACAGACAACAGAGATTCTTAAAGGAATGCTTGATTGGAGTAGGGTGGAGAAGTCATAAAATGTTTATTTGTCACATTCTTTGTAAAAAACAGCTGTAGATTAACAGTGAAACGCTAACGGGCCCTTCCCAACAATGCAGTAGTGCTGAGCGATTAGTGCTTTTTGAGGTCTGTTCGATTATTAAAAAAGAATCACTGTTGTTGATTTCGGTTTTGACTATTTTTGGGGGGGGACATTACATACGCTATGCATTATGTGGGTTGAATGCTTTAACACAGAATAAACAATTAATAAAAGTCCCATGATGGTAGTGACTGCCCATTACTGCTTATCACTTATTAACCATCATTTATTCACATTACTTTACATTTTATAAAATATTTTGTCTAAATTCCATTTGTTTAATTTGATGACTTTATTATTTTATTCCAAGTCATCATCTCTATCGAGCTGCTGCCTGCGCTTCCTTCAAAGTAAATAAGGCCTACTTTTATGACTGCTGAATACCAACTATCAATCACTTAGTCTTAGATCATGGATTTTCATGGAGAGATACCTCGCAAAGCAACTCATTTCTATCCCTCTCGCACGTTCTCTCTTCTCTCTTTCAACGAGGTCTCTGTCTGCTCCACACAGACCGGACAAGTAAGCGGGCGCCCAATGGATTATGGTCATTGTGGTTAATTACCACATTTTCTGCACTAAACTGTGTAGAATGTTGGCCTGTTTGAAAGTACACCCTCCCTACTACATCGCACAGTTCGGACTTGATCTGATTTATCTCTACAGAAACTGAGCATGGAGCTCACAGGAAAAAAACGAACGAAATGGATATCAAATAATTGAACATGTTGATCAATCAGTTGTTTAAAAAATGAAAAATAACCGACATTTCGGTTAATCGCTCAGCACTACAATGCAGAGAAATAATAGAAAAATGGAAGAAGAATAACGCGAGGAATAAATCCACAATGAGTAATGATAACTTGGCTGTATACACGGGGTGCCAGTACCGAGTCCATGTGCGGGGGTACGAGGTAATTGAGGTAGATATGTACATATAGGTAGGGATAAAGTGACTAGGCAACAGGATAGATAATAAACAGTAACATCAGCATATGTGATGAGTCAAGAGTTAGTGCAAAAAAGGGTCAATGCAGATAGTTGCCTCCTAGATACTGATCTAGAGTCAGATTTGTCTTATTCCCTCCAGTGGTTGATATTGTTTGGGGGAGGGGCAATCTGATTACAGATCTGTGCTTGGGTACTTCTACCCGGCACTGGTTGGTACAGGAGGTTAAAGAGAAACTAGCAGCCCTCCCTCGTCATCACCACGTCAGAAGTTGAGCTTAACATATGAAATTAAACATATATGGGGATTGTTTTAGCTTTATGATTTAACAAGCTCAATGTTGCGTTAAAGTATGTGGGCATTACATGTGTGTTCCAGAGACAGTGGTGTGGGGGCACTGCAGTTTGTTGACAAAGGTTACAGAAAATTAAACGGGGAGCTTAATTAGTAAAGTTGATTAAACAAGGGCAACATCAGCTAGCATCAGCGGGCCATTTCTATTGGAGGAGGTGTAATTTTGAAAACAGAAAACGGACCCAATCCCAAAGGAAGCTGTGGAATTCCTGGTGCACGTGCTTGGATTCCTGAAGCCGGGGAGGGGTGGGGATCGGAGTAGGAGGAGGAGGAGGAGGAGAGTGATGAGAAGGGACTAATAATATAGTCTATCGTTGGCTATTTTTGACCTTGAGTTGATTCTGAAAGAGTGAACATATCTATTGACATGCTATTGACCACTCATGTTTGTTTTAAAATGGTAATGGGAAACACACTTCACTTTTCAGTCATTTCTGCTGTAGGGTTTGAGGTCTCCTAGTGTAAGCCTAGTCCCTCAAGTGTCCTCTCTCTCTCTCTCTCCGCAGCCCCATGAGTTTGATGAGTGTCGTATTGACATCAGTGTGAACGACAGTGTGTGGTACCTACGGGCAGAGGACCCGGAGCACCGGCTCCAATGGATTGACTCCATCGAACTACACAAGGTAAGACTAAATGATCTCTCTTTCTCTGTCTTCCACAGAACTGAGATATACCAGAGGTATTCCCCTTGTCATGTGCTGGGGCTTGGACGGAAGTCAACTGACATGTCTAGGGAGTGCAGCAGGTTAGATGGTAATGTTCCATTGCGTCTATACGGTCCTTGTGCTCTGATCTGATTTTGGCCATATTACTTTCAGATCTACACAATAAGTGGGGTTGACTAGTACTGGGGGTAGAATGTACTAGCCTAGGGGTTGATTTAGAATAGAACAACAGAAGGGCCTGGTATCCCTCAGTGAGGTGAACAGAAAGGGAGGGGAGTCGGGGAATGTGGGGGGTCACAACCCATCATCCTGGGAATGCAGGGAATCTTGGGAGTGGCCAAAGGGGGGAGCATGCTGTTCACACACTGATGGCATGACCACCTGACGTAGGGTGAGTCCCATTGCTGGGGGTGTGTGTGTGTGTCAAGAGTTCTTGTTTAGTGTGTATGCATTGTGTGTGTATTCGAGTTGAGCTGCATGGCCAGCACTATGCTGACAAACTGTCCTAACACTGACACGTGTTGCGTGCAGTATATGGGCAGAGACCAGACGATCCACAGGCTGTGACACATTAAACACTGTCTGTGTGAAGGGATCTCCTGGTTAGGACAAGAGGACTGTGGGGTTCATTTCAGCAGTGCTCTCCACATGGCCAAATGGAAGTGAATGAACCACAATCAACTGTAGACTACCAAGAATCCATTCAATGTAATCTAGTCCTTGACCTTATATCAGCTACCTTTGGTCTGTTTGTTTAAGGAGTGTGTCTTGAATGCTCAGGTAGGAGCAGAAATCCTACAAGGAAAGTATTAGACCTCAGGTTGGTACAGACAGTGAAGTAGCAGTAACACTGTGAAGTGATGCTAGAGACAAACAGAGCGAGGCCTGCATCGTGTATCTGCAACCATCTGCCTGTGCATTTGGTTGCTGGTGTAGGTGGTGTGAAACTGAGTGTGAGTGACAACAGGAACTGGTTAAGTGTGTCTTAGAGACTGTGTAGTAGAGGGTTTATGCCTGGTCTCTAACCAACAGTAAAAGCTAATTTATGCTTGATCCGAAAATGTGGTCAGCGGCTCCGTATGGAGGGTGTGACACAATCGCTGAGCCTCCAGAGGCATGCAGAGGCCAAAATGAGCTCCGTACCGCATCGTCGTGCGCCTCCCAAATGTTGTAACAATGCAGAGGGCTCCGCATTGACATGATTGGTTGACGGTAGGTGAGGGCGGGATGCCCTGTATAAACACAAACTCACTTCCTTGACAACTTCCTTCACAACAGCTCTGCTCAGTGAAGCGCAAGAAGTAGAAATGCCCTGACTTCTGCAGAGGCTGTTTGACTCTCTTGTGGTGTGTGTGGTGATGGTTCAGTGTGGTGGGTATTGATCCAGATTTCAGACAGATCCTGGGTGTAGCTTATGCTACGCTCTACATCATCACCCCACGGACACAAAGGATGAGTAATATATTGTAACAGTAGATACTAGACAGCCATTTAAAAGGGTTGTTGCGCTGTGTCAGCTTCTCCGCTGGGTGGGGGCTAATACAAGGTGTTTGCTTTGCAGGAGCTCTTTGGTAGTGGTGACTAGAGTCATTTGGGGTGATGACTAATACATTCCGGTACTAACTAAATTACCTACAGAGACCACTGTCATTGTTGTCTCTGTGGGTCATGCTATATTGAAACCACTGTACTTCAACAGAAGAGTTAGGTTATGTCATTCATTTGACCAAACTTGTAGGGCCTATACCCTTTCTTAGTTGTCAACATGGACATTGTTCAACTCTTCTGGTCACATCTTTCCATTTGGTGGATGAGGTTTTTTGTTTAAGCACTTTTAATTTGCATTCTGGGAAGAACAAGTGTTGTCAGCTTTGAAAAGTCCATAGTGACCAACAACACCAAGGACACCTCATTTGCATAGCATTAAAGGTGTGTATGGTCCTGGGCGGACATTTTACTACTCTGAATTGCAGTTCTTGATGAATAATGCATGTGTTGTAGTCAGCCATCCGACACAATCGCAGATATCAAGAGGTACCGCACACAACATAGTCAGGGCTACACTTTGAGCCTAGCAGTGCTTTCACTGACAGGACTATTCCAATTGCAGGCACTGGATAGGGGGTGGAAAGGGTGGGGAAACCCACCACCCCTCATCTAGACAGGTTGTTAGCACAGTCCTGCCCCAGATGAAGCATAACAAGCAGAAGGAAAGAAGGAGAAAAAGACAGAGCGAGGGAAGGGGGGAAGAGAGGTGTAGCCTAGTAGGAGGAGGAGGAGCCAGAGACAACATTGAGCTCCAAGAGGATGCTGCTGTTCCCACCCCGCCCTGCTAACAACCTGCTTTTGACACACACACACACACACACACACACACGTGTACGCTTACTCACCTGGCACTCTGCTTTGCTAAAACTCTTAACACACACACACACACACCCTGTTATAGCCATGCCCCTCTAACCCAGTAACTCACTCTATCGCTCTCTCACTCCACACACACACGTTAGCTTGTCTTTCGGCAGAGATGGATGCTGTTCAGCGGTGCAGACAGCAGGAAGAGAAGGATTCTCATGTCAGTGTGTGGTCTGATTGGCCAGATAGACGCGGTGTGTTTCAGGGTTTCCGTTAGGAGAATGTGGCGCTGGACATCTTACCGGCAGCATTTTAATTTATCGGACATTTGAGAAATTGACCGGCCATATGCATTGGGTGTGTAACCTGATTAGGGTGTCCACCCAGGATGCACAGAATGACAGAAATCACATTTTGATTATGGTAATTCATATTAACAGAATATGCAAGTTGAGGATGCAACAATGTGCAGTCCTTCTTACTGATTTCTGATGTGCACTTTGAAGATGTTAGAATAACTGTCCACATGTACTTTTCCTCAGCCAACAAGACTAGTAGCGAGCAGCAAAATCCCTGTCAATCTACTATCCCCCATAATAGAAACCTTTACCCTATTGTTGTATTGGTCAGCTTGTCGAGAAAGAAATGGCCTATTCCAAACAGACTCTGGGACAGTTGTGGAATGATGGATCACAAATTCATACAACCAGTAGGCCTAGGCTACATAAAAAGCAATGAGTCTGATGCAACAGATCAGAACGTTTAGCTTAAAATGTTGCTAAGCTATTTCTTAACATTATAAGTACAGCAATGAGCACAAGGCAGTAGTCTACCTGCATATGTTCGTTCCATAATGCAATTAGCTGGACAATACCTTGTCAAAAGGGCACCACACATGTGAGTGGTTTCATGTGAGAGATGAAAATATCCTTTTGAAATGAAGAAAGAGGGGAGATCTAATATGCAACAACTAGCATGGCTGGCTAATATGACTAGGATTGTGCCTTTGGCTACTGGACAATGAACGAAAGTTATAAAAGAATTGCCTCCACAGATATGGTTTGAGTTTGGCTAGGCTACTTTGAAGCAAGGTAAGACATGCCTCATAATATGTAGTAAAATGTTCAGGTTTCAATCAATTAAGTATATGTTTTCAAAATGCGTACTGCCTCCAGCTCATTGCAAAGTGGTGTGTGACGTGCTGATGAAGCCTGCCTTCCGTTGCCTATGTTTGAGATGCTGCAGCTATCATGCTGTCTGACATATTTTCCATTCAAAGGCTGTGTATCTGTATGCTGTATGCTTGTAATGAATAAGATACAAACTAATATACAATTTCATTCCACTAAATTATGCAAATTGCCTAGACTGATAAGCATGACCAGTCAAATGTGTTTCCATCATGAATAGGCTAAAAAGCATTATTTCGCAATGGGATTTTTCTTCTCCCGGACAATTGGCCAGCATCGATTTCTATTTATCGGCTTTTAAACGTTTTTATGGGCGAAAAGCCGGCTAACAGAAAACCCTGGTGTGTTTGAACGATTCCACTTTCACTTATACACAATCTGGGCATGGCTGGTCTCTTCCTCTGCTCACCCTCTCTCGCCACTCTCTCTCGCCACTCTCTCTCGCCACTCTCTCTCGCCACTCTCTCTCACTCCGTCTGCTTATCAAGCAGGAGAAACCAGCGCCTCGCTCCTCTCTTTAGTCCTCCTCAGGAACAACTCTTTTAGCCTTTTCCCCCTCCCTCTTCTTTTCCTTTGTTCCTGCTGCTCCTCCTCTCATTTGCTCTATGAGCTGAGCTGCTGCTTTTCTCATCTTCTTCAATCTCTTCCTCTTCCTCTCTGTGCCACAGTGAAACCTGTCTGCAGGGCACTGTCTGGGAATACTGGATACAATCCTAGGAATAGCAGGAAGAGGGGGAGCGTTGTGTGAAGGTGCAGCAGGCGGGGCCATGATGAGGCCGTCCGGCCGGCAGGACTACTGCAGCAGAAGAGTCCTGTTCTGCTTTGGCTGCTGGAATGGCCGAATGGTGGGCACGATGTATAGCATGCTGCCAGCAAATCAATCAATAACTTCATCAATGGAGCTTTGTTAGCATGATGGCTGCTTCAGATCCAAAACTTTCTCATCTCTTCTTCACATGCATACTATGTGTGATGTTAGCATGCTATCGCACTAGCCACAGCACTAGCTACTAGCTTAATGGTTCATGATGGACCAACTGTACATTGGTGTCGGCATAAGCATGCTATGCTAGCCTGCTGCATGCTACTCCTCATTATCAAGCACATTGTCTCATTGGTCCGTGTGTGTATACTCATTGTATAGAGGGGGAGGGCTGTGGTTAATGCAAAACTATTATTCAGACTGAATGGGTTTATAGTTGAGATAATGCCTTCTTGTGACTGTGCTTTTTATGTAATCTTTTTAAAGATATAAGGCTAAATGTAAATATCATAGATAAATGTGGAGAAGGAAATATTGAATGCCTAATTTCAAGCCTTTGTTTTACACATTTGTCTTTTTTCTCAGTATGTTAGTTTATAAGTTAATTCTAATGCTGTATAAAACCATAATATACCATTATGTAACCAATGTTCCAGTGGTGTGGACACTTCTGTCAGCTCTCTCTGCCACTGTCTGACCTTTCTATGGGTTCTTGACTTTTTGTTCCATATGGATTATACCTGTAACATGTTACTACTTCCAGGACCAAACTCCGGCATACGGGAATAGAACATAAATGACAAATAGAGAGGAGTGCTTTTGAATAGTTAGGTGAAAGTTTACTCTAATTTAGTCATGGTATGAGAGTCCTACAGGGCTGCATGCCATTTACTCCCATCAAAGGATATTGTCATGATAAGATTGATGATGCACTTCTCTGTGAACATGGTAATGTGCATTCGCTCAACTTCCTGAATACCTGAGTTTGATATTCTTTCCCTGCTGTTGTGTAGCTGTTGCTTTGTCTGGCAAAAGCAACTGACTCCTGTCGCTGTTTATCATGTGGGTCTGCGTGTAAGCCAGGCTACATGTTTCTCCCATGTACGTCACCTTACTGTAGATTCCATCAGAGGAATGTGTTAGCTGCTGTCATATGCTCGTGTGACACCTGCTGGTAATGGGTGAGAGGCCGACCAGTAGCCAGAAGGTTGCTGGTTCAAGTCCAGGGCCAAGAAATACTAACAAGCAGGAGATGAAGTGGCAACCGGAAGGCTGCTGCTTTCAGATCCCATGTATTGCAGGCTACCATCCCCTGTCGTAGTGCCCTTGAGCAAGGCAATTAACCCCTAAAATAGCTTCAGGAGTGTTCTACTGTGGCTGACTGACCTTGTACTCTTCACAAACAAACAAGGGGTTGGGAGCAGAGCAGAAGAAGACTTTCCATCACAGCAGAGAGAAATGAAGTACTGTTGAAGTTGAAGGAATGTGCTATTATTCAACTCCTCACTCCGCTGAGCTGAACTGTGCTCTAGTCTACAGTCAGGACAGGCATTGACATGTTGCATCCTGACTGTTGATGAGTGTAACGGATGAAAACGGTTGAACAAACAGGAAAAACTTGAGGTGTGTGTCATCTTCCTCTTCAAGGCATACAATGCACCTGACCAAGCCTCCTATAGGCCTCCAAACCAGGGTTTCCATTAGCTCGTAAATGCCGGCTTTTGATTGATTAGAAAATAATATGAAAAGCAGATCAATAAAATTGTTGCCGGCCAAATTGTCTGGGAGAAAAGAAAAATATCAGTCGACGTGCTCCAACTTCAAAGGCAAATATACTTCATAGGCTAAATCCTCAAGCTGATTGGACATTAGTGTCGGGTGTTTGTTTCTATTTGTACTCACGCAAAAGACGGGAGGTCCTCATAAGGGACTTCAGCTAAGTGTACCCCGACTGGGCAAAATTGGCGACGATTGTGTTGATTAGACCTATCCCCATTTCCAGTGTGCCCGCCGAGAGGGGATTCTTTCTCCAAAACAGATGGCCTCAAGATCGTGCCTTCTTGAGGACAAAGTAAGGAGGCTGATGCTCATCGCAAGCTTCTCCAAGTAGTTGGACAGTTTTGACTTCCCAACAGCAGCGGCTCACTTTGAGCAGGCAAGGTCTGCCGCAAACGCAAGTAAATTGGAGGCAAATTATTGTACTCGTCAGGCCCGGTCCTAGCAGTTCTGCTGCCGCCCTAGGCAAGATCAACATATGCCACTCCTGTGTCATGTATAGTATAAAGATTTGGAATGGATTGATCGACTAGAGTAATGATGTGTACCATGCACAATTGGTGCGTTTCAGTTGAGCTTATTCAGTAGCAATTGGAAACGAAGCATCGTTGCCAACTATTCACATCGGAGAGTTAGTGTTGCAATCACTAGGCAGCCAACTGCCTATTTAAAAAAATAAAAAAGCATTTTTACATTTTCTTTGTCGTTTGCAGACACTCTTATCCAGAGCGACATACAGTTAGTGAGTGCATACATTATTTTTTCATACTGGCCCCCCGTGGGAATCGAACCCACAACCCTGGCGTTGCAAGCTCCATGCTCTACCAACTGAGCTACACAGTGCCTATAGTAGGAAACAGAGTTATCAATAAGCCACGGATATCAAACATGACACAATTCACGACCTCACGATAGTTCAAATAACAATAAACATAACATTAAACGGGCCGGCCCGGTCATGGCTAGAAGGGATCGAGCTTTTGTCAAATGAACATACCAAAAGTAGATTTCTTTTCTTTTGCATTTTAGCTAACCGTAACCCTTTTCCTAACCTTAACCTAATTCTCCTAACCTGCTGCATATGTTCTCCTAACCTGCTACGAAAAGTCAAATCGGACATTAATTTAACAATAGCTGAATCCGTTCTAGCCATGACCTGCCGACCTGGTGTTCGTAGACAGCCATGTTTAGTTATTTATTAGGCCTAATTCAAATACTCATGCCTAGGCTAAATTAACTTAGAGAGGCCTAGTTTTGAAAACAGCTGTGTTTTGTTATTTATTAATAAAAACATTAATACAAATAGCCCATAGGACCAGTCGTTCGCAAATTATATTATGCAAATATTATATTTTGAAGTTGTTTTATTACTGTTGTTCTTCTAGGCAAAATGTTTTTTGTATTTTTTAAATTATTATATTCATTTATGATTTATAGCAGGGATTAAGACACAACGAGCAATGTTTTGCTTTTCAATAAAATCTGTCATGTTGGTATAAGAACATCATTCTAACTTTACAGGCTAATTTCTATTCTGTTAAAATAAATTACAATAATCTAAATAGGATTTTGAGCACCGTGGGTGGGCACCCTAATGCGTTATGCACCCAATACATATGGATGTCTGATACATTTCTCAAATGCCCGTAAATTAAAATCTTGCCGGTCACGTTGTCCGGCGCCAGGTCTTCCTAACGGAAAGCCTGCTCCAAACCTATTGGGTCACGGGTTAGGCATAGTCGGGTGTTCCTGTCCCCCCCCTTCAATAGATCCCCATGTCTCTACTCCCTAATGGACTAAAAGCCATTCTTCTTTCATGTAGGCCTATTTGTCTCTGTACACATACTGTTTCTCTGGGTTTGATTTACTCCCCTCTGTTTCTCATTACTCTGCAGACTGATCTGAGGTATTATCCTATCTCTCCCTCCCTCCCCTCCTTTCTCCAGGCGGAGTCGGGGTATGGTTCAGAGTCAAGTCTGAGGCGTCATGGCTCCATGCTGTCTCTCACGTCCGCTGCCAGTGGCATCTCCGCCACCTCCACCTCCTCCTTCAAGGTAAACTACCACCACAACACTTTCAATCTGTTGTTTGAAAATTACAGCCCCTGGAAAGGTCTATGCCAGTGTTTCTTAATCCTGGTCCTGGGGACCCAAAGGGGGGCACATTTTAGTTTTTGCCCTAGCACTACACACCTGATTCCACTATAGCACTACACACCTGGTTCCACTAATCAACTAATCATCAAACCTTAAATTAGTGGATTAGGTGTGTAGCGCTAGGGCAAAAACTAAAATGTACAACCCTTTGGGTCCCCTGGGTCCAGTTTTTCAAAAAGTTTAATCGGATCAGAATGATCCGGATTCTGTAATCCTCCTTTTTTGCTATCCAGTATCAGATCGATCTGGCTATTTTTGAGCAAGTTTTTCAGAAAATAAACGGATAAGATCATTCTGATCCAGATACCACAATATCAAGATCACAGAATCCGGATTTTCAGTGCTTTGAACAGGCCTACACCTTGCAATCTACTGGACAGGTTGTGGTAGTACTTCTACACTGTCATAGGGAAACAGAGATGAGTAAACTACATGAATAAAGCTACCTTAATTACAAATAATAGAGCCTGCATATCACTTATAACTAGGTAGATGCATTTATTTGACACTTCTCAAGATAACAACTGACCACATCCCTATATTGCAGTCAAAACCTTTGGTTTTTCAATTGTAAGAACGTTTTTTAAACCTCACCTTAGTTACGTTGACATTTCTTGGTTGTAGAGCCTTTCACCTTTCTAAATCCACCCTGAATCTACCCTTCCAGTGGGATCAAAACTATCCTAATCACTACAGGCCCAGGATTAGGAAGCACTGATGTAGGCTGCTGAATTTATTCATTAATTAATGACCAAAGGCCAAATCTTAATTTAGTGCAGACAGCCCTCCCGTTCATTCCCAATGCATGATTGTATAATTATGTTCACGTTTAACGGTGAACCCCTGTGTTTGTGTGTGTGTGTGTGTGGTGTTGGACCAGAAGGGCCACAGCCTGCGGGAGAAGCTGGCGGAGATGGAGACATTCAGAGACATCCTGTGCAGACAGGTGGACACGCTACAGAAGTACTTTGACGGCTGCGCAGACGGCGTCTCCAAGGACGAGTTCCAGAGGGACAGAGGTACAAATGGATTTCAATATCTGCTCAATGATAATTCTTGTACGTGAACATTAAAACTGACACATATATACATTTGCTCCGTATTTCTATGGTGTAAATACCACAACTGACTAGTGGCTACCCAGGTGGTAGATCAATGATGGAGTCTTGTTTGTCATTTCCAGTAGTGGAGGAGGATGAAGATGACTTTCCCACAAGCACGCGTCCCAATGGTGACTGCCTTCACAACACCAACGGCAGCAAAGAGAAGCGTGAGTAACAGTGTAGATTTAAGCAATAAGGCCCGAGGAGGTACAGTGCATTCGGAAAATATTCAGACCCCTTCACTTTTTCCACATGTTGTTACGTTACAGCCTCAATCTACACACAATACCCCATAATGACAAAGCGAAAAACAGGTTTTTAGACATTTTTGCACATTAAAAAAAATATATAAAACAGATACCTTGTTTACATAAGTATTCAGAACCTTTGCTATGAGACTCGAAATTGAGCTCCGGTGCATCCAGTTTCCATTGAACATCCTTGAGATGTTTCTATGACTGGATTGGAGTCCACCTGTGGTAAAGTTAATTGATTGGACATGATTTGGAAAGGCACACACCTGTCTATTTAAGGTCCCACAGTTGACAGTGCATGTCAGAGCAAAAACCAAGCCATGAGGTCGAAGGAATTGTCTGTAGAGCTCAGAGACAGGATTGTGTTGAGGCACAGAGCTGGGGAAGGGTACCAAAAAGTTTCTGCAGCATTGAAGGTCCTCAAGAACACAGTGGCCTCCATAATTCTTAAATGGAAGAAGTTTGGAACTACCAAGACTCTTCCTAGAGCTGGCCGCCCGGCCAAACTGAGCAATCGGGCGAGAAGAGCCTTGGTCAGGGAGGTGACCAAGAACCCGATGGTCACTCTAACAGAGCTCCAGAGATCCTCTGTGGAGATGGGAGAACCTTCCAGAAGGACAACCATCTCTGCAGCACTCCACCAATCAGGCCTTTATGGTAGAGTGTCAGGACGGAAGCCACTCCTCAGTAAAAGGCACATAACAGCCCGCTTGGAGTTTGCCAAAAGGCACCTAAAAGACTCTCAGACCATGAGAAACAAGATTCTCTGATCTGATGAAACCAAGATTGAACTCTTTGGCCTGAATGCCAAGTGTCACGTCTGGAGGAAACTTGGCATCATCCCTACGGTGAAGCATGGTGGAAGCATCATGCTGTGGAGATGTATTTCAGCGGCAGGGACTGGGAGACTAGTCAGGATCGAGGGAAAGATGAACGGCGCAAATTACAGAGAGATCCTTGATAAAACCTACTACAGAGCGCTCAGGACCTCAGACTGGGGTGAAGGTTCACCTTCCAACAGCCTAAGCACACAGCCAAGACAACGCAGGAATGGCTTCGGGACAAGTCTCAATGTCCTTGAGTGGCCCAGCCAGAGCCCGGACTTGAACCTGATCGAACATCTCTGGAGAGACCTGAAAATAGCTGTGCAGCGACACTCTCCATCCATCCAGCCTGACAGAGCTTGAGAGGATCTGCAGAGAAGAATGGGAGAAACTCCCCAAATACAGGTGTGCCAAGCTTGGTGCGTCATACCCAAGAACATTTGAGGCTGTAATCGCTGCCAAAGGTGCTTCAACAAAGTACTGAGTAAAGGGTGTGAATTCTTATGTAAAGGTCATATTTCATTTTTGAAAATGTCAAAAAACCTGTTTTTGCTTTGTCATTGTGTAGATTGATGATGGAAAAAAAACAATCAATTTTAGAATACGGTTGTAACGTAACAAAAAAAAGTGAAGGGGTCTGAATACTTTCCGAATGCACTGTATATGGCCAATATACCACGGCTTAGGGTAGTTCTTGTGCATGACGCAACATGGAGTGCCTGGATACAGCCGTGGTATATTGGCCATATACCACAAACCCTGAGGTGCCTTATTGCTATTATAAACTGGTTACCAACATAATTTGAACAGTAAACAAGTCGTTTTGCATCATATCCATGGTATGTTGTTTGATATAGCACAGCTTTCAGCCAATCAGCACCCAGGAACCAAACTACCTGGTATATAATCACACTCATAGTAACTACTACTGGAGTTGATACTACACGTAGCAGTTCCCTTGATGGCTCTTGACCCCTAATATAGCTCTAGGGATGCTGCACTGTGGATGACCCTGTGCTTGTCCCAAATGTATGTGTGTGTTGTGCATCAAAATATTTTCATCAGGTATTTTTCTCCATCTAACAGTCTCTCTCTCGCTCTTTCTTTCTCAGTGTTTCTCCCTGCCAGTCCTAAGGGCGTTAATGGGATTGATTTTAAGGGTGAGGCCATCACGTTTAAGGCCACTACAGCTGGGATCCTGTCCACCCTGTCCCACTGCATCGAGCTTATGGTGAAGAGGGAGGACAGCTGGCAGAAGAGGCTGGACAAGGTATGTCACAGCCAATCACGTCTTCTTTAGCCAAGGTCACTGGGGCCTTGGAAGCATTCAACCCCACCTCTCATGGAAACTCTTCCCCAGTCAGGTTGTTGTTGCCGAAGAGTATGCATTCTCATTGTCAATCAACATGGCGGGTAAAATAGAAGTGGACTGGTGTGTTTATGGTTTTAGCCAGGGAGCAGACCGTACACAACTCCTGCCAAGGTACAGCGGAGGCGTTGTCTAACCTGAGGTGGCAGATCCAGTCTATTGTGGGTGTGGTCTCTCAAATGGTTGCTTCAAGAGCCTTTTCTGTCTGTAACTGGATGTGATTGGTGGATCCCCTCAATGCCCCACCCCGTCTTGATTGGCCACACTGAATGACCAAAACATGGCCAGATTGACATTCTGTCTGAAAGCACTTTGTAGTGAAGGCACTTGTTAAACACCTTTCAAGACACTCCTGCTTTTGAAGGTAGAGTTTGACTGTTTATTTAGACAATGCATGAAATAAACCACACTTCAGCTGCCAAGGCTCAAAACTGCGACAAAAACACTCTCATTTTGAGCCTTTGACTTGGCAGTGCGACACCGATTTTTTTTTATTGGTCGATAGGGTGCCAGTGAAGAAATGTAGCTGGTCACATTAGTTTTTGGTTCACAATTTACTTTTTAAAGTTTTATTATCAAGATTTATTCAAACAGCAATGGGTATGCAACGATGAGTATGCAGACCAGTTATTCAAAAAGTTTGGTCCGAAGTCTTGGTTAAATCTTTGCGATGCGAAATTCAGTCATGCACTGTTTGAATGAACATTTCTAAAGTCTTTCCCAAGAAAACCTTCCCAATTAAATATAGACAGCAAAGTAGGCCTATCTGGCAGAATGATATCTTGATGATTTGTATCAATCGCAGGGCATTTGTTTAGAAAACTCTGCCATCACATGTAGGCTACATTGTACAGTACAAAAACACCGCTAGCCATACATATTACTCTACTGTCAAAGTTTCGTCAATTCAAATCTGGCATTAGGAACAAAAGAGGTCAACACGACTTCTAAGATATACTAGTTATTTTAATTAATGCAAAAACCTTCAATGGTAAATATGATGTTTCGTATATACGGGCTCTCTGAAATACCTCGCAGGGCACCCCAGAGAACTAACCCATTGTTTCAGATTCAATACTCAAATACTCTGACAGAGAGTTTCCCACCTCTCTGCTGACCAATTAGAGTAGACTTGAGCGTGGTTTAGACTTACTCAGCCAATCCGTTGATGCATCTCTGTTACCAGGCATATGTCCATATCATAACAACCTGTCATAGTGAGAAGAGCCAGCTCCCTTAGACACCATTCCTACGTCCAAGGAAGGTTCACAGATCACAAAGAACCAGTATATTCCAGCATCTGGAGACACAAATCCCTATCTCCCTTTACCCCCTAAAACAGCTCTTCACATCAATCACAGCTTGCCAGGTGTCACAACCTACATTAGCCCAGTCAAGAATGCATTCTTTCTAAGTTCGTCATCCCATCAATTATGAAAATTAATAAATCTCTCACACTACCCACATGTACATATTACCTCAACTAGCCGGTGCCCCTGCACATTGACTCTGCACCGGCACCCCCCTGTATATAGCCTCCCTACTGTTATTTTATTTTACTTCTGCTCTTTTTTTCTCAACACTTTTTTGTTGTTGTTTTATTTTACTTTTTTATTAAGAAATAAATGCATTGTTGGTTAAGTAAGCATTTCACGGTAATGTCTACACCTGTTGTATTTGGCGCATGTGGCAAATAAAATTTTATTTTATTTGACATTACGGTCTCTTCGTAGACGCTCAATTTAATTAAAGGGCTTAGAATTACATGTATTATTATAACTACACCCTCTAAAATATATATATTTTTAATGTTCCCAGACCTCTAAACTGGTCTCCTGATGTGGTTTAAGCATTGTTGTGGAACATCACATTTGTCTTTTTTCTATAAAAAATAAAGTGTGATTTTGAGAGTGGAAAACTCGGAAACCGCGAAAAATAAAACCGCGAAAACTGAATTTACCAAAACTTAAAACTGATTTTATAGGGTCCTACAACTGTAGAGTGACTTTTCAGAATCGCTATTAATAACACCCTTTTTGAGATTGTGCAAAGGTTTTATTTCTTCCCTCCAAACAAGCAATGTAAATATGATATTGTCAAGTTAAAATGTCATTATTTGTGTATGGAGGGTAGGTCATTATAGGCTACTTGTTCAGCCCACATATTAAAGATAATGTTTTAAATGATGATGCGCGCATCATCCGCTTTCCCGGGCCAGTATTCTTTTCATTCGGGCCAGTAGCTTTCAATTGGCACTGGCCCGATGGGCCACTGGCAAATTTACCTGAATATCGAGTCCTGCAAGGGCGTGCTAATTTAAAATATGGCTAGTTAATCCTAGCCTGGTTCTGTATGGAATGCAGGTACATTATGGGACACAGGTCAGGTCATTATCGGCATGCGGCGACCAAATTATGTGCTGGTGCTTTAACTGAAATAGTTTTAGCACCAGTGCCACCAGTGGAACACGTTAGTCTAGAGCCCTGGCTGCATTTCTGTAAAGTAATGTTTTAATGGGGATATGAGTGGATTAAGAATTTTTAATTTAGTTTGTAGATACTGCAGTCTGTAGGTATTTACCCCCTACCTTGCATCACAGACACATGACAAAGCTCCACATCATCACCCTGCTCAGCTGTTGAAAAACCAGTTCATCCATTTTATTCCGAAGGCAAGTTGCCCAACCCCAAAAAGGTAGGAATAGGTTTCAGTTGGTTGATACTACTGGATTAACACTAGCGTGGCTGGGTGTGTGTGTCTTGAGTGTAGCCTATGTGGATCAGGGAGAGAGCGTCACAGGACGGGACACACACACACACACACACACACACACACCCCAACACACAGGCGAGTCAGTAGTAGGATGACTGCTAGGACGTCGTGGTACCGTCTGTCTTTCTGGAAGCCCTCGCTACACTTGGGGGCCGACTTACTGAAATACGACAGCCAGAGATGGATCCCTCTACAGACATGCAGCCGCTTCTTTACAGTAGGTATAGGCCTAGGTCTCTGCTATGGCTGCTTCTAACACACCACAGTGGATTGGAATACACTCTAAATGGAACCCAGAACCAGAACTAACTGCTCTACTTCAGTTTTCTCCTTCCCTCTATTCTAGTCAATATTTGGAGTTGTATTTGGATCATTAAAATTGTTGCTAAGTGGTATTTGTGTTTGATAATAGGGTTTATTCACTAGTTTGACAGATCAGTTAGTTTCGAGGTGGAGATGATCTTAATCCAAAGGTGTACATTCTTTCTATATTAGTCATTACAGTTGTCATGGACCTGTGGGAGAGAGGTATCAGCACTGTTCTGTAGTGTCCTGTTCCGTCTTATAACACTTTGCTCTCGCTCTCCACACTCCTTGTGACAGGTTCTCAGGCCGGTCGGCCAGGTTTAGTGTACATAAGTGGGGCACAGTGAGCTAGTCTTAGGGGTTGCCAGACAAAGGCGAGACTCTCTTTTGTCTTGAGTCAGTTTATTATCCTCTGGTGGAGCATGAGACTGGAGGTTAAACCAGTTTGAGCAGAAATAAACTCCCAGGCGTCTCCTGGTTGGTTGGTATGTAGGCCTGGATCACAGTGTACTGATGTACAGAGATCACACACACACATACACACTGGTGAGTCTAAATCACACACACCAACAGGCCAGAACGGGGTTAGGATTGAGAACAGAAGTGTGTTGTATTACTCGTCTTAGGTGACCCCCTTTTGTGAACTTGAGCTACAGTACTCTTACTTGTTTTAAGATCATAGTAAGATTATCTTTTTTTCTTCTGTTCATCCTCTGAATGTACAGGGTTGTTGGCATAGACACTAAATGGTGGTTGAAAACTGTGGTTGGTTATGGGGTTATTAACAAGCTTGGTAACTACCTTTATGTGCAATTTAAACTAGTGAGAGTTAGATTTGAGTTGGCTTACCATAAACGTATACTCTACATGAACAATGTTCCTTCAAGTTGACCTGTGTGTGTGTTCAGGAGCTGGAGAAGAGGAGGAGGGTAGAGGATGCCTACAAGTCGGCCTTGAGTGAACTGAAGAAGAAATCTCACTACGGCGGCCCTGACTACGAGGTAAGAATTCCAAACCTTTGCCAAAACTCTTGTGACACTTCCACCTGTAGTGATGAAGAGTAATCATAGTAATCTTAGTAATGACTCAGGAAGAGACAAGAATACTAGGAAATCTCTTTTCACTTGTTCTTGAGTATAGATGCTATACTAGAACATTTACATATTGCAGCTCATGGCTTTGACATTGTATTAGTCATAGTGGGTATTTACCAGTCAGATTGCGGGGCATTGATTCCTGTTGCATGAGATTGATTTGACTACTAGATGCTACATCCTGACCTGGAAGCAGTACATCTGTCTTTAATGTGTTGTTGTGCCTTGACATGGTGTTGTGTTTCTACAGGAGGGTCCTAACAGCCTCATCAATGAGGATGAGTTCTTTGATGCAGTGGAAGCTGCCCTGGACAGACAGGACAAGATGGAGGAACAGGTAGGTTACTCTTCTACTCTGTATACAGACAGGCAGCTGCTCGCTAGTCCCTACCTCTGGGCATTCTGTGTAGATCTGAAAAGTGTCTAGAGGTATAAGCAATATGGTGGGTTGTCCACCTTTCCTACCAGAGAGAAATCCTTTCCTTTCAGATCTAGAGTCTAGATATTGGACCTACAGGTGTGATCGATTTGAAATTCGACAACTGAGAGTAATGTGAGTTGTCTGTGGTGTTGATGTGTGGTTGTGTGTTCCTCCTCAGTGTCAGTCAGAGAAGGTGAGGATACCCAGACTGACCCCTGTCCCCCCTGGAGACTCATACTCCATCATCGGAACACACCGCTTCGCCAAACAGGTACACACACACGGTCCAACTAAATATGACAGAGTGTCACCAGTACATACAGCACATGCAAGAGTCGGCATGTATCATAACTCCAAGAGAAGTTCAGTTGATATGGTTTGTCTCTGACATTCTTCCCTCTCACTGAAACAAGCCTGCCAGTACATGTCTATTGGAGTCTTCTCCTCTGTAGGCCAATGGTTTGATACATTTTCCAACATGGGTATTCTTACTGGGCTTTTCACTTTCTCTGGTGGTGTTTGTGTGGGATTTCCTCTACTCTCCAGCCAGGTTGTTTTACGGTGGGTTTTTATTGAGCTCTAGTAATGATTTAGTCTGTTTGATTTGGGTAATCCCCTCATGTAGTGAAGGGTGGCATCCCTCTCTGCTCGTCTTTCATGTGTGGTGGCATCCCTGGTCTCATTCCCTGGATGTTTTTCTACCTCTCCCTCTCCCCTCTTTCTCACACTCCTCACCTCTTTATTTCTCTTTCTCTCCCCCTCTTTCTTTCTCCCCTTTTCCCCTCTCTCTCCTTTCCTCTGTTCGCTCTCTCCCCCCAAACTATCTCTCCTCTATCTCTCTCCCCTCCTCCCCTCTGCTGTGTAGCCCCATAGCTACTCTTCCTCCCTGTCCTCCGTTGAATTAGTCAGTGCCTCAGATGATGTTCACAGATTCAGCGCACAGGTACTGTATGTGTTGAGCACCACTAGAGTGCCACCAGCCTCCTGGGAATACACGTTACACTGCACTCTACTGACTGCATGAGAATGACTAGGAACGCTAATACACAGTGTACTGTACTGTCTACATACCTTCAACACTGACTGATGACCTGTGCTTCAACTCATTGTTTTGTTCCATCTTTCTGATGCACTTCGTGTGTGTTCCCTTCCCCCCCAAGATCAGTCTTCACACTGTCCAGGGCTGCCCTCAATGAATCCCTGTTCATTCCTTTTGCAAAATGTTTAGAAGAAGTCAGTTATCAGTGTAGGCAAGCTGAGTTACAGGGCAGCTTAGATTCAAGAAAACGTTCAAAAAGGGCCTTGTCATCAACTCAACATAACACAATGATGTGGATTGAATTGTGTCTAGCATAACTAACTATAGTATTCCCAGTGAGCCACAGCATTAGAGAGAGCGTAGAACTGCGTCCGTGCCCCCTGATCACTATCTGAGCTCAGCAGATGTAATGCATGACTGGAGTCCTGTAGTTACCCCTCCCTCCCTCTCCCCTGATACTCCCTCGCTCCCTCTTTCACTGCATGATCAGGCATGGACCCCAGCAATGTGAGCATCAAGTGTACTGTCTGTCTGTCTGTCTGTCCTGTACCTTGTCCTCTTCTCCCTCCTAGTGATACTGTCTCGCTAATAGCAGCATGTAGTTCAGACCGAGACTGCTACGCCACAGTGACTGAAGGCCTGCTGCATCTGACGTCTGTCTGTCTCTCAGGTGGAGGACATGGTTCAGAATCACATGACCTACTCCCTGCAGGACATGGGCGGAGACGCCAACTGGCAGCTGGTGGTGGAGGAGGGCGAGATGAAGGTGAGGATGGGGCTAGCTAGTGCGTATAGAAGACCATACCTACACACTACACGAAACACTGCCCCCTGCATGCCTAGTATAGAAGAGACTACCTACAGACTCTGCCTGCTGACTCACACTGGAAACAGTGAAGTGTATATGGGTCCAATATGGCTACTGTCAGTGTGTATGGGTCCAATATGGCTACTGTCAGTGTGTATGGGTCCAATATGGCTACTGTAAGTGTGTATGGGTCCAATATGGCTACTGTCAGTGTGTATGGGTCCAATATGGCTACTGTAAGTGACTGTGTGCTATCTCAGGTGTACAGGAGAGAGGTGGAGGAGAATGGCATCGTCCTGGACCCTCTGAAAGCCACCCATGCAGTGAAGGGTGTGACCGGACACGAGTTGTGCCACTACTTCTGGGACACGGACGTACGTAACGACTGGGAGAGTGAGTCTATCTACCTCTTCAATCATCATCATCAGATAATCTTCATGGATTAGCATCATCTTCTTGTCTTCTTAATTTGCACACAATGAATGGCTTGAATTGTTTTGTTTGTTGATTTGTCTTGCTCTATTTCTCTTCCAGCCACCATTGAAAACTTTAACGTGGTGGAGACACTCTCAGACAATGCTGTTATAGTCTACCAGACCCACAAGGTAATATACCTCTGGTTCTTCAGGTTCACCCTAGTCTGTCAGGCTCTCATACAGGTGGGTTGTCTTTGGACGGGTCACGTTTGACTGACAGCCAATGGTTGTGTTTCAGAGAGTATGGCCCGCCTCTCAGAGGGACGTCCTCTACCTATCAGCTATCAGGAAAATTCTGGCGACCAATGAGAATGACCCAGACACGTGGCTGGTCTGCAACTTCTCTGTAGATCACGACAACGCACAGGTGAGTTCTACAGACACACCAAGGGATTATTGCCGTACATGCTCTTAAAATCTGACGGCTAGGAGCTAGGTCTCGATGTCGAATTGGAAGGTGTAAAAAATTGTCTTCCGCTCTCCTCTTACCTTTTCATCAACTCCCTTTCTTTCTGTAGCCCACCAACCGGTGTGTCCGTGCCAAAATCAACGTGGCCATGATCTGCCAGACCCTGGTGAGCCCTCCAGAGGGCAACAAAGAGATCAGCAGGGACAACGTCCTCTGTAAGATCACCTATGTGGCCAATGGTGAGTACAGCAGCTCAATACCTTTTTCATGTCCCCAGTAAGTGAGGAGTTGCATGTTCCCACATGGTTGTCATATAAGCCTGGTCAAGTTTACTTTATCCACCTACATAAAACATTTTCTTCCGTTTACTTTTATGTTCCTTATTTGACCATGTGCAAATGGAACACAACTAAGCTACTCTGGTTTATTTGAACAGTGAGAGACAGAATAACAACAACAAAAATCCAGAAAAACGCATGTCAAAAGTGTTATAAATTGATTTGCAATTTAATGAGGGAAATAAGTATTTGACCCCTCTGCAAAACATGACTTAGTACTTGGTGGCAAAACCCTTGTTGGCAATCACAGAGGTCAGACGTTTCTTGTAGTTGGCCACCAGGTTTGCACACATCTCAGGAGGGATTTTGTCCCACTCCTCTTTGCAGATCTTCTCCAAGTCATTAAGGTTTCGAGGCTGACGTTTCTATGGGATTAAGGTCTGGAGACTGGCTAGGCCACTCCAGGACCTTAATGTGCTTCTTCTTGAGCCACTCCTTTGTTGCCTTGGCCGTGTGTTTTGGGTCATTGTCATGCTGGAATACCCATCCACGACCCATTTTCAATGCCCTGGCTGAGGGAAGGAGGTTCTCACCCAATATTTGACGGTACATGGCCCCGTCCATCGTTCCTTTGATGCGGTGAAGTTGTCCTGTCCCCTTAGCAGAAAAACACCCCCAAAGCATAATGTTTTCACCTCCATGTTTGACGGTGGGGATGTTGTTCTTGGGGTCATAGGCAGCAGTATATGTGCTTTCTTGAGCAGGGGGACCTTGCGGGCACTGCAGGATTTCAGTCCTTCACGGCGTAGTGTGTTACCAATTGTTTTCTTGGTGACTATGGTCCCAGCTGCCTTGAGATCATTGACAAGATCTTACCGTGTAGTTCTGGGCTGATTCCTCACCGTTCTCATGATCATTGCAACTCCACGAGGTGAGATCTTGCATGGAGCCCCAGGCCGAGGGAGATTGACATTTATTTTGTGTTTCTTCCATTTGCGAATAATCGTACCAACTGTTGTCACCTTCTCACCAAGCTGCTTGGCGATGGTCTTGTAGCCCATTCCAGCCTTGTGTAGGTCTACAATCTTGTCCCTGACATCCTTGGAGAGGGCTTTGGTCTTGGCCATGGTGGAGAGTTTGGAATCTGATTGATTGATTGCTTCTGTGGATAGGTGTCTTTTAAGAGTGTGCTCCTGATCTCAGCTCGTTACCTGTATAAAAGACACCTGGGAGCCAAAAATCTTTCTGATTGAGAGGGGGTCAAATACTTATTTCCCTCATTTAAAATGCAAATCAATTTATAACATTTTTGACATGCGTTTTTCTGGATTTTTGTTGTTGTTATTCTGTCTCTCACTGTTCAAATAAACCTACCATTAAAATTATAAACTGATCATTTCTTTGTCAGTGGGCAAATGTACAAAATCAGCAGGGGATCAAATACTTTTTTCCCTCACTGTATATAGAGCTTTATGGCAGAGCTTTGTGTGGGTGGAGAATTAGTTAAATGTTGATTAATGGTTTAGTATAGTGATTCTATCACACCATGTAGGCTCACTGTTTGTATGTGTGTAGCTATATATTGACTGAGAGGTTGTTATTTCCTAGTGAACCCTGGAGGCTGGGCCCCTGCCTCAGTCCTCAGAGCCGTGGCCAAGAGGGAATACCCCAAGTTCCTCAAACGCTTCACCGGCTACGTCCAGGAGAAGACCAGCGGAAAACCCATCCTCTTCTAAACCTCACAGGTAACAATCCCATTCATTCTAATCAGACATGTTTTTTACATGGACGATACATTGGAGATAATTGGAAACAATACAACACTATGAAAAATCTGGGAAACCAGGCCTGCTATTCATAGCAGACTTCGAAAAGACATTTCACAAAGTACGACTGGAGTTTATATATAAATGCCTAGAGCATTTCAATTTTGGAGAATCTCTTATAAAATGGGTTAAAATCATGTATAGTAACCCTAGGTGTAAAATAGTAAATAATGGCTATTTCTCAGAAAGTTTTAAACTGTCGAGGAGTAAAACAAGGTTGTCCACTATCGGCATATCTATTTATTATGGCCATCGAAATGTTAGCTATTAAAATCAGATTCAACAATAATATCAAGGGATTAGAAATCCAGGGCTTAAAAACAAAGGTATCATTGTACGCTGATGATTCATGTTTTATTTTAAATCCACAACTTTAATCCCTCCACAGCCTCATAGAGGATCTAGATACATTTTCTAACCTCTCTGGATTACATCAAATTATGATAAATATACTATTACGTATTGGATCACAAAAAAATACAATTATTACATTACCATGTAGTTTACCAATAAAATGGTCTGATGGTGATGTGGATATACTCAGAATATATATCCCAAATGAATTAAATGATCTCACTCCAATAAAGTTGAATAGAAAGTTAGCAAATATAGATAAGATCTTGCTACCATGGAAAGGTTAAATACCTGTCTATTTGTGGAAATATCACCCTGATTAACTCTTTAGTATTATCCCAGTTTACCTATTTGCTTATGGTCTAGCGAACAGTTTTTTAAAAATTATATGAGAAAAAAATATTCCATTTTATTTGGAACGGCAAGCCAGAAAATTAAACAGGCATATTTATATAATAAATATGAATTCGGAGGACAGAAATTATTAAATATAAAATCATTAGACCTATCACTAAAAGCTTCAGTCATACAAAAGTTATACTTAAATCCGAACTGGTTCTCTAGCAAATTAGTAAGATTGTCTCACCCCATGTTCAAGAATGGCCTTTTTCCCTTTATTCAGATTACAACCTCTCACTTTCAGTTATTTGAAAAGGAAATAATCTCCCAAATATCACTTTTTCAAAAACAAGCCATAGAAAGTTGGTTGCAATTACAATTTAATCCTCCAGAAACTCCAGAACAAATAATGAAACAAATATTGTGGTTAAACTCAAATATCCTAATTGATAAAAAAAACATTTATTTTTTGAAAAAATGTTTAAAAAAAGGTATAATCTTCGTAAATGATATCATTGGTAGGACTGGTGGTTATGTCGCACATGCAACTAACAAAAACATATGGAAATGTCTGCTCTACCCAAATTTACAACCAAATAATTGCAGCATTACCGCAAAAATGGAAGAGGAAAGTGGAAGGGGGAAAAAGTAAGGAACTTGTCTGTCGGCCCTGCATTAAAGAAAATTGTGATAAATAAAAAAAGTATACCAGTTTCATTTAAGGACCAAAGGATTGACAGCCATCCCATATAGATTGCAAAATAGTTGGGAAGAGATTTTTGACGAACCGATTCCATGGCATAGTGTTTATGAACTGATACGCAAAACGACGCCGGATTCAAAATGTATTATTCAATTAAAATTATTATACAAAATTCTTGCTACCAAGATAATGTTTTTATATGGGGGATACAATCTTCCCAGCTCTGCAGATTTTGCTGCGAAGAGACAGAATCATTAGATCATTTGTTTTAGTACTGCCCATTTGTAGCTTGTTTTTGATCACAGGTCCAGGAATGGCTGAAGGATTGCAATATTTACCTGGAGCTAACCCTGCAGATAGCACTACTGGGTGATCTGAAAAGTCCTAGTCAATCGATCAATAATATAATAATACTTTTAGCAACAAAAAAAATATTTTCAATTTACAATCTGTAGAAACAATGAGAATAAAAGGGTTCAGAACTTTTGTGAAACATTTACATTTTAGTCATTTAGCAGATGCTCTTATCCAGAGCGACTTACAGTTTGTGAGTGCATACATTTTTCATACTGCCCCCCCGTGGGAAACGAACCCACAACCCTGGCGTTGCAAGCACCATGCTCTACCAACTGAGCTACAGGGGACCTGTACAGTCACAGCACAGTTGAAAAATATGGCAAACAGAAATCTAATATGGATGGTGTTAAGAGATAGATGGGAGGTGTTGAATGGAGCTGAAGGATGGTACTAATAACAACTAACAACAACTAATAACAACAAGATAACTAATGTAAAGCATACTGTGTCCATAATAAGTATATAGGTTATAGGTTGAGAGCTTTTGTGAAAGAGCACAGTTAGAAAGATATGGCATATAGAAGCAAACCGGATGGACATCATGAAAATGATCGGAGAGGTTGAGGGTAGAGGAAGTTCAGGAGTAAAAACAAACCAAATTGAATTATTGTAAAATTGACTTTGTCCATAAAATGTATATAGTATGTATAAGCTGGAAGTAGAGGCCTAAGCGTTGTTGTTCATTAGTTTACTCCAATTAGGGGAGGGGTGGTGGGGTTGGAAAGTAATAAAGGGAAATCTTTTTAAAAAAAGTGTATGTATGGATGTATGTATGTATGTATATATAGGGAAAAAAGTATTTGATCCCCTGCTGATTTTGTACGTTTGCCCACTGACAAAGACAGGATCAGTCTATATTTTTAATGGTAGGTGTATTTGAACAGTGAGAGACAGATTTGCATTTTAATGAGAGAAATAAGTATTTGACCCCTCTGCAAAACATGTGCTTCTTCTTGAGCCACTCCTTTGTTGCCTTGGCCGTGTGTTTTGGGTCATTGTCATGCTGGAATACCCATCCACGACCCATTTTCAATGCCATGGCTGAGGGAAGGAGGTTCTCACCCAAGATTTGACGGTACATGGCCCCGTCCATCATCCCTTAGATGCGGTGAAGTTGTCCTGTCCCCTTAGCAGAAAAACACCCCCAAAGCATAATGTTTCCACCGCCATGTTTGACGGTGGGGATGGTGTTCTTGGGGTCATAGGCAGCATTCCTCCTCCTCCAAACACGGCGAGTTGAGTTGATGCCAAAGAGCTCCATTTTGGTCTCATCTGACCACAACACTTTCACCCAGTTCTCCTCTGAATCATTCAGATCTTCATTGGCAAACTTCAGACGGTCCTGTATATGTGCTTTCTTGAGCAGGGGGACCTTGCGGGCGCTGCAGGATTTCAGTCCTTCACGGCGTAGTGTGTTACCAATTGTTTTCTTGGTGACTATGGTCCCAGCTGCCTTGAGATCATTGACAAGATCCTCCCGTGTAGTTCTGGGCTGATTCCTCACCGTTCTCATGATCATTGCAACTCCACGAGGTGAGATCTTGCATGGAGCCCCAGGCCGAGGGAGATTGACAGTTATTTTGTGTTTCTTCCATTTGCGAATAATCGCACCAACTGTTGTCACCTTCTCACCAAGCTGCTTGGCGATGGTCTTGTAGCCCATTCCAGCCTTGTGTAGGTCTACAATCTTGTCCCTGACATCCTTGGAGAGCTCTTTAGTCTTGGCCATGGTGGAGAGTTTGGAATCTGATTGATTGATTGCTTCTGTGGACAGGTGTCTTTTATACAGATAACAAGCTGAGATTAGGAGCACTCCCTTTAAGAGTGTGCTCCTGATCTCAGCTCGTTACCTGTATAAAAGACACCTGAGAGCCAGAAATCTTTCTGATTGAGAGGGGGTCAAATACTTATTTCCCTCATTAAAATGCAAATCAATTCATAAAATTTTTGGCATGCATTTTTCTGGATTTTTGTTGTTGTTATTCTGTCTCTCACTGTTCAAATAAACCTACCATTAAAATTATAGACTGATAATTTCTTTGTCAGTGGACAAACGTACAAAATCATCAGGGGATCAAATACTTTTTTCCCTCACTGTGTGTGTGTGTGTGTGTGTGTGTGTGTGTGTGTGTGTGTGTGTGTGTGTGTGTGTGTATGTATGTATGTATGTATGTATGTGTGTATATATATATATATATATATATATATATATATATATATACATACATACATACATACATACATACATACATACATACATACATACATACATACATACATACATACATACATACATACATACATACATACATACAGTGGGGAGAACAAGTATTTGATACACTGCCGATTTTGCAGGTTTTCCTACTTACAAAGCATGTAGAGGTCTGTAATTGTTATCATGGGTACACTTCAACTGTGAGAGATGGAATCTAAAACAAAAATCCAGAAATTCACATTGTATGATTTTTAAGTAATTAATTTGCATTTTATTGCATGACATAAGTATTTGATCACCTACCAACCAGTAAGAATTCCGGCTCTCACAGACCTGTTAGTTTTTCTTTAAGAAGCCCTCCTGTTCTCCACTCATTACCTGTATTAACTGAACCTGTTTGAACTCGTTACCTGTATAAAAGACACCTGTCCACACACTCAATCAAACAGACTCCAACCTCTCCACAATGGCCAAGACCAGAGAGCTGTGTAAGGACATCAGAGATAAAATTGTAGACCTGCACAAGGCTGGGATGGGCTACAGGACAAGCAGCTTGGTGAGAAGGCAACAACTGTTGGCGCAATTATTAGAAAATGGAAGAAGTTCAAGATGACGGTCAATCACCCTCGGTCTGGGGCTCCATGCAAGATCTCACCTCGTGGGGCATCAATGATCATGAGGAAGGTGAGGGATCAGCCCAGAACTACACGGCAGGACCTGGTCAATGACCTGAAGAGAGCTGGGACCACAGTCTCAAAGAAAACCATTAGTAACACACTACACCGTCATGGATTAAATCCTGCAGCGCACGCAAGGTCCCCCTGCTCAAGCCAGCGCATGTCCAGGCCCATCTGAAGATTGCCAATGACCATCTGGATGATCCAGAGGATGAATGGGAGTAGGTCATGTGGTCTGATGAGACAAATAGAGCTTTTTGGTCTAAACTCCACTCGCCGTGTTTGGAGGAAGAAGAAGGATGAGTACAACCCCAAGAACACCATCCCAACCGTGAAGCATGGACGTGGAAACATCATTCTTTGGGGATGCTTTTCTGCAAAGGGGACAGGACGACTGCCCCATATTGAGGGGAGGATGGATGGGGCCATGTATCGCGAGATCTTGGCCAACAACCTCCTTCCCTCAGTAAGAGCATTGAAGATGGGTCGTGGCTGGGTCTTCCAGCATGACAACGACCTGAAACACACAGCCAGGGCAACTAAGGAGTGGCTCCGTAAGAAGCATCTCAAGGTCCTGGAGTGGCCTAGTCAGTCTCCAGACCTGAACCCAATAGAAAATCTTTGGAGGGAGCTGAAAGTCCGTATTGCCCAGCGACAGCCCCGAAACCAGAAGGATCTGGAGAAGGTCTGTATGGAGGTGTGGGCCAAAATCCCTGCTGCAGTGTGTGCAAACCTGGTCAAGACCTACAGGAAACGTATGATCTCTGTAATTGCAAACAAAGGTTTCTGTACCAAATATTAAGTTCTGCTTTTCTGATGTATCAAATACTTATGTCATGCAATAAAATGCAAATAATTACTTTAAAATCATACAATGTGATTTTCTGGATTTTTGTTTTAGATTCCGTCTCTTACAGTTTAAGTGTACCTATGATAAAAATTACAGACCTCTACATGCTTTGTAAGTAGGAAAACCTGCAAAATCGGCAGTGTATCAAATACTTGTTCTCCCCACTGTACATACCGTTCAAAAGTTTGGGGTCACTTAGAAATGTCCTTGTTTTCGAAAGAAAAGCAATTTTTTTGTCCATTAAAATAATATCAAATTGATCAGAAATACAGTGTAGACATTGTTAATGTTGTAAATGGCTATTGTAGCTGGAAACGACAGATTTTTTATGGAATATCTACATAAGCGTACAGAGGCCCCTTATCAGCAACCATCAGTCCTGGATTCCAATGGCACGTTGTTTGCTAATCCAAGTTTATCATTTTAAAAGGCTAATTGATCATTAGAAAAACCTTTTGCAATTATGTTAGCACAGCTGAAAAATTTTAAAGAAACAATAAAACTGGCTTTCTTGAGACTAGTTGAGTATCTGGAGCATCAAATCAAAATCAAATCAAATTTTATTGGTCACATGCGCCGAATACAACAGGTGCAGACATTACAGTGAAATGCTTACTTACAGCCCTTAACCAACAGTGCATTTATTTTAGACAAAAAAAGTAAGAATAAAACAACAACAACAAAAAAGTGTTGAGAAAAAAAAGAGCAGAAGTAAAATAAAGTGACAGTAGGGAGGCTATATATACAGGGGGGTACCGTTGCAGAGTCAATGTGCGGGGGCACCGGCTAGTTGAGGGTTCAGCAATTGTGGGTTCGATTACAGGCTCAAAATGGCCAGAAACAAATAACTTTCTTCTGAAACTCGTCAGTCTATTCTTGTTCTGAGAAATGAAGGCTATTCCATGCAAGAAATTGCCAAGAAACTGAAGATCTCGTACAACACTGTGTACTACTCCCTTCACAGAACAGCGCAAACTGTCTCTAACCAGAATAGAAAGAGGAGTGGGAGGCCCAGGTGCACAACTGAGCAAGAGGACAAATACATTAGAATGTCTAGTTTGAGAAACAGGTGCCTCACAGATCCTCAACTGGCAGCTTCATTAAATAGTACCCACAAAACACCAGTCTCAACGTCAACACTGAAGAGGCGACTCCAGGATGCTGACCTTCTAGGCAGAGTTGCAAAGAAAAAGCCATATCTCAGACTGCCCATCTTAATCTTTTATTTTTATTGGCCAGTCTGAGATATGGCTTTTTCTTTGCAACTCTGCCTAGAAGGTCAGCATCCTGGAGTCGCCTCTTCAGTGTTGACGTTGAGACTGGTGTTTTGTGGGTACTATTTAATGAAGCTGCCAGTTGAGGACCTGTGAGGCACCTGTTTCTCAAACTAGACACTAATGTATTTGTCCTCTTACTCAACTAGTCTCAAGAAAGCCAGTTTTATTGCTTCTTTAATCAGCACAACAGTTTTCAGCTGTGCTAACATAATTGCAAAATGGTTTTCTAATGATCAATTAACCTTTTAAAATGATAAACTTGGATTAGCAAACACAACGTGCCATTGGAACACAGGACTTATGGTTGCTGATAATGGGCCTCTGTACGCCTATGTAGATATTCCATTACAAATCAGCCGTTTCCAGCTACAATAGCCATTTACAACATTAACAATGTGTATACTGTATTTCTGATCAATTTGATATTATTTTAATGGACAAAAAAATTGCTTTTCTTTCGAAAACAAGGACATTTCTAAGTGACCCCAAACTTTTGAACAGTAGTGTGCATATGTGTGTATGCGAGAACATTGGAAGTTGATGGAAGTTACAATCTATCTGCAATATTAAAGCTGATCTACCCCCTAAAAAAAATGTAATAAAACAATCCCATCCACCTCTGAACCTCTACAGGTAATAGCTAACTCAAACCCCCTCTTATCCTCACAGGCACAAGCCTAAAGACTTCTATATAGACCATAGACATTTAATTACTCTTTACCACACAAGTAAAATTAATAAATCAGTTTAAGTTGTCTTTCATTGTGTGCCATATTTAAAGGGAAAATCCACTCAAAAACTATCTTTTAGTATTTATTTCATTAGTCCACTGTTGATACAGTCCCAAAATGTTTTGCATTTCAGCAGTCAAGTTTAAGATATTGGACTTTCAAGATGCGAAGTGTCACTGGCCACATCATCATGATGATGCAAAATGAATCATATGAATAAATAAAAAAAATACCAAAAGATAGTTTTGAGTGGGTTTCCCCTTTTTGAGTTTTTTTATTTTTGGTAACGTTCCATCTCCTCGTCTTCTCTCAGGTGTTGGAAGGCGAAACACCTTTTTGTCCTGAAGAGAGATGGCTACATTTCCCATCATTCAAGGGGCTCCCACAGACAACATTACCCATTTATCTGTCAACCGGAATGTCTTCACAAACCATCCAGAATGTCCCAGATGAAATAATCGTATCAGACTGGTTTAGGGCTTTAATCCATCAGTAGTTGCTAGCCACCTGAGCCACAAAAACGGCCAAACATTGTTAAACTGTCCATGGATGTGTGTTTGTATATCAATTCAAGTATTTCTGAATCGACAGAACCAATCTTTATCTTTTTGTAAATTGTTTTGTAAATAATGTCTAATTATTACATTATTTTTTACTATACTTTTTCGTTCGCTTTAATCACTGATTATCACGGCGTCTTTTCATGCTGCTAATTTTGCTACAAAAAAGGAAAGGAAAGAACAGAGTAGAGGGCAGTGTGTTGAGCGGAGTAGCCTTCTTCTTGTCCTCTCCCTCTAGTGACGACCTGTCCTGTGGTCTGATGGGGGGAGGGAGTCCAAAGCTTTGTACACTCTTTTTGGTTAAAACCTCTATATTTGTAGATCATTATAGCTGTAAAGGAGTACTATGGATGTGATGTATGATACAGAGACAGCGTTTGTTTACCGGTGTATGTGAATTGACTGTTAAGGGCTTGATAGAGAAAAAGTTTTGGCAAACTGGAATTGGAAGAACTACAAAACACGTCTCTTTTTCGTAGGTGATCTTTATGATGACAGTGATGAATTGACAGTATGGATGGATAAGATTGAAGTAATTTGTTGAATGTGACACAAAAACACTAAGGAATCAAGTGTTGGTCTCTACTGTTGAGTATGCCCCACCTCACCATGTTATGTCCAAGTAACATACAGCTATATGGCTGATATACGTTGTACCACAGCATTGGGTGTTCAGATGGACCTCTTCATTGGCTTCAAAGGCTTTTAGGACAGAGGAGATGAGGTTGTTGGGATGGCTATTTCTTTCACATCCCATTTCTACATGATATTTCACATCCCAACACACTGACCTTTCATCTCCCTCCCTTTGACTGTTAACTTGACATAGTGCTTTAGACACCAGGACAAATCCACAGAGCCCTAGGAACCATCTAGCTACTACAGTATCATACGACCAGATGTGCATTTAGATTGAGACATTAAACTGGAGCTGGGAGTCAGCATTTCACATGATTTCATACCTCAATTTTTTATTTTGATTGTTTATTTTATAGTTGTGATTTTGCAATCAGAAAGTCTAAGGCTGAGGTCAGAATCCTCCAATCAGCATCTCAGCCTGAGGGGTCGTAGGTCAGAGAATCCATGGGGAAACCGCATTGCCATGACGATCAGAGGAGCGACTTCTAATGAGAGGAACATCAGCTGAAGAATACATTTTAGCCTTTTGAATGTTCTCTTTAAGGAATGGACACGCTTTGTATATTTAAGATAAGTCTACTCTGAAGTGTTATCATTTGCACTAAATAATGCAATTGGACAATGTTCTGTAAATTAAAATCGTTACACTACAGAAATGAGCTGACTTGCATTTGTACTGTACACTAGCAAATGAGCAGGGGTTTTGTGTGGATAATGTGCCCCTCATCTTTGATCACAACTGGACCCTCATTTTTTTTCAGGCACCCCTCTTTGTCTTCTACATGACAATGAATAGGAAATGTGAGAAACAAGTGTCAAGCATTTTTATTTCAGTAGTTTATTTCTTTATAGGAGTATCTTTGATATATACATAATCTTTACATTCAGTGATTAAAATATTTTCATCTTCAGCAAACTGTATATTTGAGATTCATGTAATAAATTATGGTCTCAAAACCGACACGTGTGATCATGGAATTCAGAGAGACTGTTTGATATGGTCTTCATGGTGAGGTGTCATATATATATAATATCAGCTTCTCAGTCTAAAATGGAGGCCAACTGCTGCTTAGCTTTTAGCAATAAAGAGGACACGCTTGTTCAGTATCAAAGGATATCCTGAGAATCTTCAGTCATGCCACCCCTTCCCCATAAAACTAGTCTCTGTGCATCAAATCTACCATAGTACTTCATTGTCTGTGCATCTACCCACGTACTTGGCAATGACATACATAGGTGTGCATAATGTAAAAATGTGCATATTCCACTGATCCAAAACTGTGTTTAGGTTTGGTGACCCACCTAAACCCAACATCCTTCAAGAAAAATAGTTCTTACAAACAGTAATCAAAACTAACATCCAAAGTGCCATTTTGACAGGAGCGAGTGTATCTCACCATCCTTCTGCTCTGTGCTTCCTCCTCCATGGAGCTGGAGATCCAGTAACACTGACCCTGTCTCCTCTCCTCAGGTCAACAGCAGGGTATAGCAGACCTTAACCTGCTGCCTTCAAACTACTCCTTTACTTTAGTCCTGTCTGATTGGAATGAATAGCAAGATGTTGGTTGGTTGGCTACCTTCAACATACCAGCCAATGAGTCTTTAGAGTTTGGTCTTGGCTTGGTGGTTTACAGCGTAATATGAGTCCAGGCTCATCCATATTGGCCTTGTGTGTTTTCCATGATAACATCACACTTCCGCAATGGCCAAGATGCTGTTGTCACTGTAAACGTTCATCATCCAACCAGCTACTACAAAGCAAGTGCTATAACTTCAAATCACTTTAAAGAGTCACTTCTGGTCAGTAGGAAAATTAAAACATTCAATGAAATGTATATTTATATACTTTTTCTAAATGTATATATTACTTTATATGCCATGGAAAAAGGAATCTTCTACAAAACGAATTTGTGGGACTACTCTGACATGCTCTAAGAAGCGGTTAGGTCTGAAATTGATCACATTAAGTATGGAATGTCATGTAATTCCAATGGATGTCCATCACTGTGATTTTATTGGTGTCTTGTTTTAGTCCATCAGCCTATCAGATGTGAGCATCCCAGTCCTTTGTGTTTTGGCAACAGGTGACAGAGTGGATCTAGCAGCGCTGGGGGCGGAGTCAAAGGAGCCCTGTCCAATGGAGTGTAGCGATTGTCAGATGATTGACAAAAGTAAAATGGTGGAGGAAATGGTCGTCTGTAAGCCTCCCCTTTCACTGAAACACAAAAGAGAAAGTGCAGTGTGAGTAAATACTATAAATACAGCTCATTATATCCACTTAACTTATCTGCTCCTAAGGCAGGGGTGGGCATCTTCAGTCCTGGAGGGCCAAATCAAATTTGATTTGTCACATGCGCCAAATACAACAGGTGTAGACTTTACCGTGAAATGCTTACTTACGAGCCCTTTCCCAACAATGCAGAGTTAAAAAGAAAGAAAAATTAGCTAATAAAATAAATAGTAACACAATAAAAATAACGAGGCTGAAGGAGAACCTACCGGCATTTGACTTAGGAACAGATCAGTCAAGTACCTCATACCCCTGCACATTGACTTGAGGTAATATGTACATGTAGGTAGGGGTAAAAGTGACTAGGTAATCAGGATACAGTGCCTTCAGAAAGTAATCACACCCCTTGACTTTCCACATTTTGTTGTGTTACAGCCTAAAATGTATTAAATTGATATTTTGTGTCACTGATCTACACACAATACCCCATAATGTCAAAGTGGAATTATGTTTTTAGAAATGTTTACAAATTAAACAGCTGAAATGTCTTGAGCACATAAGTATTCAACCCTTTTATGGCAAACCTAAATAAGTAAAAATGTGCTTAACAAGTCACATAATAAGTTGCATGGATTCACTCTGTCTGCAATAATAGTGATTAACATGATTTTTAAATGACTACCCTATCTTTGTACCCCACACATACAATTATCTGTAAGGTCCCTCAGTCGAGCAGTGAATTTCAAGCACAGATTCAACCACAAAGGCCAGGGAGGTTTTGGAATGGTTCGCAAGGAAGGGCACCTATTGGTAGATTGGTGGTAAGAAAAGGCAGATATGGAATATCCCTTTGAGCATGGTGCAGTTATTAATTACACTTTGGATGGTGTATCAATACACCCAGTCACTACAAAGATGCATGCGCCCTTCCGAACTCAGTTGCCGGAGAGGAAGGAAACCGCTCAGGGATTTCACCATGAGTCCATTGGTGATTTTAAAACAGTTACAGAGTTTAATGGCTGTGATAGGAGAAAACTGAGGATGGATCAACAACATTGTAGTTACTCCACAATCAAAAATTACAGAGTGAAAAGAAGGAAGCCTGTAAATAATACAAATATTCCAAAACCTGCATCCTGTTTGCAATAAGACACTAAAACAATACTGCAAAAAATGTGGCAAAGAAATTAACTTTTTTATTTTGAGGGGCAAATCCAACAAAACATCACTGAGTACCACTCTTCAAATGTTCAAGCATGGTGATGACTGCATTATGTTATGGGTATGCTTGTCATCGGCAAGGACTAAGGAGTTTTTTAGGATGAAAATAAACGGAATACAACTAAGCACGGGCAAAATCCTAGAGGAAAACTTGGTTCAGTCTGGGAGACAAATTCACCTTTCAGCAGGACAATTACCTAAAACACAAGGCCAAGTCTACACTGGAGTTGCTTACCAACATTGAATGTTCCTGAGTGGTCTAGTTACAGTTTTGACTAGAATCAGCTTGAAAATATATGGAATGACTTGAAAATGGCTGTCTAGCCATGATCAACAGCCAACTTGACAGAGCTTGATTTGTAAAAGAATAATGGGCAAATATTGTACAATCCAGGTCTGCAAAGCTCTTATAGACTTACCCAAAAAGACTCAGCTGTAATCTCTGCCAAAGGTGATTCTAACATTTATTGACTCAGGGGGATGAATACTTATCTAATCAAGATTTTCTATAAAAAATAATAAATACTATCCCACTTTGACATTAGAGTATTCTGTGTAGATCGTTGACAAAAAATGACAATTAAATCAATTTTAATCCCACTCTGTAACACAACACAATGTGGAAGAATTCAAGGGGTGTGAATACTTTCTGAAGGCACTGTAGATAATAAACAGAGTAGCAGCAGCGTATGTGAAGAGTGTGAAAGAGTGTGTGTGTGGTGTCAATATGCATGTGTGTGTGTGTGTGTGTTGGAGTGTCAGTGTAGTATGTGTGGGTAGAGTCCAGTGAGTATTCATAGACCTGTGCAAGCGAGTCAGTGAAAAAAAGCAGGTCAATGCAAATAGTCTGGGTATTCACTTGATTAACTGTTCAGCAGTCCTATGGCTTGAGGGTAGAAGCTGTTCAGGAGCCTTCTCGTCCCAGACCTGGGACAACAGTCTATGACTTGGGAGGCTGTAGTCTTTGACAATTTTCTGGGTTTTCCTCGGACACCGCCTGGTATAGAGGTCCTGGATGGCAGGGAGCTCGGCCCCAGTGATGTACTGGGCCGTACGCACTACCCTCTGCAGCGCCTTACGGTCGGATACCAAGCAGTTCCCATACCAAGCGGGAATGCAGCCAGTCAAGATCCTCTCAATGGTGAAGCTGTAGGACTTTTTGAGGATCTGAGGGCCCATACCAAATCTTTTCAGCCTCCAGAGGGGGAAGAGGCGTTGTCGTGCCCTCTTCACGACTGTCTTGATGTGTTTGGACCATGATAGGTCCTTAGTGATGTGGACACCGAGGAACTTGAAGCTCTCAACCCGCTCTACTACAGCCCCGTCATTCACACCTGCACAGTTGGAGCTCGGAGCTCAAGTATTTAATTGTACACGGCAACTAAATCTGCGACCGTACGCATGTGACTAAATAAAAATCTAATCTAATGTAAATGGGGGCGTGCTCGGCCTTCCATTTCCTGTAGTCCACGATCAGCTCCTTTGTCTTGCTGATGTTGAGGGAGAGGTTGTTGTCCTGGCACCACACTGCCAGGTCTCTGACCGACAAACTTAATGATGGCGTTGGTGTCGTGCGCGGCCACGCAGTCGTGGGTGTTGTGCAGGCTTTTGTTCCAGCCCATCCCAGAATTAGGTGTGTTAGTTCTAGGCTGCACATACAGTGGCCTTCCAAGATCCCATATGCCCACCCCTGCCCTAATGGAACCCAAAGACTGTCTGAGATAAACTCATTTGATCCTGACCACATGTGCAGCTACATATCTGAGTGGGAATAGATGCCTCCCAAACCATATTCCCTATATAGTGCACTACTTTTGACCAGAGCCCTATATATGAGTACTCACTAAGTAGACGTCGAGCACTGAGCCGTCGTCCGGGTCCATGTCCACCTCTACATCCATGGTGCTCTGCTCTGACGTCAGACAGATGGCGCTGTCCTCCAGGGTGAATGTGGAGCTGGACGCCATGTGATCTCTAAAGGGACACAGGAGAACAAGACACACATTTACATTTACATTTACGTCATTTAGCAGACGCTCTTATCCAGAGCGACTTACAGTTAGTGAATACATATTTTTTTATACTGGCCCCCCGTGGGAATCGAACCCACAACCCTGGCGTTGCAAACGCCATGCTCTATCAACTAAGCTACATCCCTGCCGGCCATTCCCTCCCCTACCCTGGACGACGCTGGGCCAATTGTGCGCCGCCCATGAGTCTCCCGGTCGCGGCCGGCTGTACCAGGATCTAGTGGCACAGTTAGCACTGCGATGCAGTGCCTTAGACCACTGCGCCACTCAGGACACCTACATGAGTAGACATACAAAAGAAAGGCTGAGTCCCAATATGGCATCCTATTCCCTACAAAGTGTCATTATTTTGTCCATAGTGCACTACTTTTGACAAGGCTCATTGGGGCTCTGGTCAAAAGAAGTGCACTATGTAGGGAATAGGGTGACATTTGGGATGAAACCAAACATTACATAACACACTCCTTCCAAAGTAGAGGCTTGGTACCAACTGGTGTGTGGTGGCCAGTGGGTTCCGTTTGGATGAAGCCAATATGGTTTTGTTTATTAAGTGGATCAAAATAAAGGGATCGTTCTTGAATTATGGTGGCATTTGGGCATGGCATTTTGGAAAAATATATACTTAATTTTTCTAGATTTTGTAAATATATCTTCCCATTCTAAATCAACTAATATGGTAGCTTAATTACATTAAATGTTTTGTATCATTATGATGACATTGTGCCACCAGTAGGAGTAGTAACACAAATGATGATAACACCAATGAGACATTTTAAGTGAATGAGGATTTTCTGAATGGAGGCTGCACATGCTTGAATCTATGGATATCAATCCTTTAAAAATAATTTACTAAAGTGATATGATTAATAATTTAGCTCACAATGTTATTTCCCTTCATTTAAAGTGATTTACACCAAGTGACACTTTGGATTTAGACACACCAAATTATCTATGGAATCCTCAACTTCATGACATAGTAAAAGGGTGTGAGTAGCTAATACTTTTCTTTAATATAGACCCCTCCCCCGTTTGCCACTGGAAAGTATGTTCAAGGTCCTTTTACAGTATATCTTTGTAATGAGTGATTTTCAAGGTGGTAACACCAATTACATAAACTGGTGGACACATTATACTATTAAAAAAAAAACACTTTTGTTCACTTTCTAGCATTCAAAATAATAGACAGATACAGTCCCTAGTGAAAGACTACACACCCCTTGCAGTCTTCACATTTTGCTGCCTTAAAATGGATTCTATTGGATTTCTTTCTTACCTATCTACACAACCTACTCCACATTTTCAAAGTGAAAGACAAATTATAGAACACCCCCCCCCCCCCCCCCCCCCCCCCCCCCAATTAAAAAAATAAATAATTACGATGTATTGATTGCGTATGTCTTCACACCCATTTTAGTCATTTAGCAGACGGTCTTATCCAGAGTGACTTACAGGCGCAATTAGGGTTAAGTGCCTTTCTCAAGGGCACATCAACTGATTTTTTCATTTAGTCGGCTCTGGGATTCGAACCAGCGACCTTTCGGTTACTGTCCCAACGCTCTTAACCATTTTTCTACTTCATATTCATCATCTCCAGCACCACCCCAACATCAACATATGTGAAAATGGCGCGTTTCTATTTTTTGTAGTAAAAAAGATAGAGGAAGATAAGTGTTTCCAATGACATCATCAACCAATTAGTAGACAATTAGTAGGCAATGCCTACTCATAATTGGTTAAAATCACACAATGATGTCATTGGAAAGACATATCTTCCTCTATCGTTTTTACTACAAAACATAAAAACACACAATTTTGTTGAAATGTCCCTTTAAACGCTAGGCTACCTGACACCCCTAAGTTAATACTTGGTGGAAGCACCTTTGGCAGACATTACAGCTGTGAATCATATTGATTAAGATTCTACCAACCTTGTACAACTCTAAGGGCAACATACACTACCAGTCAAAAGTTTGGATACACCTACTCATTCCAGGGTTTTTCTTTATTTTTACATTGTAGAGTAATAGTGAAGATATCAAAACTATGAAATAACACATATGGAATCATGTAGTAACCACAAAAGTGTTAAACAAATCAAAATATATTTTGTATTTGAGATTCTTCAAATAGCCACCCTTTGCCTTGATGACAGCCTTGCACACTCTGTGTTACTGTCATACAGACAGTAACACAGTGTGAAACTGTCTGTATTTTAAAGTATTGTGATGGTAGCGTCATGTTCTGGGAATGCCTGTCACTGGCAGGGACTGGAGAGTTTGTCAGGATCAAAATAAATATGAAAGAAGCAAAGCCCAGGTAAAAAGTTAGAGGAAAACCTAACCCTGGGATAACTAATATTTATCAGCAGGACAATTACACAAATGTTAATGCCAAATACACACCAAAATGGCTTTCTAAGGGGTTTTGAGTGTTTCTGAGTTGTCCAGTCTCTGTCCTGACTTAAATTAACTTGAACTTGAGCAATTTCGACAAAAAACTATGGATACATGTTGCCCTAAGAGTTGTGCGAAGTTTATAGAATCTTATAAAAAAGTATACACAGCTGTAATGGCTGCCAAAGCTGCTTCCACCAAGTATGAACTCTGGGGTGTGAAGACATATCCAATCAATAAATCTTAGTTTTTTTATTAATTAGGACAATTTTCTAAAATGATCATTCACTCTGAAAATGTGGAGCATTTTGTGTAAAATGTTTAAATTAATTTTAAGAACTCACAACAGGATATGAATGAATCTAGGGCAGGGAATTCTGGGACATTCTGTTTTATGTGAAGCTCCTTTACTGGGCTATGGACATCTAAAAACAGTCCCCAAATAATCACCTCCTGATTTAGGAAAATAAACGTCCATGAAAACACAGCATTGTGAACAGCAGGGGGCACTGGGTGCTGGCGTAAATCTGAAACAGGCCGTTTCCTTGCTGCATGTCACCTGACTTTGCTTAAATTGAGGAATGTGTTTACCATTTTATGGCATGTTATTGCCTACCCCTCTTAAAGGTGACACACACACACACACACACACACACACACACACACACACACACACACACACACACCTCAGAGCACAAGTCTGTTCCTGACTGATAGGGATATGTACATACACAGTGAAAGTCACCGTGGCAGCAAATGACACCATTTTTCATCTAAACAATGCCTCTTAATCAGACCTCCTGAAAGCCTTGAGTCAGATATTCATGAAAGACATTACTAAAACAATTGAGGGCAACAGACAGGTGCCTGAGAAGGGAGCAAGCCCAGGCAGGCCTCAGAATGGAGGCTTTGAGTTAGAGTTAGAACCTGACACTACTGGACAGACAGACAGAGAGCACTGGGGGGAGAGATGAGATGAGAGGAGAAGAAACGGTTCTTTCTAGAGGGAGGTTAGAATTTTAAGTCCATGGTTTATGGACTGCACTGCATCTGAACTCAATGTGGGTTGAACACTTAGAAATGTCCAGCAGGTCTTCCTGGGCATCTTTAGTGTATAACTGGCACAAAGCCTGACGAATCTGAGTCACCTGTTCCATGTGGCTCGTCACCACAAGGTGTGGGGGCAGAGTCCTATGTTTTCCATCAGGCCTCCCAGGTAGCTCAGTGTTTCTAACCTGTTATTATCTACATTCTACTCTTTCCATCACATTCTCCCCTCAGGGGAAGCCTTATGGCAGGCAGGGCTGATCAACTCAGGGGCCCTGCTGGTGATCTGATCATGAGGGTTTGTTGGTTCCGTCATTGATTTGCTCAATTGTTCACTCACCTGGTGTCCCAGGTCAAAATCATTGGTGCCAATATTTACAAAAGAGTGTAAATATATCCAATTGAATTGGGCCTTTGAGAAGACAGGTGGAAGTGGAAGGGGAGTCTTCAGGTAGAGGGGTGGAGGGGAGACATGGAGGGTAAAGATGGAACAGAGGTAGACGGGGGATAGAGGTACCTGTCTTCAGACTGGGTCTCCAGGTTGACAAATATGGAGGAGGAGGAGATGGTTCCCATGGAGGAGCCCTCGTAGAAGGACGAGGTGGCAGGGACTAGGTCCGGACGCAGGTAGGAGCCAAACACTGGGAGAAACACACAAACACACAGAAAGCCATGACCTCACTGAGAGACAAACACAACTCCATGACCTCAGTGATCTATTAGTTTAAAAACGTGATCTAAAGACAGAGTATAAACCTGATGTCGAAGCCACAGGACAGAACATGTGTGTTTGATTTAGTCTAATTAGATGAGATAATAAAGTGTGTATAAAACAATTATGTAAGTGTCCCTGCATGAACCTTCTATCCCTCAAAGTAGTTTGAGTAGAATTGGTTAACTGGAATAGAGTAAGCTATTAAAAATTAAACAAAAATGTTAAATTGCTTTATGGCAGGGATCATCAACTAGATTCAGCTGTGGGCTGATTCTTTCTTGAGCGGATGGTCAGGGGGCCGGAACATAATGACAACCGCAAGAAGCCCAAACAGATATCATATTTGACCTTGCATATATAGTTTTAAACCTTGCTTACATTTATATACGATCACATATATCTCTCTATTATGTGTGGGAATACTTTAGAACAGATACAAATCACTTGGAGCTGGTTTGCTGGTGTTTATACAGTCTTTTATGTCCCCCCCAAAAAAAACTTTGGGGGGACAAATAAAATCACCTGTGGGCCAAATTCGGCACAGGTGGGGACATGGTATGTTATGTGATGGTTGTACATAGTGTACCAGGGTGTTGTTGAGTTAAAACAGGATAAAATAGGATTTCCTATTAACTAAATAAGTTATGTTGCAATATAAACCAAGACTTCTCTCTGGCTTATTCAGAAGTCTGCACCCTCATCTCTTCCTGTAATATTGGCCAACAGTGGTGTTACCTCAGAGGAAGATCAAGAGTCATGAAGCTTAGTGGCTACTGCTGACAGGGTCCTGATTCTAACCCAGCCAGCCTTATACCCCCCCGCCACTGGAGTCAGGGCCTGATAATGGATCCCCAAGAGAAAAAGAGCGAGGCATAACGCTAACTCAGTCACACACACACACACACACACACAAACGGGCTGGCTGTTAATAACAGGATAGACTGTGTTTTCGTTCTGGTGAGGCAACATTTCACTGAGGCCTGGAGGTGGACAGAAGAGAGTTTTATGGCGCTACTGAAGGACCAGTTTACAGGGACCAAGTGGTTCTAAAAGGTCCAGATATAGAGATGTGTTCTACATGACAGATCTGGGAAGTGAAAGTGACTTCTGTTTGGTGCTTTTGGCTCAACCTCCAAAAGGGAAATACAACACATGAATGTGTGGATGATTGATAATAGTGTGCTGCTGGTCTACCTTGTCCGTCAAGACTGGCCAGACTGCGTGCTCCTCCCAGCCGGTCCCGACTCTCCTCCTCCTTCTCCTCCTTCTGAGAAGACAGGATCTCCTGAGAGAACGACTTCAGAGCAGGGATGGACGTACGTGCTCTCTTAGAAGGGGAGAACCGAATGGCTGCAGAGAGAAAGAGAGAGAGAGAGAGAGAGAGGGGAGTCGGTAAATGAGTGGTGGGGAATAGAGAAGGAAAGAGGAGGGAAGGAAGAGAGGAAAATAAGGAGAGAGTGAGGGGGTAGGGGAGAGAGTGAGGGGATAGGGGAGAGAGTGAGGGGGTAGGGGAGAGAGTGAGGGGGTAGGGGAGAGAGAGAGTGAGAGTGAGGGGGTCGGGAGAAGAAGGGAGGCGGGGGTAGGGGAGGAGGCCGAAAGTGAGGGGGTAGGGGAGGAGTGCGGGGGTAGGGGGAGGTGAGGGGGGCAAGCACCAGAGAAATAGGGAGAGATGGAGGGAACAGATTATCCTGATTGCAACCATTATCGTGCAAAATCAGGCTCAGAGCGTCTGTCCCAAATTAGCAATAAAAGGATCAAACTGTTAACGCATAATGATCATTACACAACTGTCCCCCAGACATTCCATTCTGACTCCCAAGCAGAGCATGAAATCCTCTCCCCTCCCCATCGTATCTAACTGTGCAGAAGCATTGGCATAATAATACCAAGCACGTAAATCCCAAATCATCACAGAAACCATCTTCATTAAATCAGCGTTCCACACTGTTACGTAACACTGCTTTATTTAATTTAACATGCAACATCATTGAGAACCAGTGTCAGGAATCTACACTGAGTGTACAAAACACTACACAGGTAACCTGACAACACAATCACTTCCTCTCACAGGGGAAAGGTATACTGTACATCAACACAACTGTGTTGTTGCTTTCAACACAGCTACTTCTATATATTTACTGGAAGGTTCGGTTTTGTTCAACATAACTTTGATTATTTGAAATCAGCTGTGTAGTGCTAGGGCAAAAACCAAAACATGCACCCATTGGGGTCCCCAGGACAAGTTTGGGAAATGCTGACCTACAGTGTCTATACATCATATCCAATCCACAATCACCTGATATTGCAGGTAAGAAATAAATCAAACTAGGAATCTGTACAAACATAAGATTTCCAATAGTTTACAGTTGACTTAACTGTACGTGCCACACCGACGTACTGTTATTGAAGGATTAACCTGTCTCAATCTCTGGGTCAGCCCTCATACCAGGGTTGGGCTAATTTTTTGCCTCGAGGGCCACATCGGGATTTCGAAATTGAACGGAGGGCCGCACATACTTTTTTTTACTGATTTGTTTATCAAAATCAATTTGCGGGCCAGAAATAGCGCAGTTATTTGAAAATATATATGTCCATTCAACATATATATATATTTTTTTTTTTACTCAAACCTCCCGCAGGCCGGATTAAATAGGCACCGTAGTTTGTCCACCCCTGTCTCAAACCATCTTTCCCACTACCCTTGTTTTCTGGTCCCAGTGCCTGGCATGTGTGCCAGTTGAAAGTCCTAACATAAATACAGGTCTCCCTGTCATAGGGGACTGAGGAACAAGAGCCAGCAGACTTACTCTGAGTCTTCCGGAACACCGAAGTGCTCATGAACTTGAGGAATCGGTTGGCATAGAAACCGGGCCTGTGCACTGATACAGAGTCCTGAGCACAGAACAGAAGACAATAAAAGCTTTCATCAGAGAGGGGTATTTTAGATCAATAAGAAAGTAACCTATGAATGGTGTGTATTCAGAAGGACACATATCAGATTTGCAGCATTTCAACTTACACCGTCGTAGACCAGGGCTTTCCACGAGTGTTCCAACTTCTTAATGAATCTGAGGTAAAAAACAAGAAGCCTTGTCACAAACGTAGCTCGTAATGCAACAAACCCAACCCCCCACCAAGCCCCATCATCCAAAACCTGAGATCCTTCCTTTTGGCACCAAACACAGAACAGGAACCACAGCAATTTTAGGTTAATGTTACGTAAAATGCTCCCCTTCTAGTTACATTTTACACTTGAATTGACAGGTCCTGAGGTCAGCTTAGAGATGCTGAGATACGGACAGGGAATAGCGTTAGGGACACTTCTGTCTCTCTGGCCTTAGAGGCTTTTCACACTGAGTAGCTTATCTCTCTCTCTTTCTTTCTTTCTCTCTCTCTCTTTCTCTCCCTCTCTCCCTCCCCCCCCCCCCCCCCCCTCCCTCCCTCCAGCATAGTTATACCTGTAGGACTGCAGGATGTCAATGATGCCCAGGAAAATAAGCAGCTTCTCTTCTTTGTGTGATTTGGCAGGAATTCCACCCATCCTGAAATACAGCACAGTAAATACAGGTCTAGTCACAGAATGTAGTCAGTCAGGATTAAATCAAATCAAATTGTATTTTCCACATGCGCCGAATACAACAGGTGTAGACATTACAGTGAAATGCTTACTTACAAGCCCATAACCAACAATGCAGTTTAAGAAAAAAATTAAAATAGCAAATAATTAAAGAGCAGCAGTAAAATAAAATAACAGTAGGGAGGTTATATACAGGGGGTACCGGTACAGAGTCAATGTGCGGGGGCACCGGTTAGTCAAGGATTATCTGCCAAGTCATCCAGTAAACATTCACCTCAAGGCTTAAAAGCATCTCAGTGAAGACACACTTTAAGGCTGGGTTTTGATCATTCTGAGTGTTTGTGAGAGTTTTGCCATGCATTTTTCAGTGTATGTCAGTGTGTACGTGTAAATGTCATCAAACTATTACTGTGTATATGATTGTGTATGTGTGTTTGTATGGGTAGTATGCCTGTGGTGAGTTGACTCACGTGTCGTCTGTGGTGTGGGCCTCGGCAGCCTTGCCGTCCCCCTGGATAGACTCCATGGCTGTGGAGTAGAGGACCCTCTGGGCCACGGGCCGCTTGCCGTCCCCCCCTGCTTGGCCCAGCTCGCCCCCCTCCTTTGGGCTCTGGTCCAGGACATGCACGGCCAGGAGCAGACTGTAGTCCATGATCTTAAAGCTCTCCAACACCTGCAGCACACAACATGAAACCACACGGTTAATCACCATGATCTGAAACAACATCACATCAACCTGTTAGCTAGCAAAGAGTGGAAATGCAGTTGGTGCTGTCTTGGCCTTGCTCTTAGTCCTCAAATGGCCAGTATCAGCCACAGGTGTGTAAGTAAAACATTTTTTTTTTATCATCTGGTTTATTGACGTGTGACCAAATATAAATAGGCAATAGTGATATTCTATTCTATTCTATTTTACTATGTTGACCAGAAGCTTTAGTTACACAGACCTGAAAAGTACAAAGTGTTTCATTACCCTGAAGATTTGGTGCCTCAAACACCAAAAATAATTGAAGAAATCTTTCTGCAACTGATTGTTGAGCTATATAAAGAAAGGTGTTGCTCTACGGCTGAGTGATGTGTTAAATATTGACCCGTGTGAGTGTGAGGGGCCTTCTGCCCTCTTGTCTCTGTTCCCAGGTTTTCTCAGGCCCCAGGTTTCCTCTCACTGCTCAAACAGAACGGTCACATGACACCAGAGGTTTTTCAAAAAACACAATCTGAAAATGGGGTCAAGGGCGCAATCAGGCCTCTAAGTACCACTGCAGGGTGGTTTAAGTCTGGCTTGGCTGACGGTGGTTTTGCATGCCAAATGTGTGTGTGTGTGTGTGTGTGTGTGTGTGTGTGTGTGTGTGTGTGTGTGTGTGTGTGCGTGCATGTACGTACATGTGTGCAGACGCGCTTGCATGGAAAGTCATAATTTCTATGGTGCTATCAGCCATAATAAGATTAGCCATTTTTGGATGCAAATTTGATCATCTAGTTTGCCTGATTTTCCATAATTGGACCACAGGAATCATCTCATTTTAAGCATTACTGTGCCAATCCCCCAAATTAATAACATTTACATTTAAGTCATTTAGCAGACGCTCTTATCCAGAGCGACTTACAAATTGGCCCTGTCTGTCTGTGTGTCTGTCTGTCTAAGAGAGACGACAACAAAATAAGAAAAAGGAGCACCAGGGAAGTAAACAGATCTGTCATAATGGGGAACACTCAGACAAATGTGGCTTGGCTGCAGACCTAAAAATTACAAGAATGTTCATCATGATCGTCATGGTAGCCCCTAAAGTCAGCACGTAGTTGGATTTCGTAAACAGTATTTCCAACATCAGGTACATCCCAAGTGGCACCCTATTCCCTATGTAGTGCACTAGTTCAAAAGTAGTGCACTATAAAGAGAATAGGGTGCCATAAGGGACTCAGCTATCACTATCCCTTATATGGAATTGGCCAACAGAAAACAGGCTGAGGAAAAGGACCACAACAGAGCCAGATAATCGGCCTTTTGTGATCTAATCAAAGTAATGTGACCTAGTATGTCCAGAATGAGGATCTTTGTTAATAGAGACTGTAACACAAACACACACTTACTAGGAGTAGACAGCAGGTTATAGGTCAGCAAAGATGGCCTTTTGATCTCTTATCATATCACTGATGTATCTGTAACTAGAATCCATTGATGTGGTAAAAGGAAACATGGGACATGACTGAGCACCCACAATAAGATTATAGAACAGCTATGTCCTGGGTATTCCCCATGGTAAAATGTGTCTTTATTTTTGCTTTATAAAGTGCATTGTTGCTGGTTGTTTAATCATGGTTAATTATTTATTTACTGTCCTTATATGACTAATGTAAATCACGAACACAAGCCCATACACACACACACACACGCACGCACGCAGACACACACACACACACACACTCAGAAAACACTTGTGCTCTTGTTCGAGCGTTGCCTTTTCCATGTATTTGATTTGCATCTGTTCCTCCTGACTCCCCCGTTCCTATTCAAAGGCAACTATTTTGAATAGACCCACACACCAACCTGCCCACAGTAGGCCATGTGACTTCCAGCTGGCCTGACCACCTCTTCTTGCCAGGCAAACCATCACTACACAAACTATTAATACTGCTGCCTGCCTTCATCAGGTTGGCTTCTATACTACTGCAATGGGACCTTATTATAAGCATTAAAGTGTGTGCATCCTTTTTCATTTGATGCTTAGCAGTGATGTCTTTTGCCAAGGTACAAAGTCGGTGTTCGTCCTCCCCTGCAATAAAGAGCATACCCAGCAAACCAGTGAAAGTTCCCAGAACATTCGTTAGGTTGCGGCAAATGTTCTCATAACACAAAAACTGTCCAGTTGTGCTGATTATTATACAATGTTTGTATAAATCATTCACCTGATGTTGCAAGAATGTACCCAGAACGTTGCTCTCACATTTTGTTGCGGCAGTATGATTTAAAAACATTAATGGTATACTGTGTTATTACATTATCTGGAAACCTAATGAGGTGGTTGTTACAGATGTTGTGCACAACATTTTAGTTAATGTTAGGAGAACATTCCAAGGATATTTCTTTAAAACATTTTCTGATTAAAAATTTAAAAAATGGTATCAAAAATATTTGTTCAATGTTTTTGGGATGCTATCATCCTAATGTTAGATAAAACCCTAACTAAAACTTAATGGGAATCTTAGCTAATGTTCTGGGAATGTTCCCCGTTTGCTGGTTAGGCAATGTGAGCCAACAACAACTACAATCACTTAAACATAATATCCACACACTGTAGAAGTTCATCTTGTATTTGACTTCAAACTGCTTTCTGTCTTCAGAGTTTCTGGAAAAGTGGATGGAAAAGTATTAGGGAGAATCTATCTTAACAAGTCTTCAGTAAGTCACCCTTTTACAAGATTCCCTTATCCTTGAACAAATTATCTTTGATGTAACACAGCACATCCAAGCCATGTCTGAGTCTCTCCTCTGGATCAGTCTCTTGAGAGGGTCTGTCTTTGAAACCTCACAGTACAGCATGGCCCACTTACAGAGACACTAATACACTGGCACCCTTTGAAGACAGGAATGACAGAGAGACTCTTTACATTGCAGTTAAAACGTGGAACCAGCCATACCTTTCATGAAAATCACATTCTCAGCATTTACATCTCCATTCCATGTTAACATTTCTAATTCAACAAGTAGATTTTTGGTTAGGCGTTAGTAGCCAGATCCAACTCTAGCCAAAGTAGTGCACTACATGGGGAATAGGGTGTCATTTGACATCAGCCCTGGCTTGATTGGCTTTGTGAGAGAGGGCATTGTTGTCCCTGTCATGTTCCAATATAATTACAGATTCACATGACCCAGGAGGAGAGGAGGGGACCCATAAAAGGTTGTTTTTGTCTGACAACATGACCCGCCTCGAGTTCCATAACAATTATGCAACACAATTTACTCACCCATTCTGTTCGTGTATGGTGTGTGTGCGCGCGTGTATGTTTGTGTGTGCGTGCATGTGAGAGTATGTGTTTGTTTGTGTCTCAAGTTAATAGGGAGATTCCCAGACAAAAATATTTGTATACATCAAGCTAAATGCCACTCAATGTCCCTCTGCCCTAGTCAAAGACCTCAACACTCATAATTGGCAACCACTTACAAAACATTGTACCCGTTGCTAAACTGTCATTACAGTTTACATTGTCATCATCTCAACAACATCTCAGAGCCCAGCCATGCGGCGACAATGACATGACATTGCTCTCTGTTACAAGTCAAACACAAGCAGGCTTTCCTTCAGTCTCCCTCTCCCTCTAGTCATAGACATGGGCATGGTTTCTTCATGTTCTCAGTTCATTCGCCATATGGAGGGCATCGAGGGAGCTGTTGTGAGATGAAGAGGGGAGAGGAGGGAAAGAGAGAGTACCCTACATTTTCCTCAGTGACCCACATACAGTACAGCAGTAGAGACTTCATGGTCCCTCCCTCTCTCATCTCACCCCTTACCTCCCCTTATTAACTCTAACCTCTTCCCCCCCCTATGTCCCCTTCACCTATGTCTCTCACGTCCCTCTCAGCCCCCCTCTATCCCTTCCTTTCCCCCTCTCCTGTTTTTCTATGCTGCAGCAGTCTCTGGGGCGAGGGGTTTACTGCTTACTCATGGAAACGGACAGAGATTTTGCTTAGAGAGCACTTTGCTTCCAGCTCAGGAAGGAAAGACAGGAAGCCGTGCCAATAACAAACTAGCTACGGAGTCCAGAGTCACTTACAGTACAACTACTGCATCCAACATAAAACACTGTTCCCTTTAGCTTTGTGCCTTCCTAGAAGAAGAAGATAACTACTTTGAAATACAGAGGATGTGAGAGAAGGAGGAGAGTTGGAGGGACGGAGAAAGAAAGATCCCTTAAAGAATTCAAACAAGAGGCCATCTTAGAGAGTCTGTGGCGGACTCTTATCTACTTGAGTTGTATCCAATAGAAAGTCAACATTGAGGAGTTTGTGAGTTTAGTGAGATGGGATGGGAGGAGAGGAATAAGCCAGCTATAGCAGCCATTGCCAAAGCCATCAAGGCATGACTCCAGGCGCTCCCAAAGGGGAGTCACCAGAAACACACAGGACTACCTGTTACCTAACAGGCCTGAACAAAAATATAAACGCAACATGCAACAATTTCAATGATTTTACTAAGTTACAGTTCATATAAGGAAATCAGTCAATTTAAATATATTCATTATGGCCTAATCTATGGGTTTCACGACTGGGCAGGGGCGCAGCCATGGGTGTGACTGGGACGACATAAGGCCACCCACTTGGGAGCCAGGTCCAGTCAATCAGAATTAGTTTTTCCCCACAAAAGGGCTTTATTACACACATAAATACTCAGTTTCATCAGTTGTCCGGGTGGCTGTTCTCAGACGATCCCGCAGGTGAAGAAGCCTGAAGTGGAGGTCCTGGGATGGCGTGGTTAGACGTGGTCTGCGGTTGTGAGGCCGGTTGGACGTACTGCCAAATTCTCTAAAACGAAGTTGGAGGCGGCTTATGGTAGAGAAACAAACATTCAATTCTCTGGCAACAGCTCTGGTGGACAATCCATTCCTGCAGTCAGCATGCCAATTGCACGCTCCCTCAAAACTTGAGACATCTATGGCATTGTGTTGTGTGACAAAACTGCACATTTTAGAGTGGACTTGTATTGTCCCCAGCACAAGGTGCACCTGTGTAATGATCACGCTGTTTAATCAGCTTCTTGATATGCCACACCTGTCAGGTGAATGGATTATCTTGGCAAAGGAGAAATGCTCATGAACAGGGATGTGCACAAAATTTGAGAGAAATAAGCATTTTTTGCCTATGGAAAATTTCTGGAATCTTTTAATTCAGCTCGTGAAACATGGGACCAACACTTTACATGTTGCGTTTATAGTTTTGTTCAGTATATATACCCCTAACACCTTGCTACTCATGCAGACTAACTCCATTCATTAAGTCACCACTTGTCGTTTCCTGTTGAAAAACAGCTCAGTTGAGCTATTTTCAGAGTCTCCAATAAAATAAGAGTAGTAAACCTGGTTAACGGAAGCCATGATGTTGTTGTGGGGGAGTAAAATAAATGCCCTTGACAATCACATCATAGGCTATAACGTTGCAAAGGTTTCAAAGGCTGGATGCCTGTAACAGGAAGTGCGTCTTCCATCCAGTTCCTGGTCTCAGTGGCTCTGTGTGTCTACGTCCTGATGTCTACATCCTGGTTGGAGACAGAGTAAAGCACCCTGGGGTAGGAGGCAGACAGGGGAACGCTATAATGCTCTCTCTGTCAGGGACAACACACACTGTTACAACATATGCCTAACAGCCTCTAGGATCAGCTAACCCTCCACAAATACCAACTTTAACTATTTGTTGAAAATGCTAAACTGACCTAAGATCAGTGTCTAGGGGTAACTTCATGCTCCTCCCACATGAGATATGTCCCGTCATCCCCTCAGAGCTAGCCCAAATCAAATCAAATTGTATTTTTCACATACGCTCTGAATACAACAGGTGTAGACTTTACCGTGAAATGCTGACTTAGGAGCCCTTTCCCAACAATGCAGAGTTAAAAAGTACACAAATGTGCACGATTTGTAAAAAAAAAAAAGAAGGAAATACTAACACAATAAAATAGCAATAACGAGGCTATATACAAGGCGTACCGATACCGAGTCAATGTGCTGGCGGTAAGAGGTAGTTGAGGTGATTTGATACTGTATAATAGATAAATAAGGCCATTCACCATTGTCAATCATTATGTAAACACCATCTATATGATCTGAGATCAGGTCATCACCTGAGGCAGTCCACATTAGGTGTTTTTTATGTGTTTTTTCCTGTTTCCACCAACTCCATTTTCAATTCACAAACAGGTAGTGTAGTTGTGAACAGAGCACAATAACAACAGAGATAGATATATAGTAGTGCCATAGACCAGTGGTTCTCAATCCTGGTCCTGGGGACCCAAAGGGGTGCACAGTTTTGTTTTTGCCTTAGCACTACACACCTGATTCAAATCATCAAAGCTTGATGATGAGTTGCTCATTTGAACCAGCTGTGTAGTGCTAAGGCAAAAACAAAAATGTGCACCCAGGACCAGGATTGAGAACCACTGCCATAGATCCATGGTTCTCTAAGTTGACTTGTTATGGTCTTCTTTGTTCTACGTACATTTTAGGAGTGGTAAAGTAGCTCCTGGCTCCTACTCAGAACAGAGTTGTGGTGTTCTGTTAAAACAATAACTCTGATCCCACTACTTCACTAGATTAGACAGGACAATCTGGCTATTGCTCTGAAATAGACAAGAATGCAGCCTCCTATCTTTAGAGTGGTGCTCTCTCTTACTTTCTCTCTCTCACGCTGCTGGGAACATTTCTTAATCACATTCAGTGTTTGGAAAACTGTCATGGAACTGAAACAGAGCACAGAGCTTCCAATGAACCCACAGTGGAAACACACAATCCCAGTGCCAAATGCTGCAGAAAGACACAGTCCCCTTTCTCAAAACACTCTGTCCAACCCTACAATCACACACACACACACACACACACACACACACACACACACACACACACACACACACACAGTTCTGGGCTTGTATTCAATGTGGCAGAGTATGTAGTGGAAGAGTGGAAGAGTGTGTGTGTGTGTGTGTGTGTGTGTGTGTGTGTGTGTGTGTGTGTGTGTGTGTATGGTGCATGTGCGTGCATACTTGCATTAGTGTACATGCGTGCCGTGCGTGTAGTGTATACTATTTGAGTGTGTGTCCTAAGTGGCAGAGCACAGATGTTGGATCTTAATTTGAGCCAGTTTGCTACAGGAAATGTGAATTATTATGTGGATGATAATTAATGGACATTTTTTGTAGGGGTTGATGCATTTGAGGTTAGGGCAAATCAAGTCTGAAATGTTAAATTGGAAATTACAAACTTTAGAAGCCTTTTTAAACCTTGAATATACTACACGTTTGCATTTCCAGGAAAATTCTCATCAACAAAAGACTGATCAAATTAAGATCCCACATCTGTATCCTGTGTGAAGGGGAGAGGTTGCTGATTTCCCATAGACAGAATGAGTACCAGTACTTCACTGGATTCCCATGCCAAATACAATCTGTGCCCTTCTCTAGTTCTGGCATCTGACCGAATGTCCAAAGGGTGACATCACAAGAAGTTTGGCCATTTAAGTCCAGAGTGCGTGTGGGGATGAAAAGAGCAGATGAGCAGATGAACGCACAGATAGGGCTATCACAGGAACCATCTCATCTGATAGCACATTTCTAGAATGACGGGAAAAGCCAGAATAACACCATAATCTGCATACAATACTGAAAGAATGTGAAGAATCTGCATTTCCTGGTTTGTTTTGTTAAACTGCTTCCGCCATGTGTTTGCTAAGATGCTTTGTAATACTGGGATGATCTAGCAAGTTTGAATTGTAGCATTACAACCAGCTGTGTAATCTACTTTTCTTGGTACTCACACCAGTGTTGTAACATAGTTTTGCGAGGTCCTACCACAAGGTCGGAGCTCGAGGCACCCAGACAGACAGACAGATAGACAGATAGACAGACAGAGACACAGACAGACAGCTGTCCCAGTCCACACCTACCCGGCAGTCTCTCTGCAGGGTCTTCATCAGGGCACTGTAGGTGTCAGCGTCGAAGTAGAGCCCTTCATGCATGTCCTGGAAGTCCAGGTCCTTGTAAACGGGACAGGCCTTCTCCCTCTCCTTCCTGGAGGCACGTCTCTTGTAGGTGGAGCCCTTCAGGTCGTACTTGTAGTGCATCTTGACGGAGCGCGGCAGCACGTTGTTCATCACCACCAGCCGGATGTTGACGCCTCCAGACTGGATGCAGTACAGGCCGTAGAACTTAGGCAGCAGGGTACGTGGGTTCTGGTTCAGGTTCTGGTTGTGAAGAGAGAGGTGGAATACAGTTAGTTGATCAATAGGGCCTGTTTAATAGGCCTGAGACCAGGTCTGCATCCATTTAATGGCAACCTATTCCCTACATAGTGCAGTACTTTTGATCAAGACCCTATGGGCACTGGTCAAAAGTAGTGCACTATATAGGAAAAGCAGACTAGGTTGGGTGAGTTACTCACCATGTAGTAACCTGGGAGAAGTTTCTGTAGAAACTCTGCCTCTTTGTGCTGGACGGTTTTGATGATGAACTCGTCATCGCTGGTCAGGTAGAACAGAGAGCCGCTGGCCCCGGGGTTGGACAGCTCAATCAGAGGCTCATTACAGATGGAGTACTGGGGAGAAAAACAACACACAACATAACTGCTTTAATATGCCTGTAAAAACAACAACAAAACTGGTTTATTATGCCTGTACAACCATAACCTGGTCCCAGATCTGTTTGTGCTGCTTGCCAACTCCTATGGTCATTGAATGAGCTGCCTAATCCTCAGGAAAATATTGTTCTCTACTGATTTATAAAGCACAACTTATACCATGGACAAAAAACTAACCCCTCACCCGTTGTTTATTGTGGTTAAAAAGGAATAAATTGCATTCCAATGGGTGTGGTCTGGAAAACGAACATACGGTTTCATTTATTCACAGATGTGTGTGCGGCTTTTATGGTACGGTATATCATTATCACACAGGCATGCACACACAAACACAGACCCTATCTCCCACACACACACGTCACAAACTGAGTGAAAGGTTGGTTTTGCTGGGATTGGCTGTAGACAGGTGGTCAATAGTTCATTGAGGGTGTGGCATCAGTATAGTACTTCCTGTGATTCTGTGCACTCAGCTTTTACAAACCACACATTCAGCTTTATTACTTCCACAGAGGTTATCTAAGACCATACAATAAGCCTCAGGGCAAGGGTGAATGTATTCTGTTTCCACCAGCATGTGTGTGTGTTTATCAGTTGAACCTTCACAAACAAAGCACAAAATAACATTTCCAGTTTAGCTTACATGAGATGGGCCTATGGCAATAAAGCCCATGTAGACAACATCTGTTGTGTTATTCTCCATATGAACATAAAAGCCCTGCTCTAACACAGAACCCCCTCAGTGAAGGTGAAGTAGTGGGGATATTTAATGATAATGCAGTAGAAGTGAAACAAAGCTGTGTGTTCTAATGGAGAGAAACACACAGAGAGAGAGAGAAACACACAGAGAGAGAGAGAAACACACACAGAGAGAGAGAGAGAGAGAGAGAGAGAGAGAGAGAGAGAGAGAGAGAGAGAGAGAGAGAGAGAGAGAGAGAGAGAGAGAGAGAGAGAGAGATGGCAGTCTGCAGTCAAGTTGAGCCCACAGCACGAACATATCCGCTATTTATCTGCATTTGCATTCAGGACCCTGAGTGGTAGAGTGTGTGTGTGTGTGTGTGTGTGTGTGTGTGTGTGTGTGTGTGTTTGTGTGCGTGTGTTCTGTCTTAATTAATCTATGTTGTTGCTTCTGTGTTTGAATAAATGCATAATCAATAAGGACACATTATGCCAGTTTTTGCTTTACCCTTCAGTCTCTCTCTTTCACTCTGCCTCTCCCTCAATCTCTCTCTGGCTTTAACTCTTTCTTTGCTTGTTGTGCAGCCTTTTGTCTGATAGCAATGATGACTGATCATAAATGCAGAATGTGGCAGGGCATTCATTAGAGCAGTGGTGAGGAGGGTACAACAGCCTTGGAGTAAAGAGAGAGTGAATCCGAAACATACAAGATATTGCATAATAGAAAAGAATGGTAGAAAATCATTTCAAATGATAAGTAATGTAATGTGAGTGTAGAGTAATATATAGATAATAGATCATGCATATAATAGCTGGGCATGCTCATACAGTATGATATATATTCTATATGGTAGTGCTGCATTTTGAAACTCCATGGTGTATTCTCCTCTGATCTACCTGTTCCAGTGATAATGACAGTGTAATAATAGAGAGTAGTAATGACTTTGACCTGAAGGGCCCCTCTCTCTGGCATGCCTTCTGAGTGGGATCGGTCAGCAAGGGGTTAACTCCTAATACACGCACACTCACACACACACACACACACACACACACACACACACACACATCCACCCACCTCGACCCTCTGGGAAATTATAGCCTGATTTCATTTCAATGTGCAGTGGATACAATTAAACCCATCATAATGAAATTAGCACGACTATTACCTCACCCCCCAAACCCAACCCCCATCTCCACCTCCACAGCTGGACAGGTAGAACAGGGAAAAACCACTGCTCTATAAAACTCTGGTTACATTCCAATACACTTTAGTCACCACTGATCCCAATGAGTTGATTGGTGAAAGTTACATGATAAGTAGGATGAACTCTAACCTATGGGATGTGTCTCAATCTAGGTGTGGACTAGGAGTGTACCTGGTGTGTACCTAGTGTGGACCACGTGTGGTGTTTAGACCTACCAGGTAGTCATCTGGTTTGATCCCGAAGAGCTCCCGGAAGTAGCGGAATGCCAGCGGGGCATAGGTTTTGAAGCGGAAGTCTGGGTAGTGGTGAGCTGGTGTCAGGTTGCTCCCCTCGCTGATGGAAACAAGACCCACCGGACACAAAGACACAGAACAGTTAGTTAGAATATCCCCACATACAGAAACAAGCAAGTGAGTTTGGACTAATTTCAGTTCATCAGATACTAAGGTACAAAACTATCACTGACGTAGACGGACATTCTGCAAACAGATATCACACACTGTCTTTAACTATAGCTGATAATCGTCATGTCAGAGCATCCAGAGCATTCAGTGGATCGTGGCATGAAGTAATGCGACACACCTCTGTGTGTATACTGTATATATACTTGGGATATCGCTTTTCAACAGTAAAAGTTCAAAAATCGCTGGAGGACGTCTTTAAGTACAGTTAACCAGATGAACCAGTATTCCAGTGGCACACAGACCTGTTTAGAGTCCAGAGCCTGGAGAGAGAGCATGCCTCTGTTTACCCTAAACAACACCCATACAACACAGGGGACCAGCACTATGATGATATGAGCTCTGTGTCCATAGAGAGAGAGAGAGAGAGGCATGGGGTTCTCCTCAGACTCACTGACTGATGGCAGTCTGCAGTCACATTGAGCCCACAGCACGAACACATCCACAATTTATCTGCTTTGAAAGGCTGGTCATGACACACATCAACACCATCATCCCAGACACCCTGGACCCACTTCAATTTGCATACCGCACCAACAGATCCACAGATGAAGCAATCTCAGTTGCACTTCACACTGCCCTCTCCCACCTGGACAAGAGCGGAAATAACTATGTGAGAATGCTGTTCATAGACTACAGCTCAGCGTTCAACACCATAGTCCCCTCCAAGCTCATCACCAAGATAGGGACCCTTGAACTGAACCCCTTCCTCTGCAACTGGATCCTGGCTTCCTGACGGGCCGGCCCCAGGTGGTGAGGGTAGGCAACAACACCTCCGCCACGCTGACCCCAGGGACGGGGCCCCTCAGGGGTGTATGCTTAGCCCCCTCCTGTACTCCATGTTCACCCACGACTGCATGGCCACGCACGACTCCAACTCCCATCATCAAGTTCACGACGGTGGTAGGTCTGATTGGTGGTAGGCCAACCTCAAGAGGCTGAAGAAATTTGGCATGTCACCTAAAACCCTCACAAACTTTTACAGATGCACAATTGAGAGCATCCTGTTGGGCTGTATCACCGCCTGGTACGGCAACTGCACCGCCCACAACCGCAGGGCTCTCCAGAGGGTGGTGCGGTCTGCACAACGCATCACCGGGGGCAAACTACCTGCCCTCCAGGACACCTACAGCACCCAATGTCACAGGAAGGTCAACAAAAGAATCAAGAACAACTACCACCCGAGCCACTGCCTGTTCACCCAGCTATCATCCAGAAGGCGAGGTCAGTACAGATGCATCAAAGCTGGGACCGAGAGACTGAAAAACAGCTTCTATCTCAAGGCCATCAGACTGTTAAACAGCCATCACTAGCACAGAGAGGCTGCTGCCTCCATACAGACTTGAAAATCACTGGCCACTTTAATAAATGGAACACTAGTCACTTTAATAATGCCCCTTTAATAATGTTTACATATCTTGCATTACCCATCTCATATGTATAAACTGTATTCTATACTATCTATTGCATCTTAGCCTATGCCGCTCTGACAATGACATTGCTCATCCATATATTTATATATTCTTATTCCATTCCTTTACTTAGATTTGTGTGTATTAGGTATTTGTTGTAGAACTGTTAGATATTACTTGCTAGATATTGCTGCACTGTCGGAACTAGAAGCACAAGCATTTCGCTACACTTGCAATAACATCTGCTAACCATGTGTATGTGACCAATACATTTGATTTGATTTGATCATCGACGGCGATGAGTCAGCCTACAGGGAGGAGGTCAGAGACTTGGCAGTGTGGTGCCAGGACAACAACCTCTTCCTCAACTTCAGTAAGACCAAGGAACTGATTGTGGACTATAGGAGAAAGAGGGGAGAGCACGCCCCCATCCACATCAACAGGACCTCTATATCAGGTGGTGTCAGATGAAGGCCCGAAAAATTGCCAAAGACTCCAGCCACCCAAGCCATAGACTGGTCACTCTGCTACCGTCCGGCAAACGGTACCGGAGCATCAGCTCTCGGACCAACAGGCTCCGAGACAGCTTCTACCTCCAAGCCATAAGACAACTAAATAGCCAGACTGCTAAATAGTCAATTAATGGTACACAGACTATCTGCACTGACTCTTATCTTGCACTGACCCTACGCACACTCACTAGACTATATATATACACACACAACATACACACACTCACTCACACACACACTACATTTACACTCCCACACATTCACATACACGTATACAGATACAACACAAACACACGTACATACACACACATATACATTACTCACACACACACACTTTTACAAATATAATTTGCTGCTGCTACTCTGTTCTTTATTTTACTCTTATTATTATCTATTCTGATGCCTAGTCACGTTACCCTGCCTTCATGTACATATCTACCTCAAATACCTCGTACCTCTGCACATTGATCTGGTACTGGTACTCCCTGTATATAGCTCCATTCTTGTGTATTTTATTCCTCTTGTGTTCCTATTTTAATTAACATTTTTAAACTCTTCATTGTTGGGAAGGGCTCGTAAGCAACCACTTCACAGTAAAGTCTACTACACCAGTTGTATTCGGCGCATGTGACAAATACAATTTGATTTGATTTGATTTGCATTCAGGACCCTGGGTGGTAGAGTGTGTGTGTGTGTGTGTATGTGTTTGGTCTTAATTAATCTCTGTTGTTGCTTCTGTCTCTGAATAAATGCATAATTAACAAGGACACATTACGACAGTGTTTGCTTCACCCTTCAGTCTCTCTCTCTCTTTCACTCTGCCTCTCCCTCAATCTCTCTCTGGCTTTAACTCTTTCTTTGCTTGTTGTGCAGCCTTTTGTCTGATAGCAATGATGACTGATCATAAATGCAGAATGTGGCAGGGCATTCATTAGAGCAGTGGTGAGGAGGGTACAACAGCCTTGGAGTAAAGAGAGAGTGAATCCGAAACATACAAGATATTGCATAATAGAAAAGAATGGTAGAAAATCATTTCAAATGATAAGTAATGTAATGTGAGTGTAGAGTAATATATAGATAATAGATCATGCATATAATAGCTGGGCATGCTCATACAGTATGATATATATTCTATATGGTAGTGCTGCATTTTGAAACTCCATGGTGTATTCTCCTCTGATCTACCTGTTCCAGTGATAATGACAGTGTAATAATAGAGAGTAGTAATGACTTTGACCTGAAGGGCCCCTCTCTCTGGCATGCCTTCTGAGTGGGATCGGTCAGCAAGGGGTTAACTCCTAATACACGCACGAGCACACACACACACAAACACACACTCTACCACTCAGAGAGAGAGAGAGAGAGAGAGAGAGAGAGAGAGAGAGAGAGAGAGAGAGAGAGAGAGAGAGAGAGAGAGAGAGAAAGAGAAAGAGAAAGAGAAAGAGAAAGAGAAAGAAAGAAAGAAAAAATAACCCACATTTCTGTTTTCCTTTCTTTCTCTTTCTTTTATGAGGAAGACTTGCATTGCTCACGTAGAGACTGACCCTGTTTTGGTATGAACCTGTAGCTGTGCCAGGTGGAACAGAACACAGGAGGTCTACTGGGTGATTAGCTTTGCTCCAGATGATCCTATAACAACACCCCAATGCACTGCACCCTAAATCTAAATCCATTAAAAGTGTGTTAAAAGGTATTTGTTTTCAAGGGCATCTCAACAGCAAGCTGCTATCGAAATCAGGTTTTTGAACCCTGACTTGGCAAAGATGTTGGGCTGTGCCCCAGTGCTTTCACTCAGTAACAGGATAGACTACAACCTAAACATAATAGGTGTGATCATCAGCCTACTCCTGAATGAAATCACGCTGTGTGTGTGTGTGGGTAGCAAAGAGAATCACCTCCAGCTGCACAGAGCTATGTGCTGCCTGCCTACTGTGACTGAAATTGTATAGTCTCAAATTAGAACCATTTAGACTAAAGAGCACACAAATGCACACAGCAATGAAAGTGTCTTATCCACGCATAGCAGAATTAGAGTACTGTTAGAGAAAAAAAGACTAGACAAGTTACACCAGATAAACAATGTGGGAGTCAGAAAATCTGCCTGAGATGTACAGGCACCAAAGCCAGCGACAGCCTGACAGGATGAGTGAAGGGAACCAATGGAGATGAGGGAAGTGGAGGAGGATCCCGGAGGATCCTCTCTGAGAGCTCTCCGTCAGTCACTCTGCCCTGTGTCTCTCAGGGGAGAGAGAGGGGAGAGGAAGAGAGAGAGGTAGACAGAGAAATAGAGAGAGAGAGAGAGAGAGAGAGAGAGAGAGAGATTGAGACAATAACTACTGCTGTCCTGTTACTGCAGGGGTTCCCAAACCTTTTGACTTGGGGCCCCCTTCCAGCATTGGGGAAAATCCCGCGCCCCCCCCCCCCCCCCCCCCCCAGCGCGCGTGCACACATCTATTTCTATGGGCACAAGCACTGTTCATGACACAAACTGTTCACACCCCTCTTGTTGGTGGAGAGAATATTTCAGGTTTAAAGCTTATTTCCTTGCAATTCTACATTTTGCCATGTTTAATGTGTATTCATGTGTCATTTGCATGACAAAAAATGTACAACAATATCTATGGGCTAAAAAAACTAAATAAAAAAACGTTAGCTGACTTGATCTGGACATTTCTGACAATTTATAAATAGCTCTCTAAGATATGCAATGACTAACATGACAAGAGGAACTAATGATGCACTAGCCAATTTCGAAATTGCACCTTGTGCATTCTACTATTACAACTTTCAAGAGTAAGTTTAATGCCGGACTGCGTTCCTTAAAAAAATTAAATTAACCCATGCCCCCCCCGGCGACTCCTTGCACCCCACAGTTTGGGAACCACTGTGTTACTGTATGCCTGTAGCCACGTCATGGCTTAAGCTTCCTCCTCCACTAGTTTTGTTCAGTTTGTTTTTCCTCCATGGAGAGTCTTTTGTCTCTTCTAGTGGAGGTTAAAACACCTGGTCTCTCCAGTGTTGTCATGGTCACCAGCCCTCTCTCAGTCAAAAGATGCCCATGAAGAGAAAATGAGAACATATTGTTCTATCCCTCTCCGTATGTTTGGCTAAACAACTTAAACTTCAACATTCTAGGATGGCTATTGCACCTGTGTTAAGTAGAATAATTTGCCTAAAATCACTTTAACCTGCAGAATATATTGAAATAATCATTATAAATGTGAAGCTCAGAGTGCGAGTTTAATCTGACAGCATGTTTGCATACACCAGTATGCTCAGTTTCTTTTGAAGGACAGACTTGTCCTGATGTGCCATTTGGAAAGTGAAACACAGAAAGCATTTCCTAGTCCAAGTCTCTGCAGGGCTTGGAAGGGAAAGAGGCTGGCATGACCATTAGCAAATACACAAAACTTACTTACAAAACTCAACCATTCAAGAGGTTGACATTCTCTGGTGATTTTCTGTTTTTCATATGGTGAGAGGCTTGTCTCTAGATCTTTTGCGCAATATGTGAGACATAGTCAACATAGACGAGAAGCTTCCTCAAACAGTGCATGACGTTTGCTCATCTATTAATACCAAGTGATGTGGTCTGACGGCACTAATGATGTCATCTTTTACACTCGTGTGTGTTTGTGTGTGTGTGTGTGTTTGTGTCTGTGTGTGTGTGTGTGCGTGTGCATGTGTTTGTTTGTGTATATGTGTGCGTGTATTCCTGGGTGTGTTCTGGGTTATGTAAAGTGTTTCTTTAAGCTGCTGATGTAATTATTAAGACAGACGATTTGATGGGTCAGGCACGACACAGTATGCAGTATGTTTTGCACACTGGCGTTAAAAGACACAGTAAGCTGATTTCCAGGGTCTTGGGTATATAATCCACTGGAGTGACTTAGTCCATACACCATGACTTCAACTAGCTGATTCACACTCATGTTAAATGATAGATGCCTCTTTCTATTCTTTGGGATATGAATCCTGAGAGTCCATCTCTCTCTGTGAGTCATTACTGTTTAAGGAGAACGCCTCCTCCCTCTTGTTTCATGGAGAGATCCAGACATGAAGCTTTCCTATTTCAGCTAGCAGACATGAAACTCTCCTATTTCAGCTAGCAGACAGCTCTAGCTCAACCTATGTTCCCTCTTCAGTAATACTGCATGTTCACTGCTGAAAGTCAATGAGTCACTTCACAGCAGCACCAGCATAGGCTGTAGTGTTTCTAAAGAACGTATCATTAGGATTCATCTACTCAGGCTATAAAGCATGTATTTGTGTGAAAGCATACGTAGATACAATATATTGTTTAATTGCTACTCAGTATTACTATACTATACGTAAGGGATAAACAGGGAGGGGCTAAGCTATGGAGCGAGATAGCTGCCAAAAGGTTGAACGTACGTATTGTTAGGATCGTAAGAAAATCCATATGTAAATTGTTAGGATCGTAAGAAAAGCCATGCGTGAAACATGAAACGTAAACGTGAAATTTCACCTGTGAACATTCAAACACCATGTTACGATTACGTACTAACATTTTAGGCTTGAACAAATCTTGTGTTGCAATTCTGACGTACAATAATACCTTTCAGAGTTTTGGCAGTTTCATCTCACCAACAAAAAAAACGTTCACCAAACAGCCTGTGAGGAGTGCTACGCGAACAAGCATAACACAGTATAAAAAAACAGAAGTAATGGAAACCGGAAGATGTATCCTGCACGTTTTCAAGTTAAAAGTCTCCATTCTCTATTACTCCTCAGTTGAGTTTACTTCACATTTAGGTAGCTAATGTAATGGATTTGTTTGCCAGCGCAAGTCTAGATGGCACTAGCTGTATTATGCCTACAACAGTGAAGTTTCAGTCCGCTAGGTGTATCTCAACAGCATAGGCATATCTCTGGGTGAACTGGACATCCCCATGCATGCACCTTATTCAATATTGCACAATCCCATTCTCTGGGCTCTGTCTGCAATCATAACCAGTAGTATCTACCAGGAATAATGAAACATAGAATTATAATAGATGGTTTGGTGAATCTATGAATTATGCATGGCCACTGGAGTCTTTACCACTCAAAATATATATATTGTTATAGGATATTTTGATATTTATTTCATCACTCAAAATCTTGCGAAAGCATATTCTGTAGGAAGGGTTAATATGAATTTTAAATAATTGTACATGATTTATATGAATCGGGTCATGAACATATGGACTTTGAAATGAACAAGGGAGAGGTTAAACGTAGGCTAAGTCTGGTATAACTCTGTTGCAGTGGTCTTAGGAAGTCTCCGTATAGGCTATTCCCTCCATCGTGACACTGCTGCCCAGCTGAAGAGCTTGTGATCTCCGTGCAGCACCACAGCACCATGCGCCTTCGGAAAAGCACCCCTAAGCCTCAGAAGATGCCCTTCTGGAGGCATGCAGCTATTGAGTCATTATATACAGTGGGGAGAACAAGTATTTGATACACTGCCGATTTTGCAGGTTTTCCTACTTACAAAGCATGTAGTGGTCTGTAATTTTTATCCAAAAATCCAGAAACTCACATTGTATAATTTTTAAGTAATTAATTTGCATTTTATTGCATGACATAAGTATTTGATCACCTACCAACCAGTAAGAATTCCAGCTCTCACAGACCTGTTAGTTTTTCTTTAAGAAGCCCTCCTGTTCTCCACTCATTACCTGTATTAACTGCACCTGTTTGAACTCGTTACCTGTATAAAAGACACCTGTCCACACACTCAATCAAACAGACTCCTACCTCTCCACAATGGCCAAGACCAGAGAGCTGTGTAAGGACATCAGGGATAAAATTGTAGACCTGCACAAGGCTGGGATGGGCTACAGGACAATAGGCAAGCAGCTTGGTAAGAAGGCAACAACTGTTGGCGCAATTATTAGAAAATGGAAGAAGTTCAAGATGACGGTCAATCACCCTCGGTCTGGGGCTCCATGCAAGATCTCACCTCGTGGGGCATCAATGATCATGAGGAAGGTGAGGGATCAGCCCAGAACTACACGGCAGGACCTGGTCAATGACCTGAAGAGAGCTGGGACCACAGTCTCAAAGAAAACCATTAGTAACACACTTTAGTAAGCCAGCGCATGTCCAGGCCCGTCTGAAGTTTGCCAATGACCATCTGGATGATCCAGAGGAGGAATGGGAGAAGGTCATGTGGTCTGATGAGACAAAAATAGAGCTTTTTGGTCTAAACTCCACTCACCGTGTTTGGAGGAAGAAGAAGGATGAGTACAACCCCAAGAACACCATCCCAACCGTGAAGCATGGAGGTGGAAACATCATTCTTTGGGGATGCTTTTCTGCAAAGGGGACAGGACGACTGCACCGTATTGAGGGGAGGATGGATGGGGCCATGTATCGCGAGATCTTGGCCAACAACCTCCTTCCCTCAGTAAGAGCATTGAAGATGGGTCGTGGCTGGGTCTTCCAGCATGACAACGACCCGAAACACACAGCCAGGGCAACTAAGGAGTGGCTCCGTAAGAAGCATCTCAAGGTCCTGGAGTGGCCTAGCCAGTCTCCAGACCTGAACCCAATAGAAAATCTTTGGAGGGAGCTGAAAGTCCGTATTGCCCAGCGACAGCCCCAAAACCTGAAGGATCTGGAGAAGGTCTGTATGGAGGAGTGGGCCAAAATCCCTGCTGCAGTGTGTGCAAACCTGGTCAAGACCTACAGGAAACGTATGATCTCTGTAATTGCAAACAAAGGTTTCTGTACCAAATATTAAGTTCTGCTTTTCTGATGTATCAAATACTTATGTCATGCAATAAAATGCAAATTAATTACTTAAAAATCATACAATGTGATTTTCTGGATTTTTGTTTTAGATTCCGTCTCTCACAGTTGAAGTGTACCTATGATAAAAATTACAGACCTCTACATGCTTTGTAAGTAGGAAAACCTGCAAAATCGGCAGTGTATCAAATACTTGTTCTCCCCACTGTAGGCCTATTTGCCTACTAGCCAAATAAAGTGCAGAGCATGCATGATGCGTGCAACTCGTCATTCCAACATATTTGAACATTTAATTCATCCAGTCAGTATGTCATCCATTCAGTCATTTGTCTGAGTTGTAATAGGAACTAAATCAAAGAGAATAGAACAGTCTTATTCATTTGTTTATTGAAATCCATGTGTGTATTCAAAATGATCTAAATTCTCAAAAGTTCTTTAGCCTACCACTTTAATAATTCAATGTTTAATTTAGGCCTATCCAAATAAACAAAATAGGCCTTCAACTTGTAGGCATTGCAATTTAGGCTATCATTTTGGGTACTGGTGTTTTGCGGAATAATTGTAGAACTCTATTTGTGTTTTATAACAGTTTTTATTATAGGGCTCCCCTTAAAAAGAGACCCTAGCTCACAGGCCTCTAAATATAGCCTTTAATAAATGTTAAACAAAATAGTTGAAGCACGTGCAGTGGCTGATAGGGAAAACAGATCTGGCAATAAGAATAGGCTATAGATAGTCTTGACCATTTGGGACCCCTTGGCTATTTCGCTCAGGACAGGTTATAGTCAAGACATAATCAATATTTTGTTCTGTCTCATTTATTGATATGGATATAGCCTCTGCGTGATGGGTTGTGCAACGCAAATGGCTATAACAAGCCTACATATAGAGTGGAATTCACTAATACAACAGTCAAAATGCCTAATATAAGGCCTACCGTGCTCCCAAATACTGGAACAAGTGTGATTCATTAGGTTACATGATCCCCACAGTAGCCCCACGCAGCTATAAAAATAAATGATGCAATTATAAGGCCAATAAATAACACACAACAGCACGGCATATTTAGATAGCGGAATAGGTCAAGCCTAAATCATATTTACTTTCTATTTTGCAGCTCAGGCGGTTATTCTAGACAAGGCTCTTCTGTGTCTTTATTATTCTCACACTAGTCATTTGCTGAAGGCCCAAGCCTATACCACGCCATCTACTGGTGTAACGTCGTTATTGAATGCAGTTCTAAAACAAGCTCTAGACCTTTATTTTGGAAATGAAACTGGAAGCTGCAAAGCAACTAACGTCTCGGCTAGAGTTGCTTGATTGACTAGCTAACTTTGACTAGCTACGTTCAGTTCATGTCCTTTGCAGATGCCACATTATTGACAAAAGTTTGTACGTACCTCCCGAGTGGCGCAGCATTCTAAGGCACTGCATCGCAGTGTTGCGGCGTCACTACAGCCTGGGGTTCGATCCCAGGCTGTGTCACAACCGGCCGTGACCGGGAGTCCCATAGGGCGGCGCACAATTGGCCCAGCATCGTCAGGGTTAGGGGAGGGTTTGGCCGGGGGGGCTTTACTTGGCTCATCGCGCTTTAGCGACTCCTTGTGGCGGGCTGGGCACCTGCAGGCTGACTTTGGTCGTCAGTTGAACGGTGTTTCCTCCGACACATTTGTGCAGCTGGCTTCCGGGTTAAGCAGGCGGGTGTTAAGAAGCGCGGCTTGGCGGGTCATGTTTTGGAGGACGCATGAGTCGACCTTCGCCTGTCCCGAGACCGCTGCGCAACTCAGGAGGCCTATTCATACTAGTCCCAACACAAATCTAGAGTTGCTACCCAAGCCGGCTGCTCGTTCGTTCTATCGGGTTCGATTGCCAGAGACGCGACCCGGTCGTTCAGTCTTTTTGTTCTGTATCTATAGACGTTCATTGCAGTTGTTCGTTCTAAATGTTCTATTGCCATACTGGCTGGCAACGTTCTTATCCCTTGCTTGCTAGCTCAGTCACGTCAAACAGTGCAGCCATAATAACACTAAAGTAGCTTCATTTGCATTTGTTGAAGCTGTTTTCTAGTGACATTTATTTGGATACATCCAAAACAATGAGCTAATGAGGCACGATTTTACCTGGCATAGAAAATGTGCTTGATCGTCAGGACACTGTTGTTCAGAGCAGCTAGCCAACAACACAGCTAACACAATCACTTCAGACTGAAGCTGGAAAGACTGCAAACTAGCTGCACTACGTTTCATTTGAGCTGTTTTCTATTAATATTTATCTGTATACAAAATGATGCTTTCATGATTTCGACTGGCTGAGAAAAGCTGCCTGCCTGTCTGTTTCATCCCGACACGTTCATTACTATGCGACAGCTGGAGATCAAATTTGAATATTGAAACAATGTTGCAAATGTCGGAGACAGACAGCAAGGTTTATATAAGATGTTGAAAACTAAATGTTAGTCTAAAAGAAATGTGAGATAATGTCTAGATGCTTTATATAGTGGAGATCAAGTTTATAAATTGCCTGGCTGGGCTGATGACACAGTAGACACCGGTTGAAATGCGGTTTTAACCAATCAGCATTCAGGATTAGACCCACTCTTTGTATAATATTTTATACTGTACTGTACTATATACTATACTATAGTATCAGTATAATCATCAGTAATGTCCCTGCTTCTCACCTTGGCAGGAAGACGCTCTCCACCACGTAGAAGTCCTGCATGAGAACATCTCTGTCAGGTTTGGAGGTCAGGTTGCCCACTGTGTAGCCGATGCCCAACTGGATGGCCCCCTTCAGGGCTGACGATGTGGTCTGAGGGTCAGGGACAACCAAACACACCAATCAACACATAAATCAACACATACATTAACCAATCAACAAATCAATCAAGCAACACATGAATCAAACAAAAATATAAACGCAATTTCAAGGATTGTACTGAGTTACAGTTCATATAAGGAAATCAGTCAATTGAAATCAATTCATTAGGCCCTAATCAATGGATTTCACATGACTGGGAATACAGATATAGATCTGTTGGTCACAGATACCTTAAGAAAAAGGTAGGAGAACTAGGCGTAAACTCCAAAGAGCAAGAAGGTAGCAAATTCCCAGAAGAGAATGGTACTCATTTCTAAGAAATAATATACTGATACCTCTTCTGGAGGCATGTCTTGTAAAAGGTCAGTGTAAGATGGGCGTTCAGGAATATACAGTACAGTCAGAAAACAAAGTCAGATTGTCTGAAACAAGCACGTTAAAGTCATGAAATTGAAAGCCAGTTGATGCCTATGACACTTTCTTAGATGGCTTCAATTGTTCTGAAAATGTCAAATTAATTACCCAGATGTTTCAAATCGACTGCAATAGGCCCAGTTATATTGTGTGTGCCAAAAATTCCATCGCCACCAGTGACGTCTAATCCAAATGAAAATACAGTGAAGCAGAGAATGGACTGTGAGGATGGCTTCCCATCATGTACTAACTGTGTAGAAGCAGGGCATTTATAGGAGCTCATATGTCAAAGGGTCACATCAAAAGGCTTCTTGGACTTCATCATAGTGATAAATGGTCATTCATTTCAACAACAAACACTGGGAAACCTCCCTTCATGGTTCTCATAAAAGGCCAGTAGAATCCAGCCAGAGAGAGCAGTATATGGAGAGATGAAACTTTACCTTCTTGTATGTTTTCTCTCCGCTCGTGTTCCGAGACCCTCCCACTCCATTGTCTGTGGTCGTTGACATCTGACGAGAGGACAGAACAGAAGAATAAGGAACTCACTGGTCAAAGTTTAGAAACAAACAGAGTATCTTCAGGTGCTACTGTAGGTCAGTGGTACAGGAATAAAGTCAATTCACATTGACTGTCTAGGAATAGATTCATTTTGGGTTATTTCATAATGTCAACACACAGCTCACAAAGGTCTTTCCCCTACCGTCTTTCTCAGGCCAGAGTACACGACCACATAGGCCTACAGTTTGAATTTGACTAATACACCTGTACAGATTGGTGAGCTATGCATTTTTCATTGCATCATCTGACACAGATACACACCCACATTGTCTACATACGCTAGACATTCAGTCATGCTGAATTGCTCCTGTAGCTGGCTACAGCTTAAGAAGTAGGTCTTAATGTGAAGATGTAAAGCTAACACAGTATATCTACAGTATCTGGTAGTGATGTTTATCAATAAGACCCTGCAGATAGGAGTGTCCGCGTGAACCAGGTATAATGAGCACACCCTGCTAAGTGAAAAGTGAAGGTGTAATCAGTCACCTTGTTTAGTGAAAAGCTCTAACAGTGAAACAGAATCAGGTGCGTGTAATCAGTCACCTTGCTTAGTGAAAAGCTCTGCCAGTGGAACAGAGATCACGACCACATCTCTTGGTCATCAGGCAGTCATGGGGAGGTTTCAATCTACAGACACCCTCTGGAAGAGAAGAGAGGACACAGAGAAAAGACTCCATTACATTATATGATTACAGAGTGAAAGAACAGTAGGAGAATGCCCTCTGCTTCAATCTAAGGCTGTACCTCTTTGATGTCTGAATAGAAACTTGGAAAAACTACTTTTAACAATTTTCACTGAGCATTTTACAAAAACACATTTACATGAAGAACAGTGCAGATGCAAAGTTTGGTAGCAGAATGAGGGTTTGTGCTGTTTATCACATTCATTTATTCAACATTAAAAATATTAATATTACTATCTCAAAACTACCCTTTTTGATGTTGTTCATTTTAAGACATATTGTTTGGAACCATATACTCTACAAGTATATCAAATTCCCAGATTGGGATATCTGCTAATTCTGAAATTCTGATTAATTTTATGAGCACCATCAACACAGTGAATGGACTTTTAAGCAGGTCAACATTCACAAGGCCGCAGGGCCAGACGGATTACCAGGACGTGTACTCCGAGCATGTGCTGACCAACTGGCAAGTGTCTTCACTGACATTTTCAACATGTCCCTGACTGAGTCTGTAATACCAACATGTTTCAAGCAGACCACCATAGTCCCCGTGCCCAAGGACTCTAAGATAACCTGCCTAAATGACTACCGACCCGTAGCACTGACGTCTGTAGCCATGAAGTGCTTTGAAAGGCTGGTCATGGCTCACATCAACAGCATTATCCCAGAAACCCTAGACCCACTCCAATTTGCATACCGCCCCAACAGATCCACAGATGATGCAATCTCTATTGCACTCCACACTGCCCTTTCCCACCTGGACAAGAGGAACACCTACGTGAGAATGCTATTCATTGACTACAGCTCAGCATTCAACACCATAGTGCCCTCTAAGCTCATCACTAAGCTAAGGATCCTGGGACTAAACACCTCCCTCTGCAACTGGATCCTGGACTTCCTGACGGGCCGCCCCCAGGTGGTAAGGGTAGGTAACAACACATCTGCCCCACTGATCCTCAACACGGGGGCCCCTCAGGGGTGCGTGCTCAGTCCCCTCCTGTACTCTCTGTTCACCCATGACTGCATGGCCAGGCACGACTCCAACACCATCATTAAGTTTGCCGACGACACAACAGTGGTAGGCCTGATCACCGACAACGATGAGACAGCCTATAGGGAGGAGGTCAGAGACCTGGCCGTGTGGTGCCAGGACAACAACCTCTCCCTCAACGTGACTAAGACAAAGGAGATGATTGTGGACTACAGGAAAAAAAAGAGGACTGAGCACGCCCCCATTCTCATCGACGGGGCTGTAGTGGAACAGGTTGAGAGCTTCAAGTTCCTTGGTGTCCACATCACCAACGAACTATCATGGTCCAAACACACCAAGACAGTCGTGAAGAGGGCACGACAAAGCCTATTCCCCCTCAGGAGACTGAAAAGATTTGGCATGGGTCCTCAGATCCTCAAAAAATTATACAGCTGCACCATCGAGAGCATCCTGACTGGTTGCATCACCGCCTGGTATGGCAACTGCTTGGCCTCCGACCGCAAGGCACTACAGAGGGTAGTGCGTACGGCCCAGTACATCACTGGGGCCAAGCTTCCTGCCATCCAGGACCTCTATACCAGGCGGTGTCAGAGGAAGGCCCTCAAAATTGTCAAAGACTCCAGCCACCCTAGTCATAGACTGTTCTCTCTGCTACCGCACGGCAAGCGGTACCGGAGTGCCATGTCTAGGTCCAAAAGACGTCTCAACAGCTTCTACCCCCAAGCCATTAGACTCCAGAACAGCTAATCATGGCTACCCGGACTATTTGCACTGCCCCCCCACCCCATCCTTTTTACGCTGCTGCTACTCTGTTAATTATTTATGCATAGTCAGTTTAACTCTACCCACATGTACATATTACCTCAACTACCTCAACTAGCCGGTGCCCCCGCACATTGACTCTGCAACGGTACCCCCCTGTATATATAGCATCCCTACTGTCACTTTATTTTACTTCTGCTCTTTTTTTTCTCAACACTTTTTTTGTTGTTGTTTTATTTTTACTTTTTTTGTTAAAAATAAATTCACTGTTGGTTAAGGGCTGTAAGTAAGCATTTCACTGTAATGTCTGCACCTGTTGTATTCGGCGCATGTGACCAATAAAATTTGATTTGATTTGATTTGGATTCAAAAGGGGAACCCCCTCTGCTGGTGATTTGCTGAATGTGCAATCCTAAAGGAGGGCTGTGATTGGTTAATGACCTATAACGTCAATTTCTATGTATAAAATGGGTCATATCATTAAAAGTACCAGAGAGCCCACTCTGGAAATTTGATGAGTTTGAAGAGTATATTGTTCCAAACAATATGTCTAAATATAAGCAAAATCAAAAACAGTAGTTTTGAGATATTAATAATTCTATTGTTGAATAAATTAATTTGAAAATGTGTATTTCAGAAGCTAGACAGGCTCCATATGTTAGAGCACACTATAAGGAGTATAATGACACCAAGGTGTTGTCTGTATAATGTACGGTTCATAGATCACAGGGTCTTACAGGAGGCATGTATAGGTCTAAAAAGGGCCTAAAATTGCCACTTTCATTATGATTCTCAAAAATGGTTTGTTATACAAATGTAAAAAGCATTTCAAACATCCTTCCTCCCAATGAAGATTCTATGTGAGAATTGCCAGAACAATCTGAGATACCAAAAATATTTTCCGCTACGGCTGGCGTGTAATTTTCCTTTAAGAGGGTTGTTGTTTCAAGTTGTATTATTAATTGAAAATGTTACTGTGGGTCTGTCTGCACCCAAACAAAACACAAGGAAGACTGACATTAAGAGGGGAATGTAGCAGACAGACTCTGTCTTTATCATCAAACTGAAGCCTTATCTGTGCACCAGTTCTGCAATTGCTAGCAACACAGCAGCAACACACAGGGTAAATACTATTTGACTTGGGGCTGATGTCTGTGCTGTAGGGCAGGCTAGGAGAAACTATCGGTATGTGTGTGTTCTCTCTGTGTGTGTGTGTGTGTGTATATCTGTGTTTGTGTGTGTGTGTGTCTGTATGTACAGTGGGGAGAACAAGTATTTAATACACTGCCGATTTTGCAGGTTTTCTTACTTACAAAGCATTTAGAGGTCTGTAATTTTTATCATATGTACACTTCAACTGTGAGAGACGGAATCTAAAACAAAAATCCAGAAAATCACATTGTATGATTTTTAAGTAATTAATTTGCATTTTATTGCATGACATAAGTATTTGATACATCAGAAAACCAGAACTTAATATTTGGTACAGAAACATTTGTTTGCAATTACAGAGATCATACGTTTCCTGTAGGTCTTGACCAGGTTTGCACACACTGCAGCAGGGATTTTGGCCCACTCCTCCATACAGACCTTCTTCAGATCCTTCAGATTTCGGGGCTGTCGCTGGGCAATACGGACTTTCAGCTCCCTCCAAAGATTTTCTATTGGGTTCAGGTCTGGAGACTGGCTAGGCCACTCCAGGACCTTGAGATGCTTCTTACGGAGCCACTCCTTAGTTGCCATGGCTGTGTGTTTCGGGTCGTTGTCATGCTGGAAGACCCAGCCACGACCCATCTTCAATGCTCTTACTAAGGGAAGGAGGTTGTTGGCCAAGATCTCGCAATACATGGCCCCATCCATCCTCCCCTCAATACGGTGCAGTCGTCCTGTCCCCTTTGCAGAAAAGTATCCCCAAAGAATGATGTTTCCACCTCCATGCTTCATGGTTGGGATGGTGTTCTTGGGGTTGTACTCATCCTTCTTCTTCCTCCAAACACGGCGAGTGGAGTTTAGACCAAAAAGCTCAATTTTTGTCTCATCAGACCACATGACCTTCTCCCATTCCTCCTCTGGATCATCCAGATGGTCATTGGCAACCTTCAGACGGACCTGGACATGCGCTGGCTTGAGCAGGGGGACCTTGCGTGCGCTGCAGGATTTTAATCCATGACGGCGTAGTGTGTTACTAATGGTTTTCTTTGAGATTGTGGTCCCAGCTCTCTTCAGGTCATTGACCAGGTCCTGCCGTGTAGTTCTGGGCTGATCCCTCACCTTCCTCATGATCATTGATGCCCCATGAGGTGAGATCTTACATGGAGCCCCAGATCGAGGGTGATTGACCGTCATCTTGAACTTCTTCCATTTTCTAATAATTGCGCCAACCGTTGTTGCCTTCTCACCAAGCTGCTTGCCTATTGTCCTATAGCCCATCCCAGCCTTGTGCAGGTCTACTATTTTATCCCTGATGTCCTTACACAGCTCTCTGGTCTTGGCCATTGTGGAGAGGTTGGAGTCTGTTTGATTGAGTGTGTGGACAGGTGTCTTTTCCACAGGTAACGAGTTCAAACAGGTGCAGTTAATACAGGTAATGAGTGGAGGAGGGCTTCTTAAAGAAAAACTAACAGGTCTGTGAGAGCCGGAATTCTTACTGGTTGGTAGGTGATCAAATACTTATGTCATGCAATAAAATGCAAATTAATTACTTAAAAATCATACAATGTGATTTTCTGGATTTTTGTTTTAGATTCTGTCTCTCACAGTTGAAGTGTACCTATGATAAAAATTACAGACCTCTACATGCTTTGTAAGTAGGAAAACCTGAAAAATCGGCAGTGTATCAAATACTTGTTCTCCCCA